ACAAATAATTATGAATCTAAGAAATTTCTAAAAGAGTTGAAAATTATTCGGTAACTGGAACATCCAAATTTACTACATTTTTATGAAGTTTTTGAAAGCAATAATCACATTTATTTGTTAGAGGATTACTTAAAAGGGTAGCAGTTATCACAATTTTACTAAAATTCAGAACCTCTAAAGGAGGAGTAAGTTTTGATTGTCATGAAGCCTCTGTTTTAAGCAGTCTAGTATCTCCACGACCTCAACATTTACCATAAATAAATTTGTACTTCAAACATAATGCTTAAATCAAGACACGATTTATCTAATCCATGTTTGATAGGGTTCACTCAAGCTGAACAGTACTCGAACCCTGAACAAGATGATTATCAATATTTGTAAGTAAATATAGAGAAGCAGAAATAATATTATATCAAACTTGATGTCCTTGCTTTGGGAATTGTGATGCATAATTTACTGACAGGAAATCAATAGAATTTTGATTAGGCTCTTGATGAAGCCATGATGAATAAGTTTAAAGGAACAAGAGACTTTTAATTTATTGATCCTCCTTTATCAGATTCATGCTTTGATTTTTTGAATCTAATTTTTAATCAAGGGTCTAAAGTTAGAACATGTCAATAGTTATTAGAACACCCATTTTTCGATAAGGAAGCCTAAAAGTCTAATAGAAATATTTCGATATAATTTTTAGGAGCCCTCAATCCAAATTAGACTTAGTTTAGAATTAGATCAAAGTAATCGTAAAGATCTCCCAAAGCTTCAAAAGATGTTTAAGTGATTCCAGTGAGAAAATAGTTCAATATAATATCAAAGAGTCCTTAAGAAAAGCCTAATTTAAATAGTGATTATTTTGAACCTCCAGTAACTCATTTGATGTTTCGAAGAGGGAGTAGATAAAAGAGAACTTTAAATTTTAATAATCATCATGATACAAGTAATGATTCAACAAATTGATTTTTAAGCATAATTTAATAATTAATTTTTTTTCGTTTTTCTATTTAGTCTTAACTGATTTTCATTAAGAGTAATCACTTAGCAAATTTGAATGAGGAAGTGCATTTGGAAATAATCTCAAAGCATTTGGAGAAAGGATATTGGATAAATAAATTCAATTAAAATGCCATAAAAATTAAATTAAAAATAATTGTACTTGTCAGTAATAAGTAATTGTATGATTATTTTCCGGATTGCTTAAATTCAAAAGAGATAGAGTAAAAATGACTAACTGTTTTCAGATCATAAAAAAAATTGCTATAAAAGGAGAATTAATTCAAAAATATTTCATATATTAATTTAAATCATGAAATTCCTCTTGATCTCAATAGCATTGCTTTCGTTGTAGGTGAACAGTCTAAATGTAATTTCAACTAATACTTGCACATGCACAACAGTTTAGGTGCTAAAAGATTGCATTATAAACCCTAAATGTGAATGGGATAGTACCACTTAAAAGTGTATAGATGCAAAAACAACAGGAACGACATCAAGATTCGTATCTAAGCTTTGTACAGATTCAAAGACTTGTGCAAAGTAATAGGGTTGTGCTTTTTCTGATAACAAATGTCTAATGATGGGAGATTGTTAATCTTATTTGGGTAGTTCAAATGCTGAATGCCAAAAGTATTCATATAGGTGCAATTATAACAAAGAATTATAAACATGCACATCAAGTGATGTATGTGGTTAATATGGTGGAGAAGGCAAGCAAACTGATTGTGAAAGTGTAACTTAATAGAATGGAGACAAATTATGTAAATTTGATACATCATAAAATAAATGTTCAAAGAAAGTATGTTCAGATTATGAAAAAACAACAGATGCTGATTGTGCAGCAGCATTGTAAGATGCTAATTGTGTAAGTGACAAAAAGAAGTGCTTATCTTAATTAGTTTCTTGTTCAACATACACAGCAGACTTATGTTTAAGTATAACTGCATCAGATGGACCATGTGAATTATCAAGTGATAAAACTAAATGTTAAATAAAGACATGTGAAGGTGCCACAGATTCAAAAAGTGATACTGGTTGTGATGCATACTTAAAAGGGTGTATAACCAACAATTTGACTTGTGTTAAGACTTTACCTTCTTGTTCGACTTATAAAGCTGCAGATTGTACATCATTGAAAGGAATTAAAGGAACTTGTGTATTGACAACAGGTGAAACTCCCACTTGTAGGGATCCAATATGCGAGGATCTTTCAGAAGTTACAGATGATGCTTGCAAGGCAAAAAATTCATCTTGTATTACAAATGGAGCTAATTGTGTGTTAGCCTTAGCTGATAAATGTGAAACAATAACTACAAATTGTGATAATATCTTCACTAAAGAAGGAAAGTGTAAATTAGATACTAGTGTTAGTCCTAATAAATGCGTTGTTGATAAATGCACACTTTAATCCAAAACAACAAATGAAGAATGTGGCAAATATGCAGGAACTGATTCAACTACTTGTATCACCAATGGAGTTTCTTGTGTCAAAGCTTTGGCAGAGACTTGTGCTGAAATAACAATATCAGATAGTAGTAGCTGTGACTAGTATATCAGCAAGGAAGGAAAATGTAAGTTGAAGGATGGATCAGCAGCAACATGCGAATTAAATTCTTGCAATGATTAAACATTCACATCAGATGAAGAATGCAAAAAGTATTCAAGTCATAATTTAGCACCTGCAATTGATTGCAGAACAACCGGTGTTAAGTGCGTAGACAATTTAAATACTTGTAATTCATATTTAAAAGACGATGGATGTTCATCTCTAAAAGGATCTGATGGTTAATGTATGGATGATACTACTGAAGGAGCTACAAAATGTACAGTAGCCAGTTGTGATAAGATCACATCACCTTCTGCTACATCTTGCCCAGCTGCAAACACAACTTGCAAATTCGATGGAATAGCTTGTGTAAAAGAATTGAAGACCTGTGAAAGTTACACAACTAATTGCGATAACATCATTCCAAAAGATAGTACTTTAACTTGTACAACAAATCCAACTGATTCAACTAAATGCACTACTAAGACTTGTGCTACTGCTCCATCTAGTTTATCCACCGATGTAGATTGCATTAAATACAAAATAGGTTGCTTCACTACAGGTTAAGGATGTATTGCATTATTACCAACTTGTGATACCTACAAGGGTATTAAGAGTACTTGTGAGAAATACATTGGTACAGATGGCAAATGTACTGCTGATGATGCTAATAAAGCTGAGGATAAATGTAAAGCTAAGGATTGTGCCAATGCTACTTCAGTAACTAACGATCAACAATGCAATACCTACTCTAATGTATGCTTCTATAGTGCAAAGATTCAAAAGTGTTCTAAAAAGGTAGCCACTTGCAGTGTTTAAAAAGCTTAAACTGATTGCGAGAATTCAATCACAAAAGAGGCTTCAGTTTACTGCACTTGGAATGGTACTGCCTGTGTTCCAGCTACTTGCAACACTATTTCGAACGTGAAGAGTAAGGAGGCTTGTGCAGTCTTTGGAACCAATTGTGAATTTGATAACTTGAGTGGATGTAAAGACAAGACTAATTATCCTTGTTCAACACTAAGATAAGCTAGTGCATGCTTATAAGACTCTGCATAACATGCTTGTGTTTGGGACTATACTAACAGTGTTTGCATTACTTATAATAAATGCACTGATTTCCCTTTAACACCTGCTAAAGAAAATGAAGTTAAAACTGCAATCTAAATTGCAGCTGAGACAGAAACTTGTAAATTGTTATCAACCAAATGTTATTCTAATGGAGGTAATACATGTGTTTATAAAACACCTTGCACTGTTATTAAGGATGAAAAAAGCTGTATTGGTAGCATAGGAATAGATGATAAGGTTTGTGGTTATGATGCTAAAGCGACAGCTTGTAAGACTTTTGGTTAATGCTCCGATGTTGAATTATTAACTCATGCTGAATGTCAAAAGTATAGCACTACTTGTACAACAGATGGAAAAACCTGTGTAGCCATTAAAAATTGTGCAGATGCTACTACTAAGGAAATTTGTGATCTTGGAGGCAATGATGGAAAATGTTCATGGGCAGATAATGCTTGCACTCTCTGGACTTGTGATAAGGGCACAGGAACCACTCACGAAGCCTGTAATAAATTATTAGCATCCTGCACTACTGATGGTACTAAATGCATCGCCATTCTAGATTGTAGTGCTTACACATCAGATAAAAGTTGTGTGTTGGGATTAAAAAGCACTCCATGTTTTTATGATAAAGATAAATCAGCATGCAGAAATAAGACATGCACGGATTACACCAATGTGACTGGCTAAGCTGATTGCGATTAAGTCAATTGTGCTTATGATTCTGAAGCCAAAGCTTGCATCGCTATTGACAAGTGTTCTGCTTATAAAAAGGAAGGAGTCTGTAATGCCAATATTAACACAGATAAGAAGGGGTGTGTTTGGAAAGTAGGAAGTGCTTCAAGTTCAACGGGATGTTTAGATCTCAATTATTGTACAAATGCTGCAAATAATCAGGCTAAATGCGAAAGTATGAATTGCTACTTTGTTCCATCCACTACTACTGGTACAACAACAACTGATTCCTAATGCAAGGATATGGATTGTTATGGCAACAATCTATCAGTCACAACCAAAGGTCTCTGCAAACCATATACCACCACCAGCACTGATGGAAAGACTAAAAATATATATTTCTGTATTTGGAATGATACTACCAAAAAGTGCACCGATGGAGATCCATCAGGGGAGTTAACAGCTGATAATTGCTATGTATTATCACAGTACACATATTATTGGAATACAGCTTCAAGCAAGTGCGTTTCATGCAAGGGGGGAAATACATCAACTAATAATACAACAAATACAACAAATACAACTAATGAATCGACTACTGATAGTTATGGAGTTAGATTAGAATTAATAATATGCATCCTATTATTGTTCTAATTAATTTGAGAAGGATACATTATTATATATCCATTAAAATTACATTATATTATTTATTATTATCATCATCTTTGATTAAGTTCTTAGGCAGCTGAAGATAAAGTTGCTTGAATGGATTTTTTGGCAGCCTCATTAAATCTCCTTTCCTCAATTTAAACTTATTGATAATTTTAACAAAACTACTTTATTTTTGCAACTTAGACCTCTATACGTTAGGTATTAAGAACTGTTATACCAGGTCCTTTATGATGGTCTCATCACTATTATACTTCCTTTCAAAATGTTCCACTGGAGCATTCATCTTTGATTTCCTCAGATTTGTCATTATTGTAGCCTGTCTTGTGGCAGCTAATTCACATCCTAACAATCTATACCTTGCTCTATAGTATTCTTGAAAATCCAATGTAAATAAGTATCGACTGTCCCTTAATGAACTCTCATGATTTGATTATATTGCACATCCTCTCTGTCTCTTAGAATCTATTCAGCTTATCTTGTTCCTGCCTCTTAAATCTCTCTTAATCTCCTGTCCTCCTCTGCAGATTTCATCATCTAAGCTATCTTCTTCTACTATTTGATTCTCAGTAATTCCTTGCTCAGCATGTCCAAAGTCTCAGCAATCACCTCTCCTTGAATAGCTTCCAAGGCTGCATTCTTCACTTTCTCTTCATGTTATTGCATCAAAATCTCTTCCTATTCAGCTTCCGGTAAATCTGGAATTTTAGCCACAGTTAAAAGTTCTTCAATCAAAGCAGTTCTCTATTTTTAATTTCATAATCCAATACCTTCTCTTTTCCTTCGTACATTATATTTTACATTGCTCTTCCTCTAAACAGCCTTTGTAGCAAGACCACAGCTGAATTTCTTCTATCATCCCCTTGTCTTTTAATTGCTTCCTCTTTGAATTACTCATAATTCTCAAACTTCCTCTCCTGTCTCTTTATATCTCCATTCTCAAATTCCTAATTATATGTGGGTGTAGCTGGCCTTATTATAATATTCTTATTTCCAATGTGATCTGCTTAATTTTCATTAGATTGATCCTGCTTGTTTGTACCAAATATTTGATTTCTTGCTTTGTTTACTTCAATTTTATGTTGTATCTCCAATCTAGTGTAATCCTTCTCTATGGTTTTAATAAATTAGGCCACATTTACAGTAGTTTCTAGGATGGATGGCTTAATTGTAGTGGACAACTCAGTCAGACCCTTATACGTATTGAGAGCAACAGGCTAAACTTCATACTTGCTCGCAATCTTGTCTAAACTCAATCCTTCTCTTGTAATTCCTGCGTACACTTTAGAAGCAAAATTAGCATAATCCTCAATTATCTCCCTGCCCTTATCCTCATTATCTATCTCCTTTCGACTCTTTTGCATCTTTCTCAATATCTTGATTTTCCTCTTCTAAATCTTAGCAACCATTCTATTCTTTAGTTCTGTCTTCTTAATCTTAATGCTCTCAATCCTCTAAGCATTTTTCTCTTCCACATCCTTTTCCCTCTCCTTTAATGCTTCCTAGAGCAAATACAATCTCTCATTTTAAGTACTAAAAGACCATAAATATAACTGTTTACATCTTGATGTCTGTCTCCTTCTTCTTCCATTCCCTCTCCTCTTATGATTTCATTAAGGCTCTTCTTAATTTAAATGAGGCTTCATCTGAGATCGGAGGCAGCGAATTTTCAAACCACACTTTTTCTCTATTCCATTCGATCGATTCCAGTTCCTCTATTGAAGCAGGCAAACCCTTGTCCCATTTTAAATGTTGCAAAGCCAAAATTTCTATTGTTTAATCATCACTTTGATCATGAGCAGGCGTATAAGGAGCAGTTTAAGCTTCGGCATCTCTGTAATCAGTTTAAATCTCAACATCCTTAACCTATACTATTTAATTTTGAATCTACTCTCTCTATCGTCACCTTGGCAGGAAGAACTTATTCCTTTACTTATTAAACTGGAGGTTGACTCAATTTTAAAGGAGTGTCTGTCATTGTTGGTACAAGTGGTCGCTTGAAATAAAGAGGACGAGAAGATCCACTGATGTAATTGTACATTGATTGATTCCTATACTGATCATGAAGTACGTATGCTTCTTACATCTGATTATATGTTAAAATTATTATTCAAAAAAAAACAAATTAAAAAAAGGACCTACTTGGACTCGAACCAAGGTCTTGAGGGTTAGAGCCTCAGGTACTAACCACTATACGATAGATCCTATTCTGATCATTATAGGCCCTATATCTACATATATATTTTACCAATATTATTGAAAGCTCTCTAATTTTCAAATTTTATTTTTGTTAATTCATATATAATTTTTATTACTTGAATAAGTACCTAAGAATTCTCTATGAAAGAGAAGAAATCTATTAATTTATCCCTTAATTTAGAATCAAAATAGCTGAAGAAAAACTGTCCCCTTTTAACTTAACCATTATTAATATATTGCAATCTTCAACTAGAATATTTTTGGATATTTTAAAACATCGTTTAATCATATGAATTCAGATATAATTAGAATACAATATTCTTTAGCTTCCCTAATTGTGTACAATTATCTACAATGTTGATGCTTATACTTTAATTTTAAATTAGTATATAAAAATATCATCAAAACTAGAGACTTTAATCAAACAATTTTAATGTAAAATTCAATTTTCAGGCTACTGACTAACGATTTCTTAAAAGATTATTCAATAAATATTAGAATGGGTGATGACGAAAAAGAATTTAAGGCATTTTTGCACTTTTAATCAAAGGATATAAATATAATTGAACTACTAAATATCAGGAATTACAACAGGTAAAGGGAACAATCAATTATTTATTTAATGACATATAATACAATGAGAAAAGAACACATTAATAATTGTTTCAGGATTTGATAAATATAATTAACCTCCAACTTATGATCACTTGATTAAAGATAAACTGTGAGTTAAGATAGAGTATTTAAATATCTCTTTATTCTATTATTTTTATTTATAAAAATTCTGAAAAAATTTAAATGGTTGGTGTGGAAAGTTACTTGCAGAATTTAAAATAATGAAATAATTTCTTAAATTCCTCCATTTCAATATTGTAAAATTTGGTTTTAAATATGTCTATCAATTCCTATCCTTTTGTATATAATTGTATTAAGCAGATATTGAAAAATAGAGGATCTCACAAATTAGACAATATGATAATGTATTTGAATCATTCCTTTTTTACTCTAATAAGTTAATATGTTTTTCTAGGAAAACTTTAAATTTAATTCGATATAAACTCTATAATATAAATTATTTAAATGGGAAATTATTGCCATTCAGAGGAGACTCCTAAATCTGAAATTCCAACTCCCAGGACTCAAAGTAAAGGAAAACTTGTTTTTCAGAATTTAATTTTGACAAATACTTAATTTTTAAAGTAATGCAAGGACTCATATTTCGTATAATTCCACAAAGTATAATCATAGGTCTTAATTAGAACATTGTTGAAAAAGACATCGAGTCACTATCAAAATTTATGAGTTAAAAATTGTTGAATATATCTATCAAAGGACCCTATCCAACAGAAGATGAGAAATTAATCATTTCGAAGAATATTTCCAAAGACATTGGGTAAAGAGAAAAACATCTTTATAATCAACTCGTATTCCATTATGTATAATTTCTAAATGAGCTCTTTGAATTGGATTAAACTTTTTAAATAAATACTAAATCAAACTATATCGCAGGAGATGTCAGAGTAAACGCTCAATTAATCAGAAATACATTCGTCAAACGTAGTTTGTCAGATAATCTTAGATTTCAAGAACAAATAATATCTGATTAAAGCATTCCACATAATACATAAATCGATTAAAATATAAGCAGATAATTTCGAGAAAATAAACAATTGGCAAATTTGGTTTTGGAGCAACTTAGTTGTATTTTCAAATTATGCTATTTAATAATTGAATATGTCTATTCAAATTGCATCCTATAGATTTTTGGCACTTCAATTGATTCATTTACCGATCGTTACCTGTTGATATCAAAAATTTATTAAAAAAATATTATAGAGTTAAATCCTGAAATTTAGAAATTGATTACCTCAGCAATTCAGGCCAAGTATGAGAATAAATCATCCTTAATTAAATCTGAACACATGTCTCCAGCACTTTTATAGCCTTCATTAATTCCTCAAACAGTTGATAGCATTATAAGTCGCGATTCTGAGATTGATTTGTTGGATTCTATCGAGAAAAACATGAAGAATTAATAATAAGATTAGCAAATGTAGAATAGATTTTATTACTCTTAAACCTTCTCTACAATTGACAAGATTATCAATTGCAAATTGCCATGGTTAAAGTTTTAGTTAATAGGGAAGTTGGATCAATAAATTGTGGATATTTTCTTGTAATACCGATCACAAAGCCAAATTGCTCATTTCATTGATGTAATCAAACCTGAAGATTCAAAAATTGAAGTTTTACTTTATATCCTGTAGAGATATATGTCTTCAAGAAGGAATTTGAATTTGCCTCTTTGCTATTATGAATTAAGATGGATGCAGGAGGATGACAATGTTTTACATCACAAGGTCAAGACCATAACTTGTCCTTACTTCAGTAGATTTTTATCCTTATATGAAATTTCTTTTAAAAATTATCAAAGAAAATAAGCCCAACTTTTATATAATTGATTTTACATCATTAATGGTCTATATGATATCAACTTCGTGTTTCTTATTTCTAATAAGTTTTTATAGAAAATTAAGTACGATATATAATTATATCTGAATATTTATGTCGACAGTTTCATCTATCCAAATAATACAAATTGATTGATATCTAACACTTAATTTTCAGAGTTCCTTTCTATAAACTATAAGCTGTGTTATTTTATTTATATTTATTATAATCCGTTTTCATAAGTAATGAAAACTCTTCTTCTGTTTGTCGTATTCCTTGGAATAAGAGCAGTAAGGAGGAAAGATGAAGAACAATTTTAAGCAAATTAAGAAATTATGCATAATGATCCCAGTTTTGATGATCTGGAGGAAATATCAGAAAATCCATTGGGAGCTAAGGTTTTACAAACAGTAGCTCTGTAAATTAAAAGTGGAGAAGGCATTGACAGCATAGTTTCCTTATTGACAAATTTGAAGGGTGATCTCGAAGTAGATAATGATTTTATAAAAGGGAAAATAAATCTAATAAGATGGGTCAAATGCAGCCATCTAATCATAATGTAAATCAGACATGGACAGTTATAGTTAACGAGTTTAATTGGCAGTAAATGAAATTAATGATGTTGAATTTAAAGTTGGAAGATTAGAGTCAGATATTGAAGATTATACCAGTGAATTAGATCTTAAACAATCCTAAATAGATGTAAAAGTGTTCGAAGATTATTTAATAGACTTTTTAAAGTTCAGAGAATTCTTTGAGAGATTTAAGGTTGAAACAATCAGCAAATTATAACAAAAGATTAGGTTAACTAAAAGAAATGATAAATGCATTTTAAGTTATGCTACCAAAGATGCATGAATTGTATGATTAAGTTTCATAGAGGGATGCAGAAGTACAAATTAATATATTATTCATTAAGTCTTTTGTGTAAGAAGAAGCCTTTGCTACTTCTTTTGTGCAATTAGCAAATAGTGGACCATCTAATCCAATCTTAGCTTTAGTTTAGGTTACCTCAATGATGGATTCAAGATCAATTCAAACTATAATAGAAAAAATGGAAGTCGTCCGAGATTCCTTAATAACTTCAGTGGATGAAGAGACTGCTTTGGAAGAACAAGCCATTAGAGTAATCATTTTCAGTTAAATATTAGGATAATGATGTTACTCTTAATGAAATATTTAATGCTATGCAGGCTTTGACTAGAGAAAAAGCAGCAGACGATGAGTCTTTGTAGGATACTATAAGGACTAGAGATCAATAATAGAAAAGAGGAAGCGATGCTTAGGCTGAATTTGTAGCATCAAAGACAGGAATGAAGTAAAGAAGAGGACAATGTTAAGAATTATTAGTCTAATATTAATAAAATACCATCTAAAGAAGTAGGGAAATAGAGATCATTAAAAAGGTGTAGATTATTATTTAGACTAAATTAAACGTTGTGAAGTCATTCATCCAAGAACAATAGATTTCTTGAACTAATTATTTTTTATCTATATTGATAAATTATGTTTAATAAAATACAGTAACATTGTATAGCATTATATTTTCATTCTAAAGTAAATTAAATAAGACTATGAACTAGTTTAATTTAATTATTTAACTATCGTAATGAAATGATATTGCAAAGCTAACCAACCTCCTGGAAGAAATTATAAATTAATGCATACTTTAACTTTCATCAAAATTTCAATTTTTTATGTAAAACATTGGAAAATGAAATAAATAAAACAATAGTTTCTTCAATAATTCTTTGTACTTCATAAGTGTTATAACAGAAGTTAAGAACAAAACAAAGAAACTTTAAGATATTTGATAATATATAATAAAATTATTTCAAAATATCCATTTTATTCATTATCTCATCTATTTTAATTTGATAATTTCCGCTTTCCATTTGTTAAAATTTATTGCTCTCTTTGTTTTGCAGTAGAGTTTTAACCTTTGAACATTTTGGCCAAAGGACTTAATGAATTATTATTATTTCGGTTTCTACTTTGAGAAGGTGATACTGCAATTTTATATCTCTATTCCAAACTCATTCTTTTAGAATTTAACATGTCTGGCTTTAATTTATTTTAGTTAATTTGTTTGTTTTGATTTTCATTTATATTGTTAGGTTCACTTTAAAATCCCAAAGACAATTAAGAAGAGCTTTATAGAACAGAAGTGATTATATTTTACTCTTCCTTATCGCATTTTGATTCTTATGTAATAAGGAATTTTGGGTATAAGACATAATTCTGAGTCAAGGATGGGCAAAATAACTGATCCTAATCTTCACATTCAACATTTTCATATTCGTGCTTTAATGATTAAGACAAAGGTCTTGAAACATGTAACTCTTAAGATTTATGTTTCTGATTTTATCCACATATTATACCCATTTAATTTAAAGATTCAATTATATAAATGTGTGGATTGTGTAAAATTCGTTTGAATTAACTAATTATTCATGGATAACAAATTTAATATAATAATCATATCTAAAGAGAAATTATTAAAAAAAATCTCATTTAATTCTTCCATATAATATAGAATTCGAAGGGATTTAGTGAGTAGTTCTTCTATAAATTACAGGGAGATGGACTTTTTCTTATGATTAGGGATTAGGCAATGTTTTAATTCTAAAACTAGAAGGACTCTGCAGTTGAGGAATAGAATTGGTAGGTAAAATTGGAAACGATTTTTTTAAGGATGCTTTGACTTTATGCGGTTTATTCAAATTTTATAAGGTAGACTTAATTTATTATTTTAATGCTCCGATTAATTTTTCTCTTTAAAACCATTTGTGATTTAAGGCTTAATGAGATGACAGTCTCTCTTAAGGATCTAATTTGAGAAGACCCTTGAGAAACTCCAAAGCCAAGTTACTCACCCTGATGGCTTGAAAATCAATAACTCCAATTAAATTTTGAATGACTTTATCCTGATAATTTCCATCGAAAGGCTCTTTTCCTGCGAATAAAATGAAGAGCAGAATTCCAACGCTATAGACATCTACTTTGAGGTCGTAGTTCTTGTCTGCTAAAACTTCAGGGGCTACGTATCCTACAGTTCCACATCGTGTAAATTGGTAATGTCCTTCGTCATCATAGAATTCTGCTAACTTAAAATCTGTTAAACATAGACTATCTAAATTATCTAGTTGTCGAAAGATGAAATTGTCGAGTTTAATGTCTCTATGCATTATTTTTTTGGAATGGAGATATGCAACAATTTTAATAATTCTAAATATGGCCTTAGCTGCTTTTTCTTCTGAAAACAAAGGGTTCTTCGATACATACTCTGATAAGGTGTAAGAGGGCAAATTTTCAACAATTACATAAATTTGATCTTGATTTTCGAATAGATCATAAAACTTCATTGTTAAATCTGTTTTCAATTGACGAATCACTGATATTTCTTTGAAGAATTATTGTCTATCTTCATCGTCGATTATCAATGACTTTTAATAAATCTTAATAATGCATTCTGCACCATCCACTTTATTTTTTCCTTTGTATGACTCTCCAAACTTAATTTTGTTGAGTTTTGAGATGGGCGTATAATAATGTAGGAAATCATATTAGACGGCAAACCTCTTCATAAATTTATACCAATAGTTTGCGTTGCCAAAGAATTCAACTCTATCGAAGCATTTCGTTAAACGAATTCCCACGCCCAATTCGGAATTGGATATTAATTCTATAATTGCATTTTCATAATTAATCCAAACAATTTTTTCCTAACAATTAATTCACAATATAATACATTTTTACTTTTATAAAATAAATACTGATCTAAAAGTTTATAAGTTCTTCTCTTAAGTTATTATTTTTTGTCTATGCAAACTACATCGTCTTCGATATTAAAGATAGTCGGAAGAAATGGTAGATGAGATTTATTCCACTTCATTTCTTGAAAGGATATCTAAAAAAATGAACGACAATGTTTATAATTACAGCTATATAACAAACTTACAAGTACCTTGGATTCAAATCTTCGCACATATCTTGTAAATTAATTCGAGGTATTTATTATTATTAATAATCAATTTGGCTCATTAATGTTTGATAAATCACTTAATCATAGAACATTAATTGTTATATACATAATTTTATTCATAATTATTTTAGAGGAATATAAGATTTTCGAAACTATCTTAATTTATAGCCAGCTTAGGTTCTCGCAGTATTGATGGGCTTGAGTGTGGCAGGCGTATTTGGAGTCTAAGGACTATCATCAATATTGTTTTTGGTAACACAATAGGGACTGAGACTGGATAGCGAACTTTTCGGACTGAATTACGTTGAAATGGCAGAATTCTATTTAACATTCGTGTCGAAATAAGCTAACTTCTTTAATGAAGTTTGATGTTATTTTCTTATTTTGAATTGACACGTTTTTGTTAGGTTTTCAGTAGCAAACCATGGATGATTCAAAGCCTCTTCAGCAGTTAATCTCTTAATAGGATTTTTGTTCATAAGTCCTTAAAGTAAGTCCATCCCTAACTCACTTAATTTGCAATCTTCAAACCTGACTTTGGCATAATAATTTCGCATGACCACATCATCGTAATCCTTCCCATCAAATGGCGATTTGCCGGCAATCAAAATAAACATTAGAATTCCCACACTATAAACATCAATCTTGAAATCATAGAGTTTATCCTACAATAATTCTGGAGCCACATAGCCAGGTGTTCCACATCGAGTAAATAAATATTATCCATTTGGTGAATAGTAATCAGCCAACCCAAAGTCCCCTATACAAATATTTTCAAGATCATCTTTATTTCTCAGCATGATGTTCTCTGGTTTGATGTCTCTATGTAAAATTCCTTTTTAATGTATGGAAGAAACTGCTTTCAATAATCTAAAAATTAATTTAGAACATTTTTCTTCAGAAAATGGAGGGGATTTTTTCATATATTAATGTAACTCGCCTCCTTTCAAATATTCCAACACTAAAAACAAATATTCATCTCCTTCAAACACCTCATATATTCGAATCACGGATTCATGCTGTATTTTTTTCATAATAGATATTTCCTTAATTATCGCCAATCTATCAACGCTTTCATTCAGCTTTGCCTTCCTAAAGCACTTAATTGCATATTCAGACCCATCATTCTTATTACTAGCTTTGAAAACCTAGATATTATGAAAGAACGTACATCAGCAAAATTCCCTGCCCCTATCTTCTTCTGTAATGTGTAATGATGAGAAAAATTGCGTTGAATGCAAAATTATTTCAGGTAATTGTACCATGGTTCAACATCTCCGAAGAACTCAAAAGTGTATTTGTTTTTTGTAATTCTAATTCCAGGTCCTGGCTTCTAATGTTTAGCATATTCAATCGTAGCATTGTCTACATTGACCCATTACGTCACGTTCTATTGGTTATTGAATGAATTTACCTGTTTTTTGAAATACAGGAGATAGTTATTAGACATCCCCAGACCAACTTTGTACAATTCAGAATCCTTTTCCAAATACATAGTATCGTTCATATTCAAAGGGGCATCTTTTAATGGAAAGTCTGTAAGATTCCAAAACCCAGTTGCATCTGGGTCGTCAAAAAAAGAGTCCTTTTTAATTACATTCATTTGGCTTTTTTAAATATAAAAATTGGAATTGAAGTAATTTCATTTTAATATGTTATTTCAGACTCAAAATAAAACGATTTAGTTGATATCAGAGCAAGTAACTCAAATTTAGAATATTGTTATTTGAATAAATGATATCAAGGGAATTAGACCATAAATACCTAAAGTGAGTAGAATGAAATGGTTATGAATATTTACGATTGTGATTTCATCACCTTTAAGTTTTATCACATTTAATTTTATTAAAAACATTTATATTTACATGCAATAACAACAAAATTCAACATATTAATTGAAAATTGTGAATACTGAAACTAGGTCCGACATTGTTTACTATCAGATCTAAGTAATATATAGCAGAATATAACAAGGTCTTAAACACATAAACAAAAATATCCTGGAGCTTTGAAGAAAGATATAAAAACATCAATAATCTGCACACTTAATTGGCATCAGAATTAAAGCAATAACTTCCTTAATTCCCAGCCAAAAAATTCTTTGGCAATACTGATCCAGAATTCATTTCGACCAGAAAGGCTGGGTTATAGAATTATTTTAAGACTTTACTTTAAATAGTGGATGCAGAATAGTGTCCAACTCTTAAGAAATTTTTGACTAAAGGAGAATAGAAATAAATCAAGGATCAACCTCAATCATTTAAGGAAGATTAGGTCAAACAAAATGATATTTAAGGAAATGCATCTTCAAAAGAAAAAATTCAACAGCAAAAATAAATTGAAAATGAGAGAATAAAAAAAGAATTAAAGGATAAGTTGGGTGCAGCCACTTAACAAATCAAGTCAAAGTTTGTTGATCTAGGCAATTTAGTCAACCCTCCAGATGAGCATGACATCAAAAAGAAGAGAGCACACTATGATCAAATTCGCTTAGACCTTAAAGTATTTTAGAGTATATATTCTTTAGAATTTTCAAACTAATATAGACATTCCTAAGCCAAGTGCATAATCAAAAATGATGATTGCCTAATCGACAATCGAGCAAACATAACCAAAATTAATATAGTTGATCTCATAATTGCAAGCTGGAGTAGAAAGCATCATAAGCATTTGAGTATTAAAAAATATCAATTATATTTAATTATTGGAACGGTCTTATTTTATGTAATCCCTTTTAGAAAAAATTGATATTTTTGGAGTTCCTATTAAATTGAAAACTAGAAAACAATAGGAAGAATTTAAAACATCCCAAAGTGGATTGATACTTCAGTCTCTACGACTTAAGATCAAAAATAAATCCGTTCACAAAAGAGAATAACATAATTATGCCTGTTTTATTAGAACTCGTTAGTTCCACCATTTCAGCTGCTCCTAAAATATTATTTAGTACATAGTAAATAGATGGAAATAAAAATGTTGTAATAATTGATAAGGGAAAATTAATTTTAAGTAAATAGATGGACCCAAAAAAGATGACCAAGAGGAACTAAGGTACTATTTTGTATTTTTCACAAAATGTCGTTAGGAGTGGATGGACGATGGAGGATACTGCGCAGAACAATAAGAAATTGATGAGTATTTCAGTACAAATCATGGATTATTATTTTTATCAATTAACCTTCAACAATATAATTATGAAACTTTAGAATTTGAGTAAATTAAAAAGACTGAATAATTTGCCTTTGAAGAAGTCAGCCCATTTCATGCTTAAGTCGTAATATAAAAATAATAAACAACTATTGATAACGGCATATTGTTTAGCAATTTAGAATAGTATGAAGTAATTAAGGACTTTAGAGTAAATACTTAAACTATCTCATCTAAGTTTGCTGAGAAAACAGTAATTAGTGCAGATGGTTCTAAATTATAATTTGATTCATTATGCTCATTTGGATTCAGAATTGATAATAAATTAGGTCTTGAGGTTATTCTGATGCCAAAATTAGGGGAGGTCTTGGCTCAAATTGGATCTATTGTAAATGTGATTATGCTGTTGAAAATATTCTCGAATATCATTAATACAACTATATTGGAGAGTACATTACTTGATGAAATAATTGAAATTTACTACCCATAATTTAAGCAAGTCTAAATTACTAGAAATGTATTAGGCAAAGTTAAATAAGTTCATTATAAAGGTGTCTAAATCAAGATGAAGACTTTTAAACCTAAGTACAATCAATTATTGGATATTGCAAGAATTAAGTTTACTTACAATAATCTGATATAAGAATTATCTCGAATTTAAATGATTTTAATACATTAGATAGGAATGGAAAATATAAAAAATATATTTAAGAATGGAGAGGATCTGTAATTTCTTGAGAGTGATAGATTGTCTAATTCCCCCAAAGAATAAGAATTTGAAAAATTTGCATTATTCGATTAAGAATTTCCATTTTCATAATGACTATTATTGAAATACATAAATATTTAAAATCGTACGTCATAAATAAAAGTGTAAATGTTAACATTTGACAAATATCCATTCTTGGCCTAACTTGGTTTAAAAGCTGAAAATTATGGAGCATCCCTGAGTGGAACATGGGTAGGAGATGGAGAGTGGACTACTAGTTACAATCCAAACACAGGAGAAGCCATAGCAAAAGTAAAATTAGGAACACTCCAATAATACGAATAAGGAATGTAAGAGCTTTTGAAGGTTAAGAATATGTGGGCTGAGGTATTCAATATTGTTAATTTAGTTACCTATTCCAAGAAGAGGCGACATAGTGAGATAAATCGGAGATGAGTTTAGAAAATAGAAGGAAGCTTTGGGAATGTTGGTTGCCTTGGAGATGGGTAAAATAAAATCAGAGGGTTTGGGTGAAGTCCAAGAAATCATAGATATTTGTGATATGGCCTGTGGATTATCAAGATCATTATATGGATTAGTAATCCCATCAGAGAGACCATCCCATTTCATGATGGAATAATGGAATCCCTTGGGTGTGGTAGGCATTATCACAGCATTTAACTTCCCAGTTGCTGTGTTAGGTTGGAATTTAGCACTTGGATTAATTTGTGGTGATGTTTGTGTTTGGAAAGGAGCACCATCAACAAATTTATCATCCATTGCTTGTACCAATATCATTCATGAAGTCTTTAAAAGAAATGGAGTAATTTATAATATGTAATCAATTAGTTACCAACAAGTATAGTATTCACTATTTGTGGAGATGGGGTTTAAATTGGAGAAGCTATTACAAGTGATAAGAGAATTCCATTAGTATCCTTTACAGGTTCCACTTAAGTTGGTAAAATCATTGCTGCAAAGGTGGCTTCCAGATTAGCCAGAAGTCTATTGGAATTAGGAGGAAATAATGCTTAGATTGTTCACGAAGATGCCAATGTTGATTTAGCACTCAAAGCTGCAGTATTTGCAGCTGTTGGTACATGTGGATAGAGATGCACATCCTTAAGAAGATTGTTGTTACATAACAGCATTGCTGAGACATTCATTCAAAAAATGGTTAAGGTTTATGGCACCATTAAAATTGGAAATGCTTTAAATGATGGTAATTAATTCATATATTGTAGATACCTTATGTGGTCCACTTCATACAAAGGGTTAGGTTGAGTAATACAAAAAGGTTATCCCTGAAATTCAAGCATAAGGAGGGAAATTACTCTATGGAGGTAATGTGATAGAAGGTCCTGGTAACTTTGTTTAACCAACAATCTTTGAGGTTAAGGCTAATCACCCCATTTTACAACATGAACTCTTCATGCCTATCTTATTTATTGTTAGATATGATACCTTGGAGGAAGCTATTGAAATTAATAACAATGTCCCATAAGGTTTGAGTAGCTCATTATTCACATCCAATTTAAGCAATTCATATAAATGGACTGGACCTTTGGGATCTGATTGCGGTATTGTAAATGTTAATATTGGAACATCTGGAGCTGAAATTGGAGGAGCTTTTGGAGGTGAAAAAGAAACTGGAGGAGGTAGAGAATCAGGAAGCGACTCATGGAAGACTTATATGAGGAGATCTACATGCACTATTAATTTTGGTAAGACATTGCCTCTTGCCTAAGGAGTTAAATTTGATATTTGAAACATTATATAATTATCCAATGTAAACATTAAAATTGTAATATATTTATTAATTATTTATGATATTTTTTAAAGATGCTTAGATTTCATATCAAGGAATTAGTGGTTCATATTTTAACATCATAATAGTTAGTATGAAATAATTTACTCAATCTAACATTGAATAATGAGTTGATATATTCTACTATAATGATAATGGATTTCGGAGAAAAATTTCTGTTAAGCCCATAAAATGTTTTATTATAGATTGATGCTTTATAAAAGTAGATTAAAAGAGAGTATGCTTTATGTTGGAAAGCATATTTAAAAGTCTGTTTTATCAATATTTTACGCTAAATTGCAGTAAGTATCAACCAAAGATTGAAAATGTTTCTATGGATTATATGTTTTATGCTATGGAATTATCATATTTAATTCTTATAATGGATAACTAAATAATTTAGGGTTGTTTTATAAGATTTATTAATAATAAATGAAGATTAGCTATTTTTGGAGATTGTTAATCATGTTAAAGAGCAAGAATGTATAGAGCGGGAGTAAGTTCATTAAAATAGGTTGATACTAATTTTGGAGCTTTCAAGGCGAATCTTAAAGTTTAGCTGGAAACTCTCGTAACTATTAATAATATTATGATTAGTTGGGATTATCAAGGTGTTACAGATCTTGTGACAGTGATACGTCTGTTCTTAATTCTTCTGGGACCAAGGAATGGCTAATGAATTAGTGATACAAATTAGTGGAAGTAAAAACTAGGTTTTGGGAGAGAAAGGCCTCAATGGACGAAATATTATGATTGTAAATAGGTTATGAAAATATTTATTAACAGATGAGTAATAATATTAATATTTTCAATAATTAATGAGTGAGGAGCGTATAGAATAAAGACCTGAGACATCGAAATGTTCTCGATTGGATAAAAGGAGAATGATAAGTTAGAACTCTTAAAGAAATCGTACTGCGATATAAAGCAGAACTGCTTAAAATTTTAATCCAAATAGTTATAATGGGATGACATTAGATGAATATTTTAGAAACAAAGTTTAGGAGAATGGCAATGCATAAGCGGATAAAAAAAAAAAAGTAGTGAAGTTTTGTATGATAGTTTTTGGTGACGAGCAATGAATTCTTTAAGGAATTCTAAAATTAAGATGTAATGAGAAGAACGTATATGGGAGACAGCAAATATATGAATATGAAGTAGGACATGAAAAAGAAAATATAGGATTACGATAAGAATTTGTTTCAAAAATATGCTAATAAATTTGATTTGGGAAATGGTTTTGGAAAGTGAATTTATAATATATATATGTCACATTTTTTAAATAAAATAAATAAAAGATTTCAATATTTATGGGTAAGTAATACGCCAGAGAGCCAGCTGTTGCTAAGAAATCATGTAAGGCTAGAGCCAGTGATTTAAGAACACATTTCAAAAACACTTACGAAGTCGCAAGAGCCATAAAAGGATAAACACTTGCATAAGCACTAAAATACTTATAAGATGTATTATAACACAAGAGATGTGTTCCATTCACTCGTTTCAATGGTGGAGTTGGTAGAACTGGATAAGCAAAAGAATTCGGCAGATCATAAGGTAAATAGAGCAAGCTAAACATCATATAGGTAGATGGCCTGAAAAGAGTGTAAGAATTGTTTTATCATTATTGCAAAATTTGGCAGCTAATGCTTAAGTTAAGAATTTAAGCAATGAGAAATTGATCATCAATCATGTCTAAGTCAACAGAGCATAAAAGGGTAGACGTAGAACCTACAGAGCACACGGAAGAATTAATCGTAAGAAATTAAAATATTGCAGCATTTTTATCATCCAATGCTCATATTGAATTGTGGGCTGCAGAAAAAGATGAAAATGTTAAAAAAGAGACAAACAATCAATAGGTTGCTCGTTAATCAAGAAAATAAGTGGCTAGATCAAAATTATCTATTGGTGCATGAATTTATAATAACACATATTAAATATTAATTTTATGAATAACCCTTCTCGTTTTCGACAAAGTTCGAATACCTAAAGTGTTAATTATTTACCTGCTTGGAAACAAAATGATTCTGAAGAAAGGAAGAAATACCAAATAATCCTTCTCCCTGTCACTCAACCGAGAGAGGATTATATCATTAGTTCAATTTATTAGATGTTCAATACTCAAGACATAGAAGTGAATAAACTTATTTATTATTACTTCTATAAGCTAAAGGAGAGTGGGCCTCATTAATTCTTAACAAATAAATTGTACTAGGTTTAATAAGAAGAATTAGAGTTCTTTATTCCTTAATTAGTGTATATAACTCATTTTTATTTCATTTAGGTATATACTTATAAAGAATGATTCTCCTTATTTAGAGAAGTTCATAACTACATTGTGTAACAAGAGCATTGCATTGTATTAATTAATTAAATGGTGTTGGGTCTCATATTCTGACAGGGATAGGACGGATAAGAACAAAATGAAGAGATTATAAAGAATAGACGATGTAAAAATTACAATTACCATACTAGTAATTTGAATAATCGATGCTAACATTACACAATGATCATAGTGCAGTCAAAATCCCTAATTTATAATTAAAATCATATCAGAGTGTTGTAGATCTCTATCTAAATAATTTGATTTAAATGTCCTTGATACTTAAAACCTATAAGCCAGAGGACAGAAAACCTAAATTAAAAAACTTTATTACTAGAGCTAATGTGGCTTTAGAGAAATATCGATTAAAACATTAAGAATATTACTTTTGTTAAGGAATCACTGTACCTTTTACTATGAGCAAAGATTAAGACGTAGCTGTACATTCAAATTTAGTAGTTAGAATTATCGAAGGAGAATGCTCATGTTTCAATACTAAAAAAAGGGTACCCTATAGAATTGTAGTCGAAACCATAGAGTATTTATAAAATACTTATTATAGTCCTCATGAATTGAAATACAAACAACCAAAGAAGACTGCAAACAATTCAATCACTAATAATCGATCGATTGCTAATTTAGATGATGATACAATGGAAGACTTCTTGTAAGCTGATTTAAATCAACCGAATAAATAGGAAATAGAAAAAAAAATGGAAGAATTGGCTAAAAATCGAAATAAAAAGGAATATAGTGATTTAATGAAAATAACTTAAAAAAAAGAACCGAAAAAGGGAATGAAAATGTTTAAAAATATAATGAGTGCTGTCTATCTAACAAAGAAAGAGAAGGCTACAGAGAATGAATAAGATTAAGAATTGATTCTATAGGAACAAATAATGAAGAATCTGTAATTTTAAAAATAATTTACAAATGCAATTGAGGAGGAGAAATTTTAAAAAAACCGACAGCGGTATGTGTTTAAATTATTAAAAGGTTCAATATTTTATTTCCAGAAAAAACTAATGAGAGAACTTAGTCATGCATTCCTAAATTAAACAGTAAATATAGATAACAGGGCTAAAGGAAAGATAAGAATTACTGGCTCAGATTATACAAAGAGAATTTCAAAAATGGATTTAGACATAAACATAAATCCATCAAATAATTAACTGCCCTAGGAAGAGTTAGATTCTTTAAGGAGTTGTTATTATGTATTTAGATTTTAAATAATTTAGTTTGTCCCAAATAAGAGGAAGTATTAAAAAAGATATATGTGCATCTTCAGTATGATTTGATTGAGAAAAAATTAGAAAAAAATAAAGTAGATATTCATTAGGATGGAATAGAATTACATAGCAAATTTGGACCATGGGATGAGTTATGGGAAGATAGGGCGGAAATGATAAAGAGAGAAAGTCCTTATTAACATTTTGAAACATATCGACTGAAACCTATTATTGTTAAGGGAGGAGATGATCTGCGCTAAGAACTTATGACTATGCAGATCATCTATAAGATGTATTAGGCCTTTTAGAGTCATGGTTTGGATATGTATGTGAAGGCATATGAAATCATAGTTGTAAGTGCAAGTTCAGGTATTCTGGAGTTTTGTGCAGACACTATTTCAATTGATGGTTTGAAAAAGAAGTACCCAGCCTGCAAATCTCTAGTACATATTTATAAAGAAATATTTCAATAAGATTTTGAAGAAGCCTAAATGAGGTTCATTTAGAGTCTTGCCTCTTACTCAATCATCAGTTATTTATTATAAATAAAGGACAGACACAATGGCAATATTTTGATAGACAGCAAAGGAAGGATTGTACATATTGATTTTGGATTTATTTTGTGTATTTCTCCTGGGAATCTGAACTTTGAGAAGGCTCCCTTTAAATTGACTCAAGAATACATTGATTTAATGAATGGAAGGAATTCTGATCTGTTCTTATATTATAAGAATCTTATGTATAGGGGATTCAAAGCACTTCAAGGTTATGTTGACGAGATAATAATGATTATTGAGATCATGATGTAGGACAGTGATTTGCCTTGTTTTGAGAGATTTGACATCAAAGAGTTTAGAGATCGTTTCAAAGAGGAGGCAAGTGATGAGGAATTGTAAAGATATGCTGAAAAACTAATTGATTACAGTGATAATAATTGGAGAACTATTTAGTACGATAATTTCCAAAGAATGACGAATGGTATTATGCCTTGATTATTAAAACATGCGATATATTTAAATCTTTATAATATTCATTAATGATATTTGTACTACTATTATTGATATCTTAAACAAATGCTCTTTATTCAAAAAAACTCTATAGAACCAGAGGTTTAAATGCAATCGATATTGATTTGGAGAAATATAGTGATTTGAATTAAGGATCAACAACGATCAACATCATCCTTGAGAATAATTCATTTTCAACAGCGTCCCCTTTTTTGGCTTTTTGCTATACAACAAACTAATAAACAATAAAATCTATCGTAAGCTCTCCTGAAGCAATAAAGAATCAAATAGAATCAAACAAGTAATAATGAGAATTGACATATTTAGAAAGATGTGCATATTTGATAACAATGCTCTTTTATATCAACAACGCGTACAGTAGATTGTATTATCAGACCTTGTAGATGATGGAAATGAACAGGCGTATAATAAATTTAGCGTCTTCAAGCTGAGCAACAAACAGTTTTCTATTTATATATATTCTTCAGACGATGCCCAATACTCAATAATTCTAAAGGGTTCTTAGAAGGGAGAATGCTACAAGTGAGTTATAAAATTATTTTAGTTAATGCAACAACAATGGATAGTGCATGAGCAATGAAGTATTATTTTGTAAATGCAACGAGGGTTATTTGGATAGTACTTGTCAATTGTTAAGCACTGTCATCACTCCTCCTAGAGTGGTTTAGGTAGAATACATTATGATTATAGTTTCAAATGAAAAAGCAGCCATCTTAAATCGTTTTACTATTCCCTTTAAGAACGTCATCTACTTAATTATCAATTGAAGTATACTCGAATATAGGAATAATGGCATATCTTGGTTGCTAATTTGATAAGAACTTCATTCCATTTTATCAGAGCAATTCATTTTATCAAATTGAAATTTCAACTGGAATTATAAACTTCAAATAAGATGATATCCAGGATTGTTAGAATAACATAAAGTTAATCAGATAAAATTTAGGAGTCGAAATGGATAATTATATTGTGTTATTATTAGTGAATGATCAAAATTAAGATATAAAAGTAGAACTGAAACTCTACTTAGATAACAATAATGACGATGATTCTGGATTAGAAATATATTACATTCTAGCTGGTGCTTTAGGAGCTCTGATTGTGGCATTGCTCATAATAATATGTGTTATTTACTTTCAAAGAAAAGCTAGAAGAATTAACAATGGAGTTTAAAACACCCTAAATTTGAGATCAGTTTAAAATAATGGAACTAAAAATAAAGGTCCACGATAAGATAATATTCCAGTGGAATTATATGAGCAAATCATTCAAGAATACCCAGGTTTGGTTGAAATTTCAGAATGCTAGATATGTCTTGTGGAGTTCTAAAAATAGGATTTAGTCAAATTAACCTATTGTCTACACTTATTTCATTCTACATGTATCGATGAATGGAGAAAGAGAAATTAAGTATTGAAATCTTAGATATCCATAGACTTGTCCATTTTGCAGAGAAGATCTAACCAAAAAGAAAGTCATTTAATAGAGAGTAGAAGAAAAGATCTATCAATTGGGAGTGGTCTAAGATGATGCAATGCATATAGATGAGCACAAACTGGCAGAATTATAAAAACGAGAATAAAGACTGAAAAAAATTCAATGTATTCATTAATCTACGATAATTAAGAAACATCCTCTCCTGATTCTGCTAATGGAATATCAATGAAGGAAAATACACCATCGCCATTTCTAAAAGGAGATTAAATTACTTAGTAGTTTTGCTTATAAAAATAAAAATGAGAATTATGATTTAATTAATGTTTCTATATTTATTAATAACTGCTTGTCATGCTGATATTATTTTTAGCAAAGGATTTATATCCGTTTAGGGATAGATCAATGTAGAGACCACCTCTTTATTGAGGAGATAGATATCTGACAATGAAAGAGTTGTCATATCGATAACTAATTACCCAAAATAAAAAATTCCATTATTGTTGATTTGTAGAGCGAACAATAATTTTGAGGAATAACCTGATCTTCAGGTAATTTAATAGTAATATTGTATCTTATAACTAGATAAAATTGTATTGCTGACTTGAATTCATATGATTTCAGGAGACCCAAACAATAGATTATCTTAGATTTCCAAGAAGATTACAAAACCTTTATGAATATTATATATTAAGAGAAAGGAAGTGTTCCCTTTATCACAGTTTACTCAAAATCAAATATTGACTTTGTACTTGTGATTGCCATCCAGTAAAAGTAATCCTGCTATATGTATGTCTACAATGTGAGTATTTATTTAGAGAGTGCTAATAAGGAAGCATTTGCGTTCGAGGTCAATGTATTTGTTAAAGGGGTTTTTTTGGAGATGACTGTAGCATCAGTATAATATCATTGTAGGAAAAAGATAATTTTGAAAAAGATGTAATATATTATATAAACGCTGCTAATTTAGAAGTATTGTATTTATCATAGATTATAGGAAGTGTCTCTAAATTTTACAGAAAAGTCAAATTTTAGAATTGGATGTTTAGCATTTAATCCATATGTTTATCGAGGGGAGTTTATTTTAGATAGTTTTCTAGAACTCACCAAATAACAACAAATAGATTGTCTAGATGAAACAAAAAAAGTAAATAAACAGTTTTCGATAAATTTATAACCACTCTATGTATTCGTAGTTGAATAAGATGCAATTTATTTGGAATCCCAATTAGTTGACTCAAATCAGAACACAATCCTGTATGTAGTCACATCAATAGGAATATTTTTACTAGTTGTGTTCATGTATTGTTGCTTTCGTTTTAAGAAATCGAACAGAAGAATGAATAATCTGAATACTATTTAAATTCCAATCTCTTAATAAATGCCATCTTAAAATTCAATTAACAAATATATTCCTATTTAAAAATACGAAGAAGTCATGAAATAATTTCCAGGCCTTTCAGATGATTAGACATGTTAAATTTGCTTAGAAGTTTACAAAAAAGAGGATAAAGTCAGAATTACTTATTGCACTCACTTTTACCATGCAGAATGTATTGATATCTGGATTAATCAAAATGAAGTAACCCAATAATATCATTTAAGAATTGCCCAACTTGTCGATCTTCTTTAACTGTCGAAACATTAACTAAATTTTTTGAAACTCAAGTAGATAATGGTAATCAGCAGTTGAACACGAGTGAGAAATAGAGAATCGGTGAATAATCGCATAACATTATCAGACTGCTTGGATACAATAGAATATCTGGCTCATTTAATATTACTCAGCAAATAACATGATCGTCTTAAATTTGATTAATAAGCTTTCAATTTAATTAATTATTTTTATGATTTCAATTATTTATACTTTGATACAGACAAGTGTTGGGGATATCCTGTATTAAAATTCCTTCAATTCAATGGCAGGAATTTAGAGTTTTCCATTAAATTAATATTGTTCAAGCCTTTCCCAAGAATATAAATTAAGAGTTATGTTAACTCAATAATCAAACAACCATTCTTTGTTGGCAATTTGTTAGACGAACTTAAATGATATCGAAAAATTTTAAACTCTTTTTTAGCAAGATAATCATCATGATTCCAATTGCCTTGTAGACTACAATGCCTACATATTAGAAAACTAAACACAGTAGATTGTCCTTTCTCAATAGAAAATGCCAACTTTAGTTTCTTAATACCATAATATATTTTCAATAGAAGACAATTCATGTTTTGCCATAATATATTCGAATTTTAATTCGATTTTAATTTTAACAATTGAAAGAATCGGAATTGATGACTGTGTTGTGTAATTTTATTAACTATTCAAGCAACTGCAAAAATTAAGGAATCTGCACGAAAGGCTTATGTTAATGTCCCTTAGGCTATTTAGGATTCGATTGTAATATCGTATCATCAAACATACACCTGAACAGTTATTTTCACGGATTGCAAATATTTTATTTAGATCTCATTACATTGTAGACCAACGATTATAAATTAATTCTTAATTAAGAATTGCAATATACCATTACCTGCTATGCCAATTCCCCCCACTTGCTATCCACTCAAAATCAAAGCAGTGTCATCTATATCTCCGAAGAATCAATTATCAAATGCAAAGAAGTCACTGAAACCCTCAGAGTTTTTACCCAACTTAAATATTATTCCTAATTTGTAATTATAACTAACACTACCACAGTAGTTAAATTGGCAGAATTGGAAGAACAATATTATTCAATCATTCTGGTTGCCTCTGTCATGGCATTCATACTTGGCTTAATAGTCATCTTCATAACGCTGACATACCTCCTTAAAATATACAAGGAAAAATAAATTATAAAAAATAAGCAACGATTTGAAAACTTAATGCCTGCCCAATAGTTCATGTCAGTATCCGATAGATTCCCAGAATCTAAATCTGAAACCACTTGTTCAATATGTCTGGAACCATTTACATCTAGTAGCCTGGTTAGAATGACTTACTGTGAACATGTGTTTCATTCAAGATGCCTTGAAAGATGGATGAAGAATAATAAAGTAATTCATGCTCTAAACTCATAGATTTGTCCATTGTGTCGAGCCTCCCTGGATACACAAACAATCAAATCAAAGAAAAAAATTGAGCCTTCACCTTTTAAAGCTAAAAACGGACAAGGCTCTATCCTTTAATAATTAAGCTTGTTCCCAAAAAATGATGGATCTTTACATTCTATAGATGGAAGTCTGTCCTATCATTCTCCAGTTATAAGATCATCATTACAAATTATTTAACCAAAAAAGTTTGAATTGAAATGAAATTTTTATAATTATATCAAAAGTTCAAAAGCAGTTATATTCCAAATTCCTAAATGATGAATGTCGTGAAGAATATTAATAGACTGTAAATAACACCCGTGTCTAATGAATTCAACTCGTTTTAATTATAAATTGAAGGTTGAAAGAACTAAAGAGGTAGAGAAATAAATTGGGCATTATATATTGTATTCTGCAACTCAATGGTGACTCAAATTATCCTAATAAAAAAAGCAAGGAATTTATTAATCATTTCAACTAATCATTCCCTTTTAACATCCAGAATAGAAATAAGAATGAAAAATTAAATTTTTTTGATTTATTGCAATAGCCAACAGATTTAAATATAACTCTATTTTATAAGGCTATGTTTTTATAATAGAATAAACGCTTAAATGGCTATCAATTATAAATTGGAATTAATTCATAATTTTGATGTAATAATTTATTGCTCATTAAATACTCAGATAAATAAGCATTTAATAATTTTGATATACTTACGATGTAAGTGTATAATAACCTACATTAATAGTTTTAAGTAGAGACAATTTTATTTATATTTTAAACAGTATATATTATTAAATCAAATCAATTTATTCAAAAATGTATACTTCTTTTCTAATTAAGAATGAATTTATCCTTAGCTTTCATTAAATTTACTAAATCATTTGCAGTTGATTAAATCGAAAATCTTGTAATTATTAATAACTTATTACTTATGACTAGTAAGCATGGTTACTTAAGATTTTCTACTTTGCAAGATATTTTTATTTGGAATTACGATTGTTTTCTTTTTAATTATTTATCTTGGAGTTCTTCCATCGTTTTCCAAGATTATCAAATCGATCTATTAAACATATTGAGAATTGTTATCAATTTTGATATCTTATAAAGATTTCCAAGAATTCAAAGGTTCTAAATTACTTAAAATTGACGATATTTTTCTTATGTTTAATGATTTCTATATTGCATAGATCAGAACGCTGACGTAGTAAAACAAGCTATCAACTCCATTTGTAAACTTAATGCTATTTACAAAGAAGTTGAAATAGGCATTTTTTAATGAACTAATTAATCCAAGTTTGAATAGTATATTACCAAGCAAATACGAAGGACCTCTCGAAAAGATTACCGAAAATAATCTAAAATAGCATCTTAAATTAATACTTTACAAATGCCTACTGGTACAAATTGGATTAATCACTATCAAAAAACCAAACTATAAGTAAATGCAACATCGTTTCATTCATTAAACTAAACACATTTTTAGGAGTGTCTTATTACTCACCAAATAACATTAAACCTTCTTATAGAGTAGTAATTAATAATTATCTCTTAAATTTCGAGGATGAGTCATCATGTAATTTAACAATCACTTTACAAATATAATCTCCAATTTCATAAAAAGAGTCTTTCAGAATTCTTTTAAAAGAGTGAAGTTCAGAATGTTAGATACAATTTAAATAGATTTCATTTATTAATAATCCACATTCACATGAAATATCTGCAATAGACTTATCAATATTGTTAATGTCATATAAATAGACTCTAAATATTTAAGTCAAGATTTCCTTATTGAAAAATTATGGTAAAATATAATCCTACTCTATTTTTATTCGCTATTGTTACTTTTTATCCGTTTGAGTTAGATTAGTCATATTTTGAAATACACTTTGAATCAGTAATTTCAAGATGGAAATGCAGGATGGCAACAACGAGATATCAGATGCATATTTAATTGCTTTTCTTTCGAAACTGCTAGATTATATAGATATTTTCGGACTTGGATACAGTCCTTTCAATCTTCCACTCGAAAAGCCTTCATAAAATGAGGAGACATCAACACTTTATTCAGTTCTAACAGGACAGAGTCTTGGACTTTTTCTTGAATTTTAATTGATGCAAATAATACTAGTAGCCTTTTGAGGTTGAATCCATTTTGAAAGTTCTTGATTTCCAACTGTTAATCTTGGTAGTTGATTAATTGTTTATGCAATTTAAAGGTTTGTTAAATTCTTTTATTGCAAAGTTTACTTGATGTTTCTTCTACTATTGGGTCTAATGAGCAATGTGTCATGTTTAATTATCTATTTAATAAAATGTTTATCTTTGGCTGAAATTTAAACAGTAGATTGATATTTTTATCTTTCACTTGTAAACAATCGCAGATTATCAATATCCTTCCCCTCAATTTCACTGGCAAATAAATATTCACGTATGTTTTGATTTAATTGCCAATTTAATTAGTTCATCCCATATTACTATATGTAGTTCTTACCTGGTTACATTTACCCTAAGAAATCGGTAAGCATCTTCTTTTCGCTTAGGTCTATTTCAGTATTGTTGCTAAAACGATCAAAGTTTATTTATGATTTTAATAGACCTGTAATATTAACTGTCTTATCATTTTAATTGTTTTTATTGGCTTTGAAAGTATCGACCTTCATTTTCAGAGACAAAGATAGGAAATATTGTATCCAATTAGTGCATTCCAAATATTACCAAAATTATTCAAAGACATAATTTCCCATTTCATATTCATCCATAATTATTTCTAAGCAATATGGTTTTATTTATACTCTGCACAATAGTCTCAATATTTTCATTATACATTAAGGATACGAATTAGAACATAAGATTTAATTCAATAATCAAGAGTATGGATTACCTGCGATTAGCCTACAATAGAAAATCCAATAGCAGAGAAATTTAGTTAAGATCTACATTCTTATCCTTATCATTCAGAGCATCATAAATGCCATGAACTAAATTTAGATCAGAAATGATACATAATTTAATAATGAATTAGGGCACTATTTTACTAATAACAGTATAGTTATTCTCGTACATCAGTAATTTTAGAGTTTTAAGAGAGCGAATAAGACACAATTAATCTATATCTTAAGTTTGATCAGGCTTTCTGGATTTAAAATTATGCTTAACTTTGACATCGCTGTAGTGATGTGACTATGATTATAGGAGTACAATTACCCATTCATGTATAGTGGATAGATGACTAGGATCGAAAATATATTGGAAGATTAGTTCTAAACATTCAGGACTTCTAAAGTAGTCCAATTATTCATTGGCAAGAGGAATGCCATCCCGACAAATCCACTTTTGTATTTCTTCATTTGGATCAATTTCTATAGAAGATTCTGAAGCCTCGCTGTTATCAAGAAGTTTATCAAGGTCGACTTGAATTGAACTCGAAGATTTCAGTATTTAATTTTAATAGAAATCTTTTTTGTTATTAAGATACTGTACATTGTTCAAATTGATCTTCAATCCTATTGACCCAAGTACAAGCACCAAATATTTCATTTTTACAATCTTGAAAGATGTCAACCAACAATTTTATGACTTATTGATCTCTAGTGTTAAAGAGGAAAGAGGTAAAAATAGCACATCTACTTTCTAAGGATTACTTTAATTTTGACACTAAATGAAACATTGGTTTTAAATAGGTCACTCCGAATTGCTTTGAAATTACCAAACTTTCAATTACATTTTTAGCGTATGCCTATCCCGCTTATAATCCTAATATTATATTTCAGTACTTTTATTGACTCTTTCTTCTCCTCCCGGCTGATCTACAACTTAACATAGTCTTTTATTCTTGCAATAGGGAAAGTTCGCTCAGACCTTTGTGTAAACAATTCAAGAACTCTAGATTTTAAAATCTCTCCATCATAATGTTGAGCAAAAGTCTTATAGGTTCTTCCTAAAAGGGGTAACAACAGAACACTCAATAGTAATATTAATAGTACATTATCTTATTAAATTGGAGTTGGTGAAAGTTTCATAAAATGGCAGTTGTTGTGCTAATTATTGACATCCTCGAGTGATATTGGTCATTCTTTTGTATTCGTCTTCTTCTTTTAGCTAAGGATTAAATCAGAATATATTACGGCATATTCAAGTATCATATAAATTAATATATAAATATATATAATAAATCATTTGGCCTTTACTTAATGATCCTTTTTTTGTTGTTCAACCTTCTCCTTAACACAATTCAGAAACTTCTGTCCTTTCTTCTTATCAGTAAGATTGGTAGGCACATTTAATCTAGATTATATATTTTATTGAATTCATACTTCTATTTAATCTGCTCCAGAATCATTTTCTATGGAATCATCATCGATTCTCCATCCATAGATTTCATACTATGAAATTAGTTGACTGCCACTCTTGTGGGAATAAATATAGAAGAACACTTCATTCTCGAATTCAAAATTAACACTGCTTTGCTATTGGGATTGGGAAGTATTTGTAGTAATGACTGCCATGACTACAACTAATTCAAACTTACTTAAACAACTGACAGATTTCTGTTGCTTATTGATTCATTGATTATATGAATAATGAATGTTAAATGTAAGTAAAATGATTCTACACCTGACGTGCATATCATGCCATTCTTACTATATTTCGAATAGAAATTATAAAGGGAAGTGATGAATCCCAACTTAAACATTAGATGCATAATTATATGTTAAGGAGCCCTTGTCATTATGAGGATGAATAAATTGATAAATTGATCCTATTGGATATTCAATTGGATGTAATCGAAATACCAAATGACCAAGATATGCAATACAGTCTCATTCAAATACAGGTAAGGATTCTTCTATTAAACTTAGGATTTGTTCTACTCAAACATTTGCAATCCATATAGTATTGTATCAGTAATGATAAATTATTTGAAATTTAATTACTAATGACCCATCTTATGTTATTATTTATTTAGTTTTACAATAGTCTTACATAAGAAATCAATAACATTTGTAAAGCAAGTCTTTAAGCTCTCCACAATCAGATTCGATTATTTTAGTCTAGGATAGTTGGAATATATCTCATTGATAATCATCCCACATTCATCTGCACTAGATAGTAGTCCATCATTTGGGCTATGTAACGACGATAAATAAATTTGAAATAATCTTTCCAAAGAATTTTTTGTGATGATCGAACAAAACAACAAGTCTGTATTTAATTTATATATTTGTTTGCACAATCCTAAGGTATTAATCTTTCTCCAACAATAGTGGAATGCCGTTTGAATCAATCCTTTGATTAACTAAGCACAAGAAGAGGCAGTCGATTCATTTTTATGTATTTATTGCAAATCCTTCTCAAATTTGGTCTCTTGTTACATTTTATAACTAGGATAAATAGTCTTCAGACGACTACTTGAGAAACCATCATTAGAGCTGAAATCAGACTTATCAGATCCAAAAGTTCTTAACCGTATTGAGGTGTTCATAAGCAATTATTGCTTCTGTTAAGTTCCCTGTCTGAGATAAGTTTTTTATTAATTAACATTTACCCATTTGTTCTGCTTCGATGCTGAATTCAATCGAGGCAAAGCTTTACTATTTTTATTGAGCGTAGATTTGACTTCAAATTTATCTATATCTACAGCACTTAACTTCTAACCACACAAGCCCTTATTTTGCGGACTTACAGAGTTGTGTTAAGTTAAAACTATTGTTCTTTGCCTTTTGAATTTAGAATCATCAAAGTTGTGTTGAAATTTAGAATGATTTTAATTTCTTTATTTAACAAATTCATTCAAATTATCTAAATCCTTGAACTTAAATTCCTGACTTGATATATATTCTTGAATATCGTCATACAAATGCCAATTATTCTTAGTCATTCCATAAAAGTCATTTGGAGTCTTACCTGGAGTAATTTAACCCAATAGTTCAGTTAAGTATTTCTTCTCACTTAAGTTTGAATCTTACATTATGGGTAACTTATCAAAGTTAGTCTAAGCCTTCAATAGGGGAATTACATGATACTAAATTAAACTAGTGGATTACCGCTTATTCAGATTTATAAGATCTCTCCTATTTAGATTTATCTACTGGCTAGTTAGTCATTATGAGTGTTAGATAATCAAAAAATTAGGAGGATTGAATGTATAACCAAAAGTACTCTTAGACATGCATTCCTAACTAATATTCATCATCAATCAAATTCATCATCTCTAGAAAATAAGGAAGGAGTACTTTCACAAATATTCAAGAAGAAAGGATTATAAAGGTACTGAGAGAAAGCGAACAGCAGGTTCAAATCCACAACATAATAGAGACAAGATTTAGGGCTTTGCAAGAACAGGTAATCAATCAAATAAGCTATATGTTGCAGATTGACTGGTTTCTCATTGTCCCCTAGAGCTTCATATATCAGGTAAACTAATTAGATTGCAGATTTACATATTTTCATCAGCAATTGCGGGACTTACTTATTGATTATAACGAAGTTCTTATCATTGGTGATAATCTTCAAGACCTTCTTGGATCTGAGATTGTACACCAGGTCTAGCTTCTAGGAATCTGATTTCCATATTCTGTAATCATTTATTTCGTCCTTCTCGTTCTTAAGAGATTGGAACTATTCTATAAATAGGTGCACATACCCATAGAGGTATTGGCTAGGAATTGAGGGGGTCAAATATCAACTTCATTATGAATTCAAAATAGACATCATTTCTGAAGTACTCAATTTGTTGTTTGATGTAACCTTGCTCATCCGAACATATCCATTCTTCTATCACTTCATTCATATCGATTTCAGACTTTTCTGTCTCTGAATCGGTATCGTATTGCGGAATCTCGATTCTTGTTGCTGTTGGAGGATGCTAGATTGTGTAGAAGTCTAAATTCTTTTCATATCTAAATTACACTATTCAATTTGATCTTCGATGGAGATTGACCACAAAGAATTTCTGAAGATGTGCTATTTGATATTCTGAAAGGTATCAATTAACTCAGTGATGAAGGTTTCCTCCCTCGTGTTCCTCAGGAATTTCAAAAATATATTTGCTTATTCTTCTAAATTAATATCCAATTCCTGTCCTAATTGAAACAATTAAAACAGATATTGCGATGCGAATTATTTCACCTTAATGAGACTCTCTATTAATTATTTTGAATATTGGGCTGTCGATGTTCCTGGGCCTCTATGACATTAAAATCAGGGGTACCTCAAGATCGATTTTCTAGTTGATTATTTCATACTTCTTGCGTTGCTCAGAAGCACTTTTTGTTCAGGGAACTAAGAAATTTCATCAATGGCTTTGTAAAATGAATTGAAAAAGTCTATATCTCTAAATCGATCAAAAAGAGCTGAAACTAGTAGTTCAACATTATTCTTTGAAAAAGGATAACAGCAAATTACTTAATATGGCTTTAAAATATTACGCTATTTTATAGTTTGTGGATCATTAAAAGATGTCATAAATGGCATTTGGGATGATATATACTTACACCCGATTCTTATTTTTTCCAACCTTGTATATTCATTCTCATCACATAACTTATAATCGTTAATATATATTATACAGCTTATTCTAAAATCATTATATAATAAATATTAAAATAATTGAAAATACAGATCACCTGTGTGTCTCAAGTATGTCTGTTTAATTGCTTTGCCAACCCAATTCATATTATTATAACTAATCAACTAAGCATCTAATTGTGTGTGTTTCCTGCAATTTTATTTCATTTTTATATAATATTGTTTCCAAGAATGTTATTTATGATGTAACGCAAAAGGGAATGCCTGCAACTTGCTCCACTAAAAAATATGTTTTAGTTGGGGACAAGCATCAACATTTTCACTTTTATTTGAGTCTCTGGGCTGTGTTTTGGATTTCAACAAATTTTTATCTTAAATCTCGTCATGGAGTAATTCGATAGCGTCATAAATATTAATTTAAAACACTTAAATGCTGACTCTCCCCCCTCAAAATTCAATTTATGGCATGACCCCTTAAAATTTATCTGACCAGGAAGCTTTCCATGAGAAATGGTTATTTGGTTTTGAAGAATAAAACCCCTTTCTTCCAACTTTTGAATATCTCAATACGGTTTTTCCTTAAAAGAAAATAAAAAAAGAAGAAGAAATCATATGTTAGAACAAGGAGCTATTCAATGTCAACTAGTCCAAAAGCATCTATCTTAGCAAAATAACTCAACTGATTGATACTGAAATCACTCCCAAACAGTAATGACATTATTTATTATGTTAGTACCAAGAGGAATGGAGACAAATGGAAGAGAAAAATGAAGCAAGCAGGTGATTCCTCTGAAGAGCCCTTCGGAGCCAACACACATCAATTGAAATTGGCTCGAAACAGACAATCAGCAAGAGATTCAAGAAAAAGAAAGAAGATATACATTGAACTCCTTGAAAATAAGGTCGAAGAATTGACACAGGAAATGCTGAGACTGCAAGCAACTATTGCAAACCAAAACAATTACATTAATTATTGTGCTAAAATTCCATCCATGGTATTTTTAAACATAATCCCTTTTATTTTAGATCAAAGAATTCCATATGAACTACCAGAACTAGCTGCTCAACCTCAAAAACTCCCCTTGTCAATCCTAACTAAGAATTTTAGACCAAGAGTTTGGAGTTCAGTCAATAAGAAGGATAGAATTGTGCAATTCCTTCTTCAACACTTTGATGGACCATGCCATTCCTAATGATTTAAAAAAAATCATGGAGTCCGCAATGAAGGGTATGATTATATGTTGAATAAAATAGGATAAGACTTTTTCAATGAATAAGACCCCAGTTTTAAGGCTAATCCAAAAAACACACTCAAAGAAACACAAAGAAAATTTGTTGAAGAAACAAAGCGCTTGGAATTGTATACCAATCATCCTAATTATTTTAGCTACATGTTTGATATGGCTAAAAACTTCGAAAAGGTTCGTCAGTAAAGCTTTACTTTGGAACAACTCAAATAAGAAGCTTTAAAGGATATTTCTCCGAAGGCCTTTGCTTAATACTTAGTCAATATCAATCCAGAACAATAAGCCAATGTAATTAAAGAAGAAGATGCAGAGTTATCCTCACTACAATCCCCTTGATTTTATTGTATTATTTTAAAATAAATTTAATTTTCATATGGGAAATTGTAATAACAGCAAAGATGTAAATTTTGATGATGTTTCATGTAATCATAATCACATTATGTCTAGTGCCCTCCAAAAATGATTTTCATATGCTCTTTGTTATTGGCAGAGGAGGATTTGGAAGAGTTTGGAAGGCCGAGAATAAAAAGTCAAAATAATTATACGCTATTAAAGAGATGAGCAAATGCAAGTATGTACTATACTAATCTTAAGGATTGTAAACAAAAAGAGCGTCAGTTCTGTGATGAATGAAAAATATCTGCTATGTAATTTAAGACACCCGTAATAAATATGACTAAATAGATTTTTAGTTAATATGCATGCCTCGTTTTAGGACAGAGAAAATTTGTACTTGGTAATGGACTTGATGCAAGGAGGCGATCTAAGATACCACTTGTGTAAGCAGAAAAGATTTACTGAAAAACAAACAAGTACATATTTAGAATCTATCCCAAGAGTTCTTCATAGTTTGTCTATTGTTAGCCTTGGATTATCTGCACACAAATACAATCTTACATAGGGACGTCAAACCCGAGAATTTGGTCTTCGATAGAAATGGTTATAATTCAAATTCTAAATTAGGTTATCTAAGACTAACAGATTTGGGTATAGCCAGAATCTGGAAACCTGACAATGAAAATGATACTAGTGGAACTCCAGGCTATATGGCTCCAGAAGTCATGTGCAGATAAGCCCATGGAGTAGCATCAGATTACTTTGCAGTTGGAGTCATTGCTTACGAATGCATGTTCGGAAAAGTAACTATTTTTAGTTCTATGTAGAGACCTTACATAGGAAAAACAAGAAGGGAAATTAGAGACTAAATTCTAGCTAAATAAGTTCTAGTTAAATTAAATTAACTACCAGATGGGTGGTCAGAAGAATCAGCTGATTTTATTAATAGAGCACTCTAAAGAAAACCTAGCAATCGACTGGGAGCTAATGGTCCAGAAGAAGTTTAAACTCATCCTTGGTTCAAGGACATTGATTGGACTACCTTCTTTAATTAAACTGCTGCTACCCCTTATTAAATTAATGTAATGTTCATTTTACATACTTTAGTGCAACCACGATAATTTTGATGCTAAATTTGCTAACATGAAAGAGGAAGAAGACGATCAATAAATTCAATAAAATGGCATCATGCTAAGGAGACAATCTATTTAAGAACTTTTTAATGGATATACATTTGACCAGACTATTACTCAAATTCCTTTGTAAGGTAATTCTGCCACTAAACCAACAATACCTCATTTGAATACATAACAACTCACTTCGGCAAGAAGAACCAATCATGAAGATACTAATCCTTAATTATCACAGATGTCATCAAAAAAATATAATTTGGTTTCCTCTACTCCAAGATTGCAAACCAAATCAATGTCTTCTAGTTAAAAGCCATAAACAGATAGAAGTCATTTTTCAAATAAATTCTAATTTAATTGAACTATTTATTTTATGTTAATCATAATTATTCAATTGATTCTGTATATCTATTCGTTTTAGTTCTTGAAATCAACCAAAAATAAGAATTCTAAGACCACATTTGAAAACAAATTAATTTTAACTGATTAAATATAAAAAGCAATTTAAAATATATAATTAAATAACAAATCCGCAACCAAACTGCTTCATCAAGGCTATAGATCAATCTTTCAAAATAGATTTATATTATTTCATAAGTTTAAGATAACATCATGAATATAAACTAATCATATTACAAACAAAATTTCGTTATCAACTAGCAAAACCTATTATGCAATTTATCAATTTTAATCCCTTTTGGAATTCCTTAATGCTAAAATATAGATATGTATTGATGACAACATTCACATTATCAATTTCTATCATATATAAGTATAAATTAAAAGATAAATCGTTTTAGGAATAAAGAATCTATGCTATGCAAAAAGAACTTTTAAACTTTCAAAATCATTTTAGATGTTTCATAATATATTTTTTATTATTTGCTTTGGTCGAAATTTAACGACTTCCAAACGAGTTATTTTTTTATGATAATGAAAAACATTGATTTATATTTTTAATGAAAAAAAGTACTTGTTCCTCCTCCGATAACTCAAAGTCTTCATTTTTTAATGATGGAAATTAATTATTTACAACTTCATCATACGAAAATCTTCATTTTGTAGATCAAGGAATTTTTTAAATGACCTATCAAAAGAAGATAATAATTGTAACAATATATATGGCAGATTCTATTCTTAAAATTAGTGATGAAGTATATATAGAATTAAATTTAGAAAACAGATAGATATATAGATATTGAAAATATATGCCTGAAAGGTATTATCAATCAAAAAAACAAGCAATTCGGTTTTCGACTAAGCAAAAATGGATAGTATGCGGAATTTTTCGGAATTCAATTAGAAATATTGAATAAAATTAAGATATATATGATTCAATCCGATTTTTAATCAAAGTATAAAGTGATAAAAAAGGTAGGAAGTGGATATTTGTCTTAAGTAAGAATTTATTGTATACTAGGTATATAAAGTGCAAAACAATATGAATGGGCAAGAATTTGCTGTTAAAATATACGAAAAGGCAAACCTAATAAAAAGTAATAGTTATGAGAGGGAGTTATGTATGAATGAAATTCGCATTCTGAGATAAATCAATCATAAAGGATTATTGAAATTATATGAGATTTTTGAGGGAGAATAAAATATCTATATAGTCACAGAATTATTAGAAGGAGGACCAATAAAATAATACATCATTAATTAAGACCTTACTGAATAGGAGATGATGAAAATAATGAAGTCGCTTTTCGTTTCTTTAAATTACTTACACAAATTGAATATTTATCATACCGATATTAGATTTGATAATATCATACTAAGGGATTCCATGGACTTAGAATCGGTTTGCTTGATCAATTATGGGAAAGCAGTTTAAATACCTTAAAGAACTAAGACTTTAGGTCATATGACTTCGCAAGAAGAGGGAGCTCTAAAATTCTATATGAAAAAAGATATTTACTCTTTAAGTATAATCATGCTGAGCATTTTTACTCAAAAGTTTTATTAAGAAAATTAATTGGTGGATGAATTGCTGATGAAAAACTTTAAAAACATAAGTTATATTGAGTATATGGAATTATCACCTCCTTTTAGGCGGTTTTTCGAAATGATTTTTACAGAAAAATATCAAAAATAAATTGATTCTCTAAATTGTGAAAATATTATGGAGCTTGATGTGTTCAAACAACTGAACAATCCTAGAAATTCGAAAATATTGATATCTTAATAATTGCCTAATGGTTTAGCAAGAAGGACAAGCAAATATGCACCAAGATTTTCTCAAAGGGAAAAGTTGGAATAGTCACTTAATATCATAAAGCTTCCTCCCATCAATGGAGACACTTCAACATCAACAGATAAATCCTACTCTCCTAGTCCATAATCAGATCGTTTCATCTCTAATTAATTAACTAATATTTTAAAGGCTAGACATTTTTATTAACGCAAAAATGCTTTAAAATAAAACATCCTCATATGATTTTAGAGTATATATTTGATTTATATTAATTATTTCTGTATAGTGTTGTATTCTATATCCTGCGCAGGGTTTCATTTTATAATCTCAGAGACTTAACATTATGTTAAATTTTAAATAGGACATATAATTTATAAAATTTTCATAACTTTTTTACATAAATAAATAATTATTTAATGGGCATTTGTTGTTCGCAATAAACAGGTGGACTGATTTAAAATGTTGATATCCAACAATATGAACCAGAATAGGTTCCTACGTTGGTTCCATAGTAAATAAACTTTGAGGAACACGAGGAAGAGATAATAACTATCCAAAAATCAATAAGGAAGAAAAAAGCTAAAAAGGTTGCTGCTTAAATGAAAGAAGAAGCTGAAAGAGAAAAACCAGGGGAGGCTTGGATAAGTAGTAAGGAGCCTAAGACTTTGGAATAGAATGTTTAGATAACATATAATAAGTTGGGTAAGTTTAAGTTTGAGAAATAGTTGCCTCAAGAATTTAATGAATGCCGATTTTTTATGCCTCATGTATCGATAATTACATTATTTAGGAACATAAAAAAAACACTGGCAATATTTATGTAGGTTAGTGGTTATAGAGATTGAGGCATGGGAGAGGAAAATAGTATTTTGCTGATGGCTCAATTTACGAAGGCTATTGGAAGTTTGATTAAGCCAATGGGAGAGGCAGGATTATTCACTCAAATGGTAACGCATATGATGGGGAATGGAAAAATAATTCTGCAACTGGTTATGGAATCTTTTATGAATTTGATGGTTCTCAATACTAAGGGGAGTGGTTGCTTGATTAAAAGGTTAATATAATATTAAGAGTAGCATGGTTAAGGAAAAGAGATTTTAAATGATGGCAGTGAATTTGAAGGGATATTTAAAGAAGGAAAGAGATGGGGAAAAGGCATTGCCAAATTCCCTAATGGAGATATATACAATGGATAATTTGATAACGATTAAATTGCAGGATTTGGTGAATTGAGTTTTGCTGATGGAAGACGTTATAAAGGATATTTTAAAGATGGAAAAATGCATGGTAAAGGTCATTTTGTATGGCCTGATGGTAGAGAATATGAAGGTTAATATTACAATGATCTTAAACATGGAGAGGGAGAGTTTAGATGGACAGATGGATCAAAATATATAGGGCCGTTTCGAGAAGGAAAATTGCATGGCAAAGGCATATATACGGATAAAAATGGATAACAATGTGGAAGTTAATGGAGCGAAGGCAAGGAAAAAAGGTAAAAAAGTGAATAGTGATTAGGAATGGATGGATTTTATGATATTATTCTTCAGTATCTTATATTATTTGGAACATTATTTAAATTAATTAATTTAAATTCTTATGTCTCTTAGCTTGGACTTTCCTGCTTAATTGATTTATTAATTGAGTTTATTTCAGGTGAGAAATATCTTTGTATCTGTAATATATCATACTAAATCTATAATTAAATAATTAATTAATAGAACCAATTAAGGAATATCAATTTTAAAGCATCATTCTATTATAGTATATAGGTTAAATAGGTTGAATAAGTAATTTAAAGCAATAAGGTTATGCTTATGCAAAATAATCAATCTCTTATTTGTTTTTTTTATCCAAACTGTTGCATAAAAATATCAGAATTTTCCAATTAGATTTTTTCTCACTTTAATTATACCTACGTTTACATTTTTGAATCCTTCAAATAAGGGTTATTACTTTTAAATTTAAATTAAAGATCATTAAATGAAGGATAATCTTTTCAATCTTATCATGCATAGACTAGGATAAACTTTATACTAATCTAGTTCTTCTCAAAATTTATCGAAAAAGGTAATTGGAAGTATTATTAAACCTTCTATTAATTATGCTTATCTACTTTTTATAATAAGTATTGATTTATTATGATTCTATTTTGAAATATCATCTTATGTTCCGCACTTTACATTTCATCTTTTTCCTGATTTAATTTTTTAAAATAGAAAACTTTAACAATATAAGATTGTGAAATTGATTATTCTTTAGAAATTTGATATGTCAGAATAATCTAGCTCTTTAATAGCTTTCTTAGATAACTTTTTTTTCTAAATTTTAAGTTACTATCAATAAATAAAGGCTACATAAATGTTTATTTATACATATACTAATCTGTCTTGATTGTTTTGATCTCATCAATTCAGAAAGTACAATACCTTAATTTACCTAAGCAATCATTAGTATAAGAAAGTTTAATTTCTAAATTTTGTTTATTAATATCGAAAATATTATGTTCAATGAATAATCATACAATTATGTTTAAAATTCAATATAAAACTAATAGTTGGCGTATGTAGAAATTACTTCTTATAAATAAGAGTTATATATATATGCATGGGTATATTTTCTTTAATGTTCAATTATTTTAAATAAATGTATTACCCAACTAAGGAAGAATTTATTAAAGATTTTGATTTTTCAAACCCAGTTCGTTTAGGATAGGGTGCTTTTGGGAAGGTGTATAAATTGTTATGCAAAAGCGAGAATTCACCCTTAGAGAAAGGGAAATACTATGCAGCAAAACAAATTGAAGTTATAAATGAATAGATGTTTAACAAAATTTAAAATGAGTTTAAAATTAATTAGCTAATCAACATGCATCCAAATGTGATAAATGTTGTAAAAGTCTATGCATGGCAGGAATTAATGCCAAAAAAATTTAGTCTTCTTTTAGTAATGGAATTAGCGGATCGTAGTTTATAGAAAGAAATTCATACCAGAAAACAAGAAAGATCGTATTTTTCAGCATTTCAATTGCTTGAGTTATTTAAAAAATGTCTCCTCACATTTTCAACACTAGTTGAACAAAAATAAATTTTTCATAGGTTCTATTTTAGATTATGATTTTTTAGAGATATCAAGCCAGAAAACATTCTACTACTAGAAGCCGATAATTTAATACCAAAAATCACTGATTTTGGAGTATCAAAGAGCTTGCATGAATTGAATATTTAAGAAAGCTTAAAAAATACTATAGTTGGAACTCCAGTTTACTTTTCACCAATATTGTGGAATGCATTTGTTACGAGATCTGAATAGCCAAGCTCATTTGAAAAAATTAAACACGATTTAGAAAAATCTGACATCTTTTCTCTTGGCTTAACATTTCTCTAATGCACGCTACTGCTAACAACTGAAATTGTTGGACTTAATATGGTATATTAGTAATAATAATGACATAAGGTCGAATAAAAAAATAAGAGAAATATGTTTTTAGATAAAATAGAGAATGTCAGAATCAGGAATTTGATCACGGATATGATTTAATATGAAGAGTGTGATAGAAAGACATATAAGGAATTGATTTAATTATATTTTAATTCGAATTAAAAAGGAATTTTTGAAGAAACTCCGTACTTTTTAATTTTATGTTAGCTCTCCCTAAAAAATGAAATAAATTAATTAAATTGTTTGTGTGAAGCATCCAAATTGCAAAGCCTTATACTATTGCTTCAAATTAGTAATTGCTGGGTATTCTAATTAAATTATTTTAAGTTACTATTGCGAAGCATGCTATTTAAATGATGATATTTAACTTTTTTGTATCCCTTTACCAGAAAAAAATCAAAAATAATAGCAATCCCAAAAAGAAACCTTGGAGGAATATTTTGAATCCTCCATTTAGATTATTTTCATCAAAGCTATTAAAGATTAAATCAATTTTGCTAAGTAAACCAACAAACCTCCGGCTGAACTTGAGAAAAATATATAGTAAATCTCAAAATTTTTGATTTTCAATTAAAACCAGACCCAAAATTAAGTCTCAAAACTAATCAAAGGCAAATTAGAGGAGATTCGAACTCCTTATAACGAATACTTGAATAATGAATTGTATAATGAAGCACTGAGGTATTTGGAATTAAATAAGGAGAAAATATATGAATTAACTAGTGATTTGATTTTGAGATTAGATAAATTAACTCCAAATGAGGAGGTCCAAAGACAAAAGAAGAAGATTTTTGATTCATCAACTTAGTAGATTTTACCAAATAGCCTATAAAGCAAAAAGGAATTCTGATTTATAATAAATTCACAATAATTCTCAAATTATAATTACCAAATACTTTTTTTTTGAAGATTTACCATTCATTCTTCCAAAAAATATAAATTATATCTTCCTATATCATAATTTAAATAGATATTTTCAAGATATTTATAGGTAATTCTTAATGTATAAACATTGGTGTATTAATTTTTTAATTCAAGATTTAAAAATATCAGATGAAATCTGATGTAACAGGTACATTAATCTTCTTAATTTAAGTACCAGCCATGTCTATCTGTAAAGCATAAGAGCTATAGTAAAATAATACGATAAGATCAGGCCATTGGACACCTGCAGAGCACTAACTCTACCTTGATTTTCTACATCAGTCTTAAGATTTGATTGAATCATCTTAAAATAACAAAGGATAAAGATTATTCAAAAAAATGAGTTAAGTAATTGCCACAAGAAGTCCAAGTTAGTGCAGGTATAATTTTTCAAAACCTATTACAACAACAGATCACACCACTAAAAGTTCAATCCATTTAATGTTTAAATGATAAAACGAAAAAAAAATAGTAAATTATCCAAGCCAACCAAAGAAATGCCGACTCAAATAAGAAGTAAATAATATTTCCGAAAATTATTTACCTCTCTTAAACAACATAGTTCCGAATCTATATCAGAAGAGGAGCTAAAGAATTATATTTAATGAATAAATAGATTAAATTGAATACAATATGCAAAACCTTCTATCAATACTAAAAATGTGTCTGTTCTCTAAATTAAATCTGACCATACAAAATTCATTAATTTTCATTTAATTAAATTCTTTTCAAATCAAGTTTAGAGAATAATCAAACCACATAAAATTACTGCTTTCTAATATTATAAAAAAGTCATTCTTTACGTATAATTTGAAATCAAGAAACATTTTTTATTTTAATATATATAAGTATTACAACTAAACAAATATCAAATCTCCAATTAAGTAAACTTAATCAGCCAATTTATTTCATAACCTTCCAATACAAATATTTACTTAAATAAACCCTATTTTCCACTTTTTACAAGGAATTAGCTAAGAATTATTCAAATTTATATAAAATAGTTTATGACTGAATTATAAATATAGTTAGAAAAACGTTGTGGATTACAAGATTGAATATTAAATCAGTTTAAATAGATATCAATGCTTAGAAAAGTAGAAAATATTACATAGGACTTAACAACTTCAATAAATAAATGCATATTTCCCTTCGATCACTAATACGTCTGGATAAAGAAAGTGTGTTTACTTTAATTATTGAACACTTATACGGCAATATTAATTTTTCGAATATTAATTTATAGAATATGCTTAAGATGGAGGAGAAAGATAAGATTAAATTTCAGACACATTTAAAAAGTGCCTTAATTTACTATTCTGCCTAAGAGTGAATTTATAATCCTTTGAACTTATGAAACCGGTATTTTATTAATTGGATGGAAAACATTGTAAAATATTTAGATAGATGTTATTATTAAATCAATCAATGTGATGCATCTCTTAAACTGCCAATTAAAATGCTTTGACTGATACTTTATCATCAAATGTATTTTGCTAAGATAATATAATAAATAAAATACGATTTCTTTTGCTCTTTTGAATACACCTTCAAATTTTCCAATGCCATATTTTATTCCTATAGATTCAAATATTTGTTTAATATCTTTTTTATTTCTTAACATTAAGAAGTCTTATTCTGTTAATCCCATATGTGAAAACTTCTCTGGGAACAACAATGCAACAGCTGGAACTTCATCACCATAATTTTAGGGATCTGCAACTGATTTCATTCCTGTTTTGACAATATCGTTTCTTATGGTAGGCACTCCAAAAGCTCTAGTTTCATCTCCTTGTTTAGTTTAGTTTCTAAACCCAAACTTAGTGGCTCTTCCCAAATCAATGTCTGGTTGAACCTCTTTTTAAGTAGGCTAACCATTAATGCATTATCCAGCAGTCCATTATTCATCCTTTTTCATTTCTCCAAAAATTGCAGGCATTCTTGAGTTAATTTAAGCCTAATTTTTGGGTTTACCAAGAGGGTCTTCATTATAGTTCTTCCAATCTTCTTAATTTTTGGAGATAATGGTTGTTTTAGGATATTAATTTTGTGTTAATTCATGTTGTAAGATCTTTTTCATTTATTCTTATTCCCTTTCGTCTTTTTTGCCGAAACGAAAGTCAGTTGGATTGACATTCCATTTGTATTCTCTATTTTTTTATTCCCCTGCTTCAAAATTCCCATGACTTTTCAAATACATCAATCTCACACCTTCTTCGTCTCTTTTGGCGTCAGGAGGAAACACAACCTCTTTTGCTGTAAATTCAGAAGGAGGGATCTTCTATCCGAAGGCAAAACCATCTGATTTGGATTCTTCAGGCCAATTGTAATTTCTTGTAGGCATAGTACCCAATGGCTCTTTGATATGAGAGGCATATTTTTATTCATTTATTTCATTGATCAATTCTTTGATTCCTTCAGGCTGTTGTTTGAAGAGGTCTCCAGCTTTGTCAGATGGATCAGTCTTTTTTCCATAAAGCCAATTGCCTTGGGGCTTAGGGGCATCCACAAGTCCTGGGTGTAACTAAATTTAAATATATATATTTACAATGGTGCATCCGTGTTGGTGTTTGTAAGATTTACGGTATTTCTTTATGTGAGGAGGAGTTTCAGGGACCTACGTAACTGACTAAATTTACTTAGCTTTAAACTGGTTGAATGCAGTCACTCGCACTTTCTTCCTTTAAGACGGTTCTTCCAGCCTAGACTAATTTGAATTATTTACTGATTTAAGAGTTCCAAAGAAATCTCTTGTTTTCCCTGACATTTTAATTTAGAATTATTATATATATTATAATTGATTTGCTCAAAATTAAACTAAAACACATATAAATTTAATTTATGAAATAAGCATCGTTATTTATTAGAAGATCCTTTTTGACTTTGAAACCCCTTTTCTTTTGTTCATCCACTCAACAACCTCCACAAGCACCTAAAATTCATTCCGTTGTTGACAATTTGTCAGCATCCTATAGTCTTGAAGACACCATACCCGGAACCTATTAAGGTGGAAATGGAGTATACATGCTAATGTTCACTTGCGGTCCATGCGGGAACAAAATGGCTCGCACTTTCACAAAGGATGCATATCACAAGGGAGTAGTTCTAATAAGATGTGACAAATGTGATAATATTCATCTAATTGCTGATAATTTGGGATGGTTCCAAGATGAAAAATGGAATGTTGAAATTCACGCCAAAGAACAAGGACAATCTCTGCCTAAAATTAATAACCCTGAAGTGTCAAAACTAGTACAATAATTCATTTAAAAATAAAAAAGTTCTTGAATTAATTAATTACGCATAATATAATATGTTTGATTTTCAATTTTCATTCAATTAGATTTAAAAGCACATTTCTTGATTGAAAATCCAATAAGTCCTGCCAAAGTCAATCCACATATAATAGTAACTCCTAAAGCAAAGTTATCTTCTGTTTATGGAACACTATTTAAATATTGATCATTTTTCACATAATTATCCTATATTACATGTAATTCCTATATTGAATCCAATTCGTCTATTACATTGATTATATATATCAATACCTAGATTCACCTAAATGACTTGTTCTGTCTAATTCTATTCAACGACCTCTGTAGTGTTTTAAACATCAGCAATCATTGGACTTTCAATAAGCTAGAACTCATCGGAAAGTTTATTCTCTTATTCTTGATTCAATTCTGGAATGGAAGCCTCCGATGTTATTTCTGTTGTTGTAGTTGTAATACCGTTTCTAGTACTTGTTTTTGTGACCTTAGTCTAGGTCTGTCCATTGACTGAAATGGATTCTATCTCCACAAAATCAGAGTCTCCCTCAGTTGTGAATATTGAAAAAAAAGGATTAAAGAAACCTGATAGAGGACTTGAAAATTGAATATCACTTTCATCTAATTCCTCCATTTTTTTTGATTATTAATTGTCTTGTAAAAAAGTTGAATCGTTGGGATTGTCTGTTAAATCATCAAAGGCTGCATTTATGGTTTCGAAAAGATCCTTAAGGAAGAATTGATCCATGGGTCCCATTCCTGATTTGAACTAGTTTACTTAAAAGATTCCAGAATTTTCCTCAGGGTTATCGTGATTATCATATGTTTCCACTTCACGCTGCATAGGTTCTATCATCTTTAGTGTATCTTCTTAGGCAAATGAAAAAGCAACTAAAACTATTAGGAGAATTGTATTATTCATATTAATGTATTTTAAAAACGATTATTGAAAAATTTAAACCATATGGTAATTATTAATATATATATATATTTGCATTAAAATATTAGACTATTCATTCAAGTTATTAATTCAACTCATAATTAATTAAGACCAAGGTCTCCAATTATTATTGGTATCGATTAAAGTCATCCATCAACATGGCACTGTTATTTTGATTAACAACGATTTATTCATCTTTTAATGACAATTTGGAAGCTGTCTAAAGCAGTAAGATCTGATTAATTTTCTCCTATAACCCAATAATTGGCTCAAAGTCCACAAATTTTCTGTATTTAATAATTTTAATCAAATTTTATGAAGCCTCTTGCAATTATTTCTCAGATTGCATGATCAATTATATCTTACTTTGAGGTGGCAAAGCTGAATAGCAATAGTTTAGATCGTAGTTGTAAATTAACGAAGCCATTTTAAACACTATTGATAATATGGATGAGGATAATACATTTGGAGCTCAGATTTTATTGTCGAGCAATCTCCCTTATTTGTTGGATTTGATTATAAATGGTATCTGTGATTACAAGATCGCCGTCGCCAATTAATTATTCTAAGGCTGTGATTCTTTGATCTAATTATTTCATTATAAAAATAATTTATAGATAAATCACCTTAAAATGAATGTTTGCATTTTAACTTAATTAAATCAATTTATAGAAGTCAACGAAGTTTTGGTGATTGAAGATGATGATTCTTTAAATAATTCTAATTCTCAATTAGCGGGGGATTTTAGTATGGGAATATATTGATTAATAATTTTTTAAATTTGAAATTATGTTGCTAGTTTTTTATTTATTGATAGAACACATATTTGCATAGATAGGATCACTTGAATTATTCCCCACAATTAATACAATACAAGCATCAACCACTTACGAATTGAAATTTTAATTGCAATAGCAAATGCCAGTCAATTCAATAATTACGATCGATTTCACAAATACAAATATTATTGTGGTTGATGGAACACTAACCAAATGCACAGGATCAATTTACTTTACTTCAGTTAGCACAGATTACACATGTATGATTTATAAGTAATAAAAAAGAATGCACATGCACTTCCAAAAAATGCTCAATTAAAATATCACAAAGTGTGGCTTCAGCTTCTTTATATCTGTTGAAATTTGGACAATTAACAAATCCAAGTTTTGTGAAGCCTTAACAAGTCTAATTGACAATAGATTTCGTGAACAATTAGTAAACACAATAATACACGGTTGACGTATATTAGGCAGGAGATCTCTCTCTGACTCAACTAACACAATCATCATTTAAAGTATATGATTTGGATGACATCAAATTAACAGTTTAAAGTTAGCATAGTATCGAATAAAATGGACAATTAATAATAACATTCCCATCTCAAATCTAATTTAGCAAACTCTCAGTCAATGTTGAAGTTAATTCAAATAATCATACTGGTACTGTAGCAATATCAGGATAATCAGTCACTGTAACAAATATATTCTCAACGCAAGTCGATGCCACCACATAATTCATTATATAGTAATTATTACTCTTATTTTCCTAGTTTGTTAAATGTCTAAAATTAAGAGTCTGTTAGAAATAGTAATTAGATACTCATTTAGACTGCTACTCAATATGCATATTTGATTGATTCATTAGGATTTTAAATACAGACAAAAACACCTGAAAATATTTAAATCAATTTTCTTAACACTCAGAATACGTAAACAGTCAACTAAATTGCAACATTTTAATTTACTTTATAGCCAGTTCTTAAATTTACCAATGGAGGCTATTTAGAGATCAAATTTCCATCTGAACTTATCATTCAATCAAATATGAGCTGCCAAAGAATTATAGGTCTAACTACTGTAAGTGGTACAAGTTATTCTTGTGGATATACAGGATAAAATGTAAGAACCTACAATTTGCAATATCCCAATTCTGCTAACTCTATGATACTGACTGTGAGTAACATTAAAAACCCATCCTCTACTAAACCAACTTCAACTTTTGAATTTAGAACCTATGATTCAGACGGATATCTCATGTGTGTCTCTAGTTCTGAGGCTAAATTCACAGCGACCAATGATAAACTAATCGCCAGTGTCACAAGAACTACCACCACAGTCGCTCTGTAGTCTCAGTATAGCATTTTAATTAACAATACAAATCCTGTTCCCAAGAACGGTTATCTGAATATTAACATAGGAACTCAAGCTATAAAATAAACAATCCAATAACTAAACTGTTATGACTAATCAAATGTTTAAATTAATTGTTAATTTTTAACTGACAAAACAATATCAATTCAATTAACTTCATAATTGGCAGCATACACTGCAACAACCATAGTACTCTAATACTTAAACAATCCCAATTTCGTAATTACTACAACATCAGACTTTGAAGTTGATACATTAGATGACACTAATTTCTTAATTGACTAACTCTAAAATGTAGAAATTAATCCATCTCTCACCCCTAATACTATTTTATCTATTGTTTACTATAGAAACAATGATAAGTTAACTGAATCCTCCATTTTAGATATTGGTTCAATTACACAAGTAAATCTCTAATTCTAAATTACATCATAATATGTTATTTCTAATGATGGAAATACCATTATTGATTTAAATGGGTATTACTATCTGAATCCTGATGAAACCATAACATGCACATAAATAATCAATACTAATTCTTACTCTAAAAATTGTGAAATTCTCTCCTATGTTGTTTAAACTGATCCCAAAATCAATTACATATCTAAAGTCAAAATCCCTAATATAATTTTAGATGGAAATAATGTGATCAACATAATAATAGCTGGATTTAGATCTGAATTGTATTCTGGGCAATTTACTCATCAAGTGACTGTTCAAGTGTATACCTTAAGCAATTAATTGGTATCTACAGGTTATAATGAATTAGGAAATACCAAAATTATTAATAAGATTGTTCAATTGTCTCAATTATCTATCAAAGCTGATTCTCAGATAACTGGCAAGTTGACATAATACACAATCAAACACACTCTAAAATACCCTATAGATATCAAATCTAGGAACTCCTATCTGGAACTGATATTACCACAAGATTTAGGAGTGGATAAGATGAATAGTTGTTTAGTCACTATTAATACAAACACTCTAGAATGTGTCATTAATGGCAACAAAGTTTAAATTTATTCTAATATCAATCCCTATTAATAAGATTAAGAGTTGATAATCACATTAAACCAAATTAGAAATCCTTATTCAACTGCCCTCACCAGTAATTTTTTATTATAATACTATTATAATAACATCGTTTCAATAGAAAGCACTCAAAACTATTAAGTAACCTAACCCAATTAATTACAAGTCTAAATTGATAGAACAGTTAAGTTAGTTAATCAAAATTCCCAATTTACTGTATCAATAACTTTAGTGAATTAAGTGTAAAATTTAATGTATTTGATGAAACTACCTACAGACTAATATGTTCCTGATTAAATTTCAATCAAATAAGGTGATAAAATATTGGCTGCATTGCTTGACTCATCTGAAAATGGTTAACTTAGTATTAAATTCAAAGAGGATTTGTGTCCTTGTTAGAGTGGCTAGCAACTCAGCTTTAGCATTACTGGTTTCAGAAACCCTATAGTGTCCTCTAATAGTGTTGCTCAATTGCAACTTTTAGATGAATTAAATAATATTTACGAAGAAAATAAATCAATTTCGTTTCCACCAATAGAATCAGGTAAGATTTCCATTACATCAATGACATAAAGTGCTCAATAGTTGAATTAATAAAACGTCATAACTATTAGTATCGCTAACGATACTCCTTATGTTAGTTCTATTCTTATTATTGAATTTAACCCAGACAATTTGCCATTCATACAAAATAATAATATTATCATTACTTTGAATAATAACTAAATATCTTGTACAATTGATCAATCAAAGTATTAAATTACTTGTTAGAATGTAGAACTTAAAGCTACTAATACAATTAAATTATCTAGTATCAATTCAATAAAATGGCTTAAAACTACAAATTAATGTCTGATTTCAATATCCTCTTATGTGGGTAGCCAATTACTTGATTCAATTTCTTAAGTGAATTGCAATTCATTGTTAAATTTCCCAATTCAAAGTTTTGATTCAACTATATAAAGATCAGTAAGAATCCTAAGTTAAAACACTGATTTAAATATTTAATTTAATCATGAAACATCAAAATTTGTAACGATCAAGTTACCTCTAGCTGAAATAGCTAATGATCCATCCTTCAATTACAATGAAAAATTAATTCTAAAGTCATAAGTAACAACTGACTCCAAGTTTTTAATATTATCATTTTAGTTTGACAACACAAATACAAATAATTAGATTAATTTTAATTTATTAAGTTTATAGAATGCAAACGCAATCCCACAATCCTAAGTAAATTATATCATAGAACTATCATCAGATGGCTAAACTGTAAGTTATTAAAGTAGTAATTATATTACTCCTGTATTGATTTGCTAAGGCTCTTAATGTTCAGATTAATAATTACTAATTTTAGCATTCAGCAAGAGCACTTCATTAATATCCTCTCCCACTGATGTTAATATTAATATACAACTCCCTTCAGAGTTGAAATATTTAACCCTTCTATAGGTATCAATGACAGAAACTGCTTTGACAGGATCATCAGTTTGTTATTTAAATAATACTGTTGTAAATTGCTAAAAATTATTGAAGGATCAATGTACATTATGTGATCAAACATAAATTTTATTAACGTTGAAAAATCTGGTTAATGCGGATCAATATAATTAATTGGAAAAAATATGCGTAAGCATTTAAACTGAATTTGAATAAATCTAAACATGCTCTAGTTTTTCATTGGAATATAACTATTTGTTGGATGTGAAAAATATTAATTGGAGTTAGAATACATTTTATAGTAAGAATGCTCAATTGGACTTTGATGTGTTATTCTCGTCTCCTTTGAACAACAAATACTAAAATTATTTGAGCTTTGCAAATACAAATGATTAGATTGATTTCAGTAATAGTAAGGTTACATTTGATGATGCTCAAATTCGCAGCACTTATCAAAACAATTAGTTAAATCTACAGATATGCGAATAGGGTTGCCAATAAAATAAAAATTACAAAATTTAAATCTCCTAAGTTTAATTCAAAGACTATAGTTATTCAAAAGATGATTAAACTATTTTCAAATTGAGCAGAGCTGATTAATAGTTAGAACAATCAAATAACATATAACTATATCCAACAACACTCAACATGAACCAAATTACTTTGACTGCTACAGCATTAGATTATGTTCAATTGAGTTATTCATTATCTTCTGTTGTCCCATACTAAAGTGATTCAACCATAAAATTTAGGTTTCTCAATAACAATTGTGTTTCTTCAGGTAAGATAGATTCAATTCATAATTCAACATGTTCTTTAAAAAACAATGCCATAGTTCAAGTTTCCCTAATACATAATAATCAAATCACTCATCAAAGTAATGAGAAGATTATATTGACTGTGGCATCTGAAAATTGTCCGGTTCCATACTTATTTTATTAAGATAGTTGTTTTTTAAAATGCCCAAGTTAAACATATTAGGATGATAATACGTGTTATCAATGCACTTAAGAGAATTGTCTTTAATGCAATAAATCTGAATGCTCATAATGTAAAATGGGTTATTAATTGAAGAATAACGTATGTGAATAGATATGTTATATTGATAATTGTTAATAGTGCAGCTTTAGTGAATCTACTTAGAATTGTATATCATGTGTAACACCATTTGAATTGTATCAAAATTAATGCAGAATGTCAAATGATTGTTAAATTGAGAATTGCTCTGTTTGTTAGATTAAGAACTAATAACTTAATTGTGTCTAATGCAATCCAGACAAATATAAATATAAAACTAATTGTTTAGATACCTGTCCGTCAGGCTATTATGATAATGAAAACAAAGATTGCGTAGTTTGCTCATTAGGGTGCAGTTCATGCAATTCCTAAGAATGTTTGGAATGCTAAACCTAGTATAATTTAACAAATAAAATATGTCAATGTAAAATTGAAGGATGCTAAACATGCAATTCAATTGATATTTGTGACAAATGCAATGAAGATTTTGGCATTTATTTTAAGAATTAATGTCTAAAGGATTGCCCTTCAGAATACTATGAAAAAAACAAAACATGTTTATAATGCAATTCTGAATGCAAAACATGTGATATCAATGGCTGTCTTTCGTGCAAAGAAAATTACTATTTGGAAGGTTCTAAATGCATTCTAAAGTAATGCACTAGTAATTGTTTGAGCTGTGATAATAATACAACTTGTAATGAGTGCTCTCCTGGATATAGAGTTGATGGCAATCTAACTTGTATTTAAGTAAAAAATGAACCATATTTTGGAGTGGCCTCATCTGTATTATTAGCTATTCTTGGAGTTGCAATTTGTTATTAAGTTGTCTCATTGATCTTACCTCCAAAACTCCCCATATTTCCACAAGTAATTCTGTCATCTATCTTGGCATTCTCATTTTTATAGACTATAAGCAATTGCATGCTATTATTGTATGCTTACATCAACTAGGTTTAAATTGAATTCATCTTAGCTTCAATTCTTTTCAGCATCAATAATATATATTACTCTTAGACCTATAATAGTATGAACAATCCCTTGTTATCCTTTATCACATCAGGTACTTGGGCTAGAATTCCATTACTCAAATTCAAATTTTTAAGCAAGTAGAATCCTCAACAATACACAAATTATTCACTCATCAGACAAATAGATAAATACAATCACATAGTCACAAGTTGTTTGTCAATTATTATTGACGTAGTTGTGATTTCATTATAGAATACAAGTGAAATCCCTTACATTGGATACATAAAATTATTCATAGATTTCATTTTAGTATGTAGTTTTACATTAGAACACAGATTAATCTGAAAATTAATTCATACTTATAATTTCTATAATAAATAATTATATTCCAATAAATAAAATTTATTAATTTACTTTATATATATATATTAGATTTCTTAAAACATATAATCCTATATAATGTCATTCCTTGATTTTTACGAAATTAACCCTATAATCTGTAGTTTCTTACATACTTGATCCATTACATTTACAATTTTGCAATAATTATCTGTCTGTGCTTATTTTAAATATAATGATCAGCTCATTCGATTTCAGGGCTTCGTTTTATGTTTAAATATAAAGAGATTGGAAACCATCAAGGTTCTTTTTGATTTGAAATTTATGAAAATATATGAAAGAGGTCACAGTGAAACCTCTTCAAGCTTATAGTAGTTTAATTTATTAAGAGAGGCAAATGAATCCTAGCTATTTAGAGGTGGAAATATATTGTAGAAAATGTGAGGTGTAGAAAACTTGAGAAGAAAAAAATTTAATTTTGTCAGTTAGAAAATAAGGATTTTGTAAAATTAATTAAAAATATACAAAAATAATAGGTGATATTTTACACCAAAACAGCAGCACAGCAAACCATTATAAATTTGTAAGATATTTATGCGAAAATTATTATTTTAATAAATTCATATAAAGAATCTACCATATTGAAGTTAAAAATGTAACAATTAAAAAGTAAAGCTGAAACTAGTTTTATTGATACAGTCTCGAATATGATGAAATTTATTAATGATTAGTCAGCATTTTAATAAACAGATAACATTAAAGATTTCGAAGATAACTTGGAAACTATCTAAGATAAAAGAGAGCTACTCAGCATAGGATCAATAATCCAAATACTCATTAAATCTGAAAAGGTTCCGGAGAAGAAAAGTTACTTGCTTAAGATTAACTTTAAGATACAAACTAAAATTTTGGAGTAAAATTAAAATTTAGATACGTTTATTGCTGAGTTGTATGAAAAAAATAATTAAGGAATTGGACTGTCTTTTTTGAATAATGATGGTAGTTTTGGTATATATTTATAAAATAACTTTAGTGCTTTCAGATTTGAGAACTCGAGAACTTTTAGAGATTTCGAAAACTGTAAATGATTCGAAACACTTATTATAATATTGTTCGTAAGCTGGGTAAAAAACCCTTTATAAGTAATTTAAAAATTGGCCAATTTTACTTGATGAGGATGAATTATCGAAAGAGTTTTTCATGACTATCTATTCTGAAAGGATGAGAAGAAAGGCTCTAAAGCATTTGGCTGCACAAGGCAATCAAAAATTACAATATTCCTAATATTAATTTAATTAAGATCAAAGTAAGAAAAATAAGAAATTGATTAAAGAAGAAATTAAGTTGAATTAACATGAGGCCATCAAAATTAAATTTCTCAAAACAGTTTAAATTAAATTAACTAAATTAACGATCAATGTCACTTAAGAATTTTAGTAATCAGTTTAAGAAAGTACCATATTTTAAGGCAGTTCGAATTTAGCTTATATGGCAGAAAATTCATAATAATATTATCAAGTTGTGAAATGTGAAATCACACTATGCCAGGAAATAGAAGATATTTGTTATGAAGAAATAAATAAAGATCCAAAACTATAAGATTATGAAAGTAAGACAGTAACATTTATATTTCAGGGAAATGGTAATAAAAGTGCACCAATATTAAAGATTAAATTAGAAAATCTATATAATAAGGAGAAGAAATTCATTGTTAGGATTAAAGCGTGTTTTGTAGCGATGCTGACTATGAATTAAGCAATGTTCGGATTTGAATTAATATTCGAAAAAATTTTGTCATTTATATTATATTTATTTAAATTAATTTAAAAAAATAAATAAATTCTTTCTTATCCAATGTTTTTACATCGATTGAAAAAAAGATTAATAGAAGTGGGAGAATAGAAATTCTTAGAGAAATTAGAAGCTGAATACAAGGAGAAATAACTTAGTAAGAGAAAGTTGAAGGATAAAAAAATAAAATCTCTTGATCAAAAATTTACAAGAGTTGCTTTCAAATTAGCTTATGTAGGAATAAATTATCATGGCTTGGAATAATAAATTAATTAACAAAATACTATTGAAAATCATCTATTTAAAGCATTATAAAGAGTTAGGATGATTGACAATAGAGATGATTGCAATTACACTAGAGCTGGTAGGACTGATAAGGGTGTTAGTGCTATAGGGAATGTAGTTGCCTTAAATGTAAGGAAAATAGGAAAATCTGATAAGCTTTATGCGTAAATTCTGAACAGAGTTTTGCCAGAAGATATTTAAATATTGGATGAATGTATTGTAGATGAAAAATTCAATGCTCGTTATGATTGTACAAAAAGAGTTTACAAGTATTACTTCTACAAAATGGATTACAACATTGAATTGATGACAGAGGCCATGTTACTTTTTTTAGGAGAGCATGACTTTAGAAATTTTTGTAAATTAGATGTTATTGCAAACCAAAATTTTGTAAGAACAATCATGAACATTGCAATCGAAGAGGTATTCCCAGAGAATGCTCCAAGATGTAGTACATTATTTAAAGACGATGACAGATTGCGTTTGTATTGTGTAACTATAGAAGGGAATGCTTTCCTTTGGCATTAAATAAGGTATATGATGGCTGTCCTTTTTTTAATTGGCAAAGGAATTGAAAAGTCATCTGTAATAACTGATTTATTTACTAAATTTGATGGCAAGCCAAATTACTAAATGGCTCCTGATTATCCTCTAGTGCTATATAATTGTGAATTCAAATAGCAGTTGTGGAACCCAAATCCAGAAAGTCATACAGAATTTACCCAAGGGGTTTATGAAAATTTAAGAGAGACACTTTCAAAAAAATATATCGAATATTTGCATTTTTACTAAATGGGTTCTTCATTGCTCAAAGTCCCAGTCCCAGAAGCAAAAGTTAAAGTGGAAGAAAAGAAATCTCTTGTAATCTAAAAATCAGGAGTCACAGTGGAAGGAGCAATACAAAATTTAAAAGGCAAAAGAAAAGAGAAATACGATATCAAAATTCAAAAGGTTAAGGAATATTAAGAGAGATGTTTATAAAACAATAAAAATGAAGAAGAAGTTGAAAATTAATGATGCATTATATATTAGAATTATTTCATGGTATTAATAAATAATATTATTCACTTCTTTATTTCCATGAGTTATAAATGTCTGTATATAAAGATTTCTTAAATATACTAAGTATAAATTAACAATAAGTATATTTCTTTAATTCAGGGTATTTTCTCATATGAACCATCGAACTGTTGTTTGCTAAGACATATGCTTAAGCAAACAACATTGAAAGTGCCGAAAAAAGCAGTAATGTTGTGAAAATATAAACAAATATCAATCTAAACCAATTTACTGTTAATAATCCAAATCGAAAAGTAACAAAAAAGTAGAATTGTTCACCTAAATATAGCAATACACTTAAAGTCAGGATATTTGTATAACAAATAAAACTTATAAAATATTTATAGTTATTTTTCCCTACACAATTTCCAATGAAGAAACAATGGTGATCCATTTCTAATACGCAAGTTTAACAGATCTTACAATGATGAGTTGTTATTTCTAAATATTTTACATTAAATATAACCTCTATGTATTTTGCATCTTTTACATAAATTTTGTTCTTCAATCATATTTACATAAGTATAGCTTTTCCTTCGGATGGATAAGTAAAATGACTTTAACAGAAAAAAGTACAAGAAAAGGAAGTAAATTGAAAATAAGGTTGATCTCATCTCAAAGTATACAATATAAGCAGATTCATAAATGACACTTAATTGAAAAGCATAGTAAGAGAATCTTAAAAGGAAGGATACAATCTATCTGGCTTATCTGTTTTCTTTATCATCCTCAGGTTCATCAAAAATTTAAGTAACAATAAACATTTATAAACAATTATTTATAAAATTTATCAATTTGAAATTCTTATATCTAAATTGTTAGAGATTTTAATTTGAATTCATATGTTTAAATCATTCAAAAATGATAAAAAAATATAAATAGATATATTTACGATGATATTCTATTCAATTTTATAATAAATATGAGTTTTTCATCTATTTAGAAAGCATAAATCATCAGGGAAGTCATAAATTTTTATAATTTGCTACTGGTGTGTATTTGAATAAAATGTGAAAACATGGGTTGAATGTGAGATCTTGAATTGATATGTTTTCGATCTGTGTAGAAATATTTAAATTCCCTTCCATAAATATCATTTTAAAATAATTTAAGATAAGGAAGTATCCTATTATAATTAAATATATATTATAATTTATAGTTAGAAAATGGGTGAAGTTATAATCGTTTTTCAATCGAAATTCTATAAAATAAAATGTTTCAATTGATGATGAATTTCAAGAATTTCTAATTAATTTGTGACAATATATATTTGTTAACATACACAAAAATTTAAAAAGTATAATCATTGTTCGGTTTGAGTAGAAATAATAGCCTTTTTTTCTTGATCTATCTCAATAACTTTGAATCTAATTGATAAACAATTATATGTACTTCTTATATTGGGCTTCTTTAATATCAAGCATCGATAAAAATATTTTTTTCTTTTAAGAAGTTTCCTTATTCTCAATATTCTTGTCCTCTTATCTCTTAGGCTTCTTTTCTTGAGTCAATTTTTCATGTTTTTTGGATTATTTCAATGTTAATGGCTTAACTGGATGTGTTTCCTCCAATTTTGAAATGGATGGAGAGGAGGACTCATTTTCTTCAGTTGCTTTTGGTATTATTGGCTACTGTTAAGGTTTGGATAGCATTTTAGTTCTATAGTGAAGGTTAGGAGGTAAAATATTACTTTTAAACAAGCATTTGATTGTAAATAAACATTTGTTAGAGGAGAAGTTGTTGTTAAAGAATGAGGCTGCTGTCGAAGAGTTGGAAGTTATTCATTAAAACTTAGAATTATTTAAAGTAAAAGATTTAGATTCTCACATTTATATAGTAAAATCATACGTCAGCACGTATTGATTAATCACCTTACAAATCATCTTGCATTATAATAATTAACAAAATAAATTAATATTACATAATACTTTATAATTATTTTATATTATAATGATAAATCTCAATCTTATTTATAAAATTTTATAGAATTATAATGTTTTATAATTTATTATATATATAATTATTTCTTCAATATGATCAAATTTTGGCTTTTGTGAATGAGATTTACACGTTTCTGTTGTCGATCTCTTCATTATGCATTAGAGCCATAACCTCTAAGGCTTACTTAAGAGTTTCCATCTTTATTAAACACATAAACTTGAATTGTGTATTTAATACCTTTACAGCCTAATAAATTAGATGGAGATCTTACTTGAACAACACCAAATTCAGAAAATACATCCCACATAGTTTCAGCATTGGAAGAAACCTTTTTAAGATTTGAGATGTGCAATACCTAACTTGGTGGCAAAAGAATCATTTTATTGTTACAATTGAATCTATATTTGAATGTAATTTTTACCTATCTGTATCCTCAGAACCAATATAATAGTCCTATTCTTGATAGAGAGTGTCAAGACCAATCAGCTTATCTATTGAGTCGTCTGAAGCATAAGAAATTGAAATGGTGCTGTCAAAGAATTCTAATTATTAACAATTCTAGAAAACGAACATAGCATTATCATTTTTGAGATACTTAACAAATGCGAAATTTTTAATTCTAGTTTTACAATAATAAATTATTCTTACTTAATAAGTAAGATTTTATCAATATTTCCGAAGTTACTAAAAATATTATACAATTTTTTGGCATCTATTTCTTTCCCCTTGATTCCACTTACACACAAAGTCTAAGTTGGTTAAATTAGTTATGAAGATTTAACTGTCTTGTGATTTAAGGGTAGGGTCTTGACGCTTAGAGACCTATAATCATCTTCATATAAAACTTAATAGATCAAGTAAAATATACTTTCATTTAACGAAGTTTGATGTTAGCATTTCTATGAGCTAACAGTTGAATCACCAATAATCTCAAAAGAGCAATTATTCTAAGATCCTGTTTCAAATTGCTTCTCATCATGATAATATGAACACTTAATAAAATTTGAAGAAAGTTAATCAAGAAATTATTTAGCTAATTTTGCTGCCTCTGAATTACCCATTTCTACAAACACTTTAAAATCCATTAACGATTTATTTAAAATCTTCACTTATTGCACAGGTCCATACCTAATATTCAATAAATTCTTACTGGTTTAATAGTGAACTAAAATATTCTGGACTTAAGTTTTCTGGAGGTGCAATTAAACTTAGCATTAATTAATTAGAGTTAGTCCATGTTTCAGGTAGAATAGGTGCTGAGCAGCTTAACATAATTACGAATATTTAATTAATTTTTTAATAAACTATCACAAACTAATAAACTCTGCAAGATCTTAATTTTATAAACTTTTATATAAAACTATAATACTAACTTCTTCATTCGGGTTTTTAGAACTAACTCCACTATTTAGATTTAAACACATTCTATATATGAATAATAAAATTGGAAACTTATTTCGAACAATTTACTGGAATCTAACATTTAAATATTAATTCTTATTGAAAATTGTCATGTGAATTTATAAAGAAAGGCATATCATAATTTGCTGGAAATAAATAGTCTATTTGAGCTCCTGTTTTCCAGATATTCTGATTATTCTATTTAATAGCAATTTTAAGAGACAATAGGCTAAGCCACAAATTAATATATATTTAAGTGAAAATACTTAGATATTAAATAATTATATGCAAATTGTTGTTCAAATATGAATCAAAGGTTATCCATTAGGAAATACTGAGGTTTATCTTCTTTTTTTATTTAAGAGGGCCTTCTTGAATTTCATGATATTGCCAACTTACTAAAAATTTCCAGTTAGTTTTCGTTTGTGTGCTATCTTATTAAATTTCAGAACATATAAGAAAGGATAAAGCATGTATCTTATTAGCTCCTTAAAATAACTTTTATACACTTCTCTTTTCTTTTTCAAGACTTGTTCAACGTTAAATTCTGGGAAATAGTGTTAAAAACTTTTTATGTGATCAAAATCCTCAGCTGGATGACTATTATACTTTAGATAGAGAATTTCTAAGTCTTAGTTCATGTAGCCATCCTTTTTGGATTTCAAATATAGAGCATTAATATTCTAAACCTACTCTTCCTCAATCATATTAGGTTGGATAGTTTTTAACATAAAAGATTTTTCCAATTCAGATTGTTTCGGCTTAATCACTCCTAAAAATTGGAAATTAGATTGCCCAACACCTGAGACTCCTAATTTTTGAATAGGTGATCTACCATTATTTTCATGAATTGATTTTCGTTTAACACCAAATTCTTAAAATTCATCATCGAAAACAGATTGTTTCCTTTGAATTTACATATTGATTTAACTATCAGAAAGTTGTTTTTTGAGTTGATCTTAGATTATTTGTTATTTTTCACTTTAAAAATATGCTACATACTCTTAAATCAATTCCATCTCAGAAAGAGACTTAAAGTAATTTCTAACACGATTCCGAATAATAGGAACTCTTTCATTTTACTTGGGAAAACAATGTTTCTTAATAATACCTTCTCTATCGTATTTATAAGAAACTAGAGGACAATAGTTTGTAGAGTGACCATGAGTACTGCACCATTTGCAATCATATAAATATCCATATTATTCACTGCATAATTACATCTTTAATTGAGAAAACTTTTCATGATCAACTTGATGAGCCTTTAATATTTTATTAAAATTGTCTTTCTAAATGATTAATAATGACACATAGCCTATGGCTTTATAAGGAATAGAGGTTTGAGTATCAGTAGCGTATTCATATTCTTAGATGAACTATCCTTCTTTGATTTCTGACATTAAGAATTACAACTAGCCGGATTCCAAATAGCATAAACAAGGATCTTCCTTCATAGAAAAAGTATTATGAGGTTATATAATGACTCTTTTAATGTGCGAACTTACAGATCTCTTGAATTCATTAGAAAAATGTTGTAAAAGTTAACTTTTTTCAATGAAATTCTTACGACCCAATAATTCTAATTCCTATTTAAGCTCATTTGATAGTTCATTTATTAATTTGTCTTCTTAAGTAATATCACTTTCCTATTCCTCTTTCCATCTGTAATTAAGGTATTCCCTTATTTTAAATTGTAAGGAGTATGGTACTTTTCTTTTATTCATGTAACCATTTATCACTCTAATTCTCTGTCTTCTTTTTTCTGAGTTGTAAGTCAATTCATTAATGATCTGTCCTATCGTATTGACAGCATAAGAGTACCAGAGACAAGCGATTAAGATGAATAATATTGAGACTAGCTTTTCAATTTGATTCTGAGGAACACTATCTCCATAACCAATTGTAAGCATGGTTACTGTTGAGAAATATAGGGCTTCAATATATTGGGTTGCCCATTCACTTTGGTCTATTTCCTTGTTCTTTACCCAATTATCACCGTTTGTATTTTTACTTATCAAAAACCAAATGCAACTAAAAATGTGTAGAATTGTTAACAATGTTAAAATAAACCAGATTAGTTTCATTAATCCCTAGATTGGCTTACTCAAGTAAGAAGACTCCTAACTTTTATTAATTACTTCGTAAACATATTTAAATTGCAAACTATAGGATGGTAGAATACTCCTCAAAACTACTCCAAAATTAACAGTCAAGGAAAATATTGCAATTACATCGAATATTATACAATCTTGAATTTTTAATTCAAATATCTTCCATCTATCATTGATAGCCTTGCCATCTTCGTAATAAACGGTATTCAAGCGTACTATCATATCCAATATTGTTAGTAATATAGTTACAGAAGTAAATATTTGGGCTTTTTCAAAAATTATCCCTGGTTGGAAGGCGATTTCTAAAGGCAACAAGATCATTAAAACTATTCTAAGTGCAGTCATGAAATAATCCCAAATTAGCTTTTTCTTAGATTCAGGGTGGATAAGAGGAATTTTATTTAGATCTTCGAGGATGCTTCTTTTCCAAGTCGTTAATATGGAGTTCTTTTTTGATAATTAAGAAAGTAACACTGGAAAATCAAAGATTTTTAACTTAGGTTTATTTTTGTTGCTATTCAGAAGGACGGTCTAATCAGAGGCTTAATCATTAATAACATCCAAATGCTTTGAGGTTAACCTTTTAAAATTCTCTCGATTTCTGCTTAATTTTTACAGAAATTTCTTAAGATTAAAGTAAGCCATCATGTTATTTCCTAAAATTGAGAGTTGACTAACATGAGGTCTTTTCTCGTAATCTAAGAAAAGTTTGGCTTAATTTGAAACTTTAGTAAGCGGACTTAAAAGGAGATCAAGATTATCTGTTTCAATTGGTTTTGCTTGTAGTTCTACATCCAGATCAGCATTTAATTACCATTCTTTTGGACTAACAGTATTGATGCTAAATAAACCAATTTTTTCTTAATAATTATTCATATATATTGAAACAATAGGCATTTATTAAACTTAAATATCGATTTTGATCCCAAATATTTATACCTTTGATTGTGTCTAAATCAAGAATTACCCAAAAGGTTGAAAAATCAATTTTTAGACCCAAGATCAAATATTATTATTATTATAAGATTAATACAACAACAAATGATTAAAATTACTAAGCATCTAAGGTTAAGATAAAATTATTCATCTATTTTGGATGACCAATCCAAATTTTATATAAAACCGATAGAGGGACTTGAGCATATAGAATTCAGTGGACAATTTTTGATTTAAAAGGATGGCAAACTGAAAAATAAATGGTTGTAATTTTCTCAACATATCCTTATCTATTCAAAGAAAGTAATCTCAATATCTATTACATAGAAATATGTCAATCTATTAAATGCTACATTGTAAGTAATCTTTGATAAAAATAATGAGATCGAAGGATTAAAACTTATCAAATCTGGAACATCCTTGGAAATCTATTAGAAGCCTCAAAAGCTCTATGAGTACATTAGGAAATACTGTATTTAAAGAGAAATCTCTGATAGATACAAAATAATACAAACCCTGTATTATGGAAGCAATGCCACTGTATGAATTGTTTGATATACGATAGTTTCTAAAATTAGAATCCTCCTTAGATCCTCACGTTGTTTATGTAGCCAAAATATACGAAAAATAGAATTTGATTTCTGAAGAATAAAAGCAGAGTCTTAGGAAGGAAGTTTAAATTCTCAGAACAATAAACCATCACCACATTTCAAATTTAGTTGAAATTTTTGAGGATGATGAATTAATATTTTTGCTGTAAGAAGAATTGAAAGGAGAAAGCTTGCAAATTATATTAGAGAAGCAATAACGATTTGATGAAAATCAGATTAAGTAAATAATGAGACCTCTATTTGAATGTGTTTCACATTTGCATGACAATAACATCTTCCACAGAGATATCAAACCACAAAATATTATGTTTAGAACATCACCAGACTTCACAGAACCTTGTTTGATTGACTTTAGCTTAGCAGATTTTTGGAACAAGAATGGAAGATATCTATTCACAAGATGTGGAAGCATTGGATATGTGGCTCCAGAAGTATTATAAGATAAGAGATATGTCTTAAATATTGATGTTTACAGTTTAGGCATTGTGATTTATGTTCTGGTTACTTTAAAACATCCTTTTGAAGATCAAGATAAAAACAGAATGATACAGAAAAACTATCATGGCAAAATAGATTTTACAGAAGTCTAATGTTCTTAGGTTCTTATGGATTTAATGAGCAAATGTCTAGAAATAGATTACACAAAAAGATTAAATTGCAAAGAAGCTTTGAAACATCAATTTTTCTAAAATAAAATTCCAAAGATGTTATCATTCAAAATTAAAGACAATAGAAAACCATCCATAATTAGAACTCCCAGAAGTTAAAATAAATAACTAAGTGTAAGTAAATTCTCTAGTGATTCTGGAAATGGTGTAAGCTTATCATAATCACCTTCCTCAATTGATCGTGATAGGTAATTCTCCAGTAGGTTTAAATAAAATACTTTACTACCAGAAAGTAATATTCAGTAATAATTTAGTAAATAATTTTCGACCTAAATCTAAGTATTTTCAAACTAGAAAATCTTAATGTGACTCATCAACCAACAAAATTGAATGATTAAATAATTAATCTTTCACTTTATATTTTTGTTTATGTTTCTTTAATAAAAATTCATAAATTAAATAACTTAAAAATATATTCAATAATATTGTTCATCATTTCACTTTTATTCCAATTGCTTAGGGAATATATTCGGCATTAAAACAGATATCGATTATGATGGTCTCGATGTCTTGGCGAAGAATGAAGGTGAAATTCCACTTGGCCTTACCAATAAAGTATTAGGATTTAACGATTAGGAAAAAGATTGAACTTCTTTTGGACTAAAACTCCCATTCAATGTAGTAATACGAAAAATTGAATGATTATGAGAATTAATAGAATTTCTATAAGCATTCGAAAATTAATGCTATAAAGGACTGCCGTAACTTTAATCAACACTTTGCTTATTAAGTACAATCGGTAATAATTTAGGAGAATTTTGCATGCTTTTTCGATGTTGTGGACTTTTAAATTAAAATTTTTTGATATTCTTATGAGCCTTAAACTCCATTAATTTTGAAAGCTTCTCCGTCTTAAACCAAATATGATTCAAAGCTGCCTAAGCTGTTATTCTTTCATCTGGATCAGGCTTGAGAATGCTTTCAATAAGCATCAGCCCTTCTTTACTTAACTTTAGAATCGATATATCTACTAATCCTTCCTCATTTTGTTCTATCAATTGTTAATAGTCGTCAGAATCGAAAGGCTTTTTTCCGGTCAATGAATAATACATCATAATTCCCAAACTATAGATGTCAACCTTGCAATCATATTACTAATTCTTCAAGATTTCTGGAGCCACAAATCCTGGTGTTCCACATCTTTAAAACAAATATTTGGGGGTTTCTTCTTCTTGGTCTGAATCATTGTCTAAACTTACAACGTCAGCTAATCCGAAAAAACAAATGCAAGGGTTCTCAAGGTTTCCATTCAATCTAAGTCCAATATTTTCTGGTTTTAAGTCTCTATGCATTATCCCTTTGGAATGAAGATAAGCTAAACTTTTAAATAATTTAAAAAAAAATTTGGATGCTTTTTCCTCTGACAATAATGGCCATTTTTATAAATAAGAATCAAAATTTCCACCTATTATTAATTCTTCTACAATTATTATTTACTCCTAATTTTCAAAGGTTTCAAAATATTTTTGAATATATTCATCGTTTATTCTTCTCAATATATACAATTCTTTCTCTATTTATTTTTCCATGGTAAGGTTGAGTGCTTTTTTATAAAAAATTTTGCATTAATAATCATTTCTATCTGTTTTCGACCTTATTCTAAAAACCTAATAATTAGATGATAAATAGTTTACCTCAGTTTTATCACAAGAATTAATCTTCTTTAAAAAATGATATTATTAAGTGAATTCTAATTGGATCGTGTATTTCTTAAAGTAAGGGAGCATTTTATCTAATTCTCCATAAATTTCTATTTCGTCGAAACATTTCGTTAGTCTAATGCCATCTCCAAATTATGGGTCGTTTATAGAATCCAAAATGGAATTTTCATAGTCGATCCAACATAAAGACCCCTAAATTAAGATGATGACATACATCTTTCTTCTGTCTCATCATGATATTCTGATGCATCATGATCAGATAAGTTTTTTTTACATTCTTTTTATTTTTCATGATGACCTTTTAAACAATGTCAAACTCCAATTGGGATTTGGGTAACTTTTATCTGGTCCATTCCATTCTAACGTAGTCCCTTTAAAAAAAACACTTCCTATGTGTTTGTTCGTAGGTAATCTTTTTGCTAATGTCCAAATTTAACTTGAGGAATCTTTTCATCAAAAAAATGAATAATTAATTGAAAATCCATTTCAATACTTGGTTTATACAAAAAAAATATTCGAAGTGGTAAATTCTACTACGAACCTTCTAAATAGTTCTAATATTATTTCATGCAAAGAATCATTAATAAAAACTTGCTGTTATAAATTGTATTAAGCTCTCTCAATATAATATAAGGTCATTATTAAATAATGATTATGCGATTATAAATTTAATTATAGCAAATCTTAAAGAAAACTAGTATTAATTACAATTACATTGAAATAAAAATAATATAATATAAATAAATTTTAATGTCGATATTTCATGTGACAGATATATCTGAAAAACCTTCTTCCTATACTAGCTCCCTAGCAAACAAAGAGGTTTCATCAATAGTCTATAATAGATAAATTACCAAGCTCTAAGAAGCGAAGTAAGAACTTCCATCATAGATAAATATAACCATTTCGAAAAGCTGGGCTAAAAGCCTTTGAGTCCAAAAGGTGGATAATAAACCCGAGACAGTCCCAGAAAACATTAAAACACTCTTCGTACTTTGGATATTTTATTTGGAAAACCAACCCAAAATCCTGAGTAGGTGTCTCAATCCTCCCCTGCGAAAATTAGTGGATTAAAGAAGAAGTAAAACTATCATTTTAAGCTAAGAATGCAATAGATCGGGACTCAAGAACAAACCGGAAAGTTTCATTTATCCACCGGTGCCTAGGATTTCAAAAGCACCTACTACGACTAATCAGGATCCAAATACTCCTTCTTATCACCTTAAAACAGAAATAATCAAGATAATTTGGTGAGATCTGGATCCCAAACATCAAAATTCTATCCCGAAAGAGGGTAAATTAATTAAATATTCTAATAGTACCCAACTCAGTAATTCTGTGCCTATCTAAAGGTTAGTTGAAATCTAAAATTTATTAGAATTGACTCCAGCAAGTGAGTTGTAAACCTTACCAAGAAAGTAAACTTTATTATAAATTTTAGTTATTTGGATGAATTATAGAGAGTAGCCAGTTCAATTTAAAGGAACTTGAAACATCACAATGATATACGTTTAAAGTAATGATGTATAAGAATATTTTTATAAAATATTAATAATCTTCTTCTCAATCAGATATTTGTGTTTATGATTGTCATCATACTTAGAATGTTTCTAACATTAAACAAGAAATATTGATCATATTTAAAGTATATTAAATAGTTCTAAATTGATGAGATGCATAATTGAATGATAAATGGATAATGTAGAATCATGTAGCAATTATTATTATATAAAATTATTAATTATAAGATAATATGGGTAATAGGCAAGCTTAGGAAGAAGAAATAGATGACAATCGTTTCAATGCTATACAGAGAGGACTATTGAAAATTTAATCGGGATTTTAGGTTTTTAGGAATCAATAAGATGAAAAGAAAATTAAAAAATTGGATGAAATTGACAGACCAAAAAATGCTACTCTTTGTCCAGAGTTTTATGACATGATTGCAGACGAATATAGAATATAGTTTGACAAAAAAACTGTTAAAAAGAAATTCAAAAGATATCCCCCCTTTAGATTAGAAAATGGTGACATTTATGAAGGATGCTGGATTCATGGCAAGAAACATGGATTGGGAATATTGTTATAGCAAAGTGGAACCATCATTTAAGGTGAATGGTAAAATGATGCTTTACTAGATGGAAGAATAATTTATCCAAATGGTGACATACAAGTTGGTAATCAATATACATATGCTAATGGAATCATATTTATTGGAGATGATGATTATGGAATAGAAAAACATCCCGATGGATCTATATATACTGGAGAATTCCACAATGGTCATAAGCATGGAAGAGGTTAATTTATTTATAGTGATGGAAGTGTGTATTCTGGTGATTTTGTTGAAGATCTCTATAGTGGATATGGAGAACTCAAATATTACAATAAAATTGTGTATGAAGGTTAGTGGTTCAATGGATAAATGCACGGTTTGGGAAGACTGAAATGGCCTGATGGAAGAGAATATGAAGGTGAATTTAAATATGGATTAAAGAATGGCCCTGGAAAGATGAAATACTCAGATAAATCGGAATTTCATGGGATATTTGAGAGTGGTCTCAAAGTTGGGAAGGGTAGATGGATTGATTCTCATTAATAACTCTAAGAGAGGGAAATCGAGAATGGACATATGTTAGATCCTTAACTCAAACCACCTCCATCATAACAGCAGTAAAATGATTGACTTTGATTCTATTAAATTCTGAATTATTTAATCAATTTGAAATTATTACTGCTTACAATTATGAAAGATATAAGCGAATTATAAATCAAATATTACTTTAGATGTATTTAGAAGATCCAACTGACCTATGGTTCGTCAACATAGGAGTTTCTCCATATGTTCTTGATATCGCTTACTTTTGAGTCGTAACTTCTGGGTTGAATTCTGTATTTTAAGAAATGATGGTTTACAGTTTTTCTTGTTGCTTTATAGTTCTTTTATCCTATGATGATCGACAGATTGGACAACTCTATTATAGATAAGTGTAAAATACAGAATTTTTCTTAATCCAAGCATCGAAGCACTTGGAATGAAAAACATGCTAACAATAGGTCACTCTAACTTATTATTCTTGATTAAAGGTATCCAAACAAATGGCACATTGACTAAAATCTAATATTTATGGGTATTTCTTGAAAATAGCTGAGTATTAAATTATAGGGATGAACTCATTTATATCTGATGTCTAATCAATTGTGGTTTTGTTTTCTTACAAATTCATTAATATTCTATTGACATTTGCATTTGGATTTATTACTACCCTCTTCGTCCTGTAACACTTGAAAACACAGAAGATTAGGCAACATAAAAACGAGAGACACGTAGACAAAATGGCAATTAAAATAGTTTTGTTATTATTGAAGTCTTCTCCATCCTATTTCTTAATGTAAAGTAATTCATCTTAATAAATTTAAATGATGTAATATGAAGCAACCCCAAATTATATATCTCCCTAATGCAAACAGTTATTAATTTCTTCTCTTGATATATAAATATTGTCAGTGTTATTAATTTTTGCCTTTCTTAAGTATGGATTTGTAGAGAAACATTAATAACTCAGTTTGCCTTACTTTTTAAACTGAATTGAAAAATTAGCATCCTTACAAGATTTTAGATCCACATAATAGAAGCTAGACTTCATCAGGTATTCCTCATCAAAGATGTTAAACCCTTGGTATTTACAATCGAAGCCAAAGTGTCCTTCTTCACATAAGCAGCTGCCTTTGTTGCATTCTCCATTGTACTTACAATTCCTATTGAATACTTTGGAAATTTACACTATGCAATCGTTGGATTATTTTGGATAAATATAGATATTTACGAAATCATATGTTTTGGAAAATATTCCTACGTAAGGAGATTTGCTATTTGTATATTTGACATTTTTAGAATATGATATCATATTATTTGTTGAATTTCTAATAAGCATTACTTTTTAGGAAGCTTCGGAGAAATCAAAAGCATTCCAATCACAAATGCATCCAAAGCTTCATATAAATTAAAATACTTTGAATCATTGTAAATATCCTCTAAATTTTAAAAGTTTGGAGCTGTGTCACAAATCAACAGTATGCTTACTTGACTTTAACTGGATTTCGCTTCAAATACAATTGTTTCATCCACTGAGTTTTCTATATTAAGTTATCGAAGTCCCTTGGTGTTTTGAAGCGATATTTCTTCGTAGCAATTTGCAAATTGAGAAAATAAGAATAGAGCGTACATCATTTTTATTATTATTATTTGATGAGTTAATATAATAATATTTAAGTAATTTAATACCAATATCAAAATGTCTGGAGCAGTTAATAAGAAGTCTCATGTATTTTTCTGCTTTAATTAATTTTCAGTAAAATTTATAAACTCTTGAAATTTTATTTATTTTAGTCATTGTGTTCCTCTCATTGAAATGTATATATAACCCAAAGTTAGTACTAAAGTTAAATTGAAATTGAAAAGGAAATATAGAATAATAATAAAATTTATTTATTGTATAATAATAATAATTATGCTTGATATTTAGGTAGTGGATCAATATAGCTTGTATCCTCATTTTTTGGAATTAACAGCTCCCTATTTCCCTATTAAGAATTTCTAATTTAAGGACAAGGTAGGAACACTCAATGTTTAATTCAAAAACCAACAAACATACAAACCATTAATTTATATTTATATTTTAAGCACTAATTCATACGAAGGATATAAGAATACGGCGAGATAACGATTAATGAAATATTTTGATGATTATCCAGCTAAAAATAGCATCATTCTATTTTTTCCAAGTTTATTACGAGTAGATGATAAAGTGAATGTAAAATTAATATATAATGATTGAGAAAATACTCCAATAGACACATGAATTGATTTGCTAAGATTTGTAGATTGTGAAGCAATTTCCAAAGGATAAAGTCTAGAAGATTATATTTTATGACCCTGATAGAGAGTTGAATAAGGAACAATGTATGAGGGAATTTCTATATTATTTCTAATTATCAGTTCAACAATATTTGGAGAGTCAAGATGATATATTAGAGATTCAAATTTATGACTAAGAGCAATTGATGTAACAATATTGCGTTAAATAAATAGAAAGGAGAAATCTTTCAGTTTTTATAAGCTCTACTCATTAAAGGAAAAAAAGGCAAAAATCTATGAGAGTATAGGTTTGAAACAGGAAGCCTTAGAAATTTATGTAGGATAGGAGAAATTCTTTTTATAGCAATACCCAAACACAATACAACCAATATTCAATGCGATACATCCCTTCGATTTCCTAGTTAGGAAGTCTGTTGAATCGAATATTAGAAATTTTGAGGAATCAGGAGATGAGTCACAGTCAACCATTTTGGATTTTTTGGTGTTGATACAATATCGAGTATTTTACATTATTATGCAAGATAATTGATTTGCTTTCAGGAGGAAATTAAATATATGGAGTTGAAAAGATTCTCAATTTTTCTGAGGAGATACAATAAGTTGTGCATTAATAGATTGAAATCAATAAACAAAAATAGTAATTTCATGCAGATGAAGAAGAATTGTGGGGACTAGGATTATTAATATGGCAATTTTTTAATATGGTATTAATACATAATAATTGAAGAGAGGCAGTATTAATTTAATGGCTTCTGTGCCACAGAATCTGTCTGGGGATTTATTGTTGCAATAATTATAATCTTAATTAAAAATAAGATTTGCATTATTAAACATTGTTGAGAAATTAGGATTTACTCTTTACAAGATTTAATTTAATTGCGTAAGAAGATTACCACTAGTAATTCAATGTGAATTGTTGGAGTAAACTATTCTTGATTAATTGAATGAAATTAAATTTGATGATGTTGTGATCAGTCGAGATATCCAAAGTGATCCCAAAGAATTGTTTAAAACTTATTTGTTGAGTGACACAAAGTTAAAAGGATAAATTCACAATCTACATGATTTCTCTGAATTTTATTCTTCAATTGTAAATGACATAATTTCAATTGCAACTCAATTAAATTTGCACAGAGTGATCTTTGAATATTAATTTATGATTTTGAAATTAAAGAATGTGTATCCCAAACTAGAATTAAACTAGGATAATATAGACAAAGCTTTAAAGTATAATAATATTGACTTTAAAAATTTACATTCAAGTTTGCTGGTTCAAAAATTGATATACTTCTACAGAGAAAAAATGGAATTATCATTTTAAGAAACTTTTAAGGACACACTACAATCAAATCTGCCAGGAAGTAGATACACAAAATTGTTTTAAATCTTAAAACTCCCATTAACTAAACTCAAATTATCATATATTGGATATTTTGAGACTTTTTAAGTCAAGCAAAGAATTTCTTACAACGATTTTGTATTTAAATTTTCGATTTTCAAATATTTGTAAGTTGAATGTAATGGAACTTTTACTATCACATTAAAACATAAAGGAGGCGGAGTCAAGGATAAGAGAAAACTGAAATTAGTTTCAGACGTGAAGTAGTTGAGAGAGGAGAAAAAAGTGAATTTTGAATTCAAACAATAATTAAACTCAAATCAAGGAGGATTGTATTCAATCAGAAAAGTGACTTTCCTTTCTGGTCCTTTCAAGCTGTACTTTGATGTTTCTTAAAAAGTGCAATAACTAAAATTGCATATCCTGCACCCCTTAATAAATATATAGAATGTTGCTACTATCACAAACATCGGAACTCCAATATTGCTATCAGTCAGCGATTTACCTTTGGATATAACTGAATTAGAACTTACATTGATTTCAAAGGTAAAGATAGCATCAGAGTTGTTTAGTTTATAGGGAGCAACTATAACCTAGAAAGGTAATATTCATAAAGTTGTAGTTGAGGATCATTTCTTAATATAACATCCTTTCATCTTAAATTTATATGCTTTTGAGGAATTTTAGGATTAATAATTAAAAATTATTATTGCTGTTAAAAATCACTAATTTGCAACTAATTTGAAGGTAGACTCAATGAAAGTGTTAGATATCGTCGATCTTTCAGATAAAATAGACGATGATTTAGAATTGTATGAATTACGAAGCAATACTAAAGGGACAATCACAATAGACAATGGAACTTAAAATATAGCTTTAGAACATCGCAATTCAATTAGACAAGTAGCTTAAAAAGGCTAATGTAAATAAATTTAATAGATTTATTTTAGAGATTTTTATAAAATAATAGTTTAACTACAAAGATTGTTTTTAGAAATTGGGTGTTTTAGATGAATCTTATTTCGAATAACTAGAGCAATTATATTGTAAATAGTAATCTTTACAAAAAATAATGCATATCAAAAAGAATTTGTATGATATTTATCAACTGAAGAAAAAATCAATTTTGTTTAAAGTTCAATTTATGGTATTTTAGTATAATAATCATAGAGTGTATTTAGTTAAGAAAAGTTTATACCCTATTCTCAACCAGATTATTTTGATATGGCCATAAAGATCCAATATGCTGGAGATGATGAAGGAGTGTTCCAATTTGAATTGGTGTCTCATCATCCAAAATAGAATAGAAAATGGAAGGATTGTATAAAATTAATCCTAAATAGCTTTGTCGTAATAAAAGACCATAAGTTTAATGAACATAAAATGTTTTCTTACAGGTAGTGAGGATTTTGAAAACCCTTAATTAAAAATACATTTACTTAAAGAAGATAAGACATATGAAATTGATGAGAAGTACATCGACATTGAATTTACACTAAGCATAAATGAATAATCATTATGAGAGAGTTATTATGTAAAATGCATGTGTGTATGAATTAATAATACAAACAAGCAAATAATTATAAATTCTTTCTTCATAGTTCTGTGTCTTCTGATCTCAACAGATCAATTACTTTCATTTTTGTTCAATTAAAATCAATAGATTTCAACTAATTTTAGAATTTGAGAGAAGTAATATCATCAATGTATCAATCCAGATATGGTCTGTGTGGTAGTCTTTAGGAGCGATGAGTGGAGATAAATCGATGAATCTTTGATTAAATCTCACATATTTGGTTCGTCTATGAAGTTTTGGAAATATAAGAAATTGAGTTCCAAATATACATTCATAAATAAAATATATCAATAAATTTATAAAATATAGATGTTGTAATAGCGACCACCTTTTCCTTCTGGTGTCATGGACTGCATTTTACCGAGAACTTAAGAACTTGGCGCTCTATTTCTGAGTGGGATAGAAGCAGCCCTCAACCCCTATTTGTTGTAATAGAATCAAATAGGCGCAATACTTACTGTTGGATCAGAAATGGCCCATCTGTAATTCCAAGATGCAAATCACAAAGTAACTAACATTCTTATGATAGATTCTCCATTTAAATGATACAAGTCACGATCCAATCAAAAGGCATTTTGACGAATCCATTTAATTCATTCAAGAGAACAGATAGAGATGCAATGTTTTAGTGCATTGTTATGTAGGGGTCAGCAGAAGTGCGACCATTATCATAGCATATTTGATGCAGATTTGCAATTTCCCCTTCTAGAAATCCCTTCAACATTTGATATAAGTTAGACCTCTAATAAATCCAAACCCAGGTATAAATGCATCTTATAAGGCTTTATGCAATAGTTATAAAGCTTTGATCAAGAGCTCCTAATAAAACGATTGAGTTAGATCAGGCCTCCCTCGGTTGAAATACAACGACCCATCTCTGTGCATGGTTAGAGGAGAGAGCAATTGAGTTCTCATCGTTCGACAGGACTCCCTCAAAGTCCTTTAAAAAAAGTAAATGCTCCTGGTTAAGTGAACCAAAGATCTTTAATGATGACTCCGATGTCCATACGAAAAGTGGAGAGCAATCATTTTCGACAGGGCACACCATTAAAAATGAAGGATAACTTTTGTAAAAGTCTGAACTCTTCGATAAATAGTCACGATTTCAGAAAAGTGCTTCAACAATGCAATTAATTTCACAGTGCTAAAAAATCTACGAATGATGGGAATATGATAAAATAGGCTGCTATTTTTTGTAAGACTTACTCGAATAATTAAAATCAATTGAGTTAGGTGAATCTCCTATTGAAAACTCCAGGATCGGGGCTAGGCACTCAAACCAAGAGCAAGGTGCCCTTGAAAATCAAAGGGTCTATCGTATAAGAGCAATACTGAATTGTAGAATATATACTATATAAAAACATTACATTTTTAAGTAAATATTAAGTGAATTATATTAAATAATTTATAAATGGTCGTAGCAGAAAAGAGACTGATTGACGAGTAAGAAATCCATATTAGATTAGATATTTCAAGGTTGAAGATATTGACCAGGCTGGATAGTCATTCAAAAGAGTGTCAAGAATAAAATGTAAATCAAAATCAGGGGAAGTGGATATGGAATTGGATGTGAATATCGATATCTACCCTATTGACAAAGGCAGTGAATACAGAGTCCTGATTGTTAGATCCTTGGGAATATCTCAAGAAATGGATTAAGTAAAATTGTTCATTAAGGTTAGGGTAAATATAAGCCGGAATTTTCACAAATCGACAATGAATTGCTGGAGAAATTTCAATATGCCATGTTTGGTCGAGTGTTCAAAATGATTAAGGATCAAAATAAAATGATCAATGTTTTTGCTTCCTTTGGTGGATTGATTCTAAAGCTGAGTGGTAAATCTGAAGAACTTGATAAATTTGCCGACGATTAAAGAGTGTATTTATTAATGAGAAAGGCATGAGAAGATATATTAATTTTTATTAATATTTTATTTATTTTCTAATAATGTTCGAAGGCACCAGATTGTAATATATCGTCCCTGGATATACAGGACATATTCCAAAAGGCTTTTTTGAACAATAAGTCGGTTACTATTAGGAAGAAAAGCCACAAAACCACATTCCAGGTAAAGAGTTATATAAATCTATTCAGGTTATGCTGGAGAGATCAAATCAATGAAGGCAGAAAACCTATTTGCTTAAACTTACGGGAAAATAACATACCAAATCTAACACGATGACTATTACAAAGGATAAGATGTTCCACCCGAATTAAGATATAAATCATAACTATAAGACACTTATCAAAATTAAAATAAGGTGCAACTCAGAACAGCTGCCGAAATCGTTGGCGTGAAACCCAAACCTATTGAATATAAGATTGTAATTCAAATATTTAAACAATCTATTAGCCTCAAACTGAAACTGCTAAGAATTTCTTTAGGTTGGACGAATCAGGCAATCCCAGATTGAAGGAATCACTCAGCAATTGGAAGAGTGAATATGAGCACCATTCTGAAACTATCGATGAAGCAACTCACAAGTTTCATGGAGACCCCGGATAAAAAGTGCCAAGTACCTATGTTTATCTAATGAATTGTAGTTCCTCTTGGTGATCCTTTACCTGGCTATACTGGCATGCAGAAGAGAGTAGTTGCAGCTAATATTTTTGGGCAAACCTTTGCAAATGCTCGCAAGACTGCTTTGCAAGATGATGCCAAGATCAAAGATGAAAAGATGAATACATTCAAACAATAGGCTTCATTTATACCAGCTTTAAAAAGATGATAATTATTATATATGAACGAACATTGTTATATATATTGTAATCAAACTCGCATTTATTTAATTATTAAATGCAGCAAATAAATTACGAATAAGTTCTGCTAACATTTTAATGCTCACGTAAGCATTTAGTTATTGATTCTAAATACTACGTTTACCTGCTTCCCAAGACTTTGATACTTTCAAGCGTAATTATTTAAAATTTCTTAGAATCCAAAACAACAAAACCCAAAATACATAGTGTAATTAAGTTTAACATCCAAAATTCATTGGATAACAAAGTTGAAGTCCCCCATTCTTGAACAATTTGGATTTCAATATAAGGATGAAATAAAATTCTTCTCTGCTCCAACAAAGGATTTGCAACAGCTCAAAGAATTAATGCAGGGCTAAATCATGTACAAAGACATTAGCGATTTCTATACTCCCCTTTATATGTTGGGCAAAGGTGGTTCTTCTAAAGTACATTTTCACGTTAACTAAAGGTCTATTTGGTAACCAAAAAATACGATCAATCTCAATTTGCATCCAAATGCGTTGACAAGAGGTATTTGCAAGAAGATGGAGGATATGTAAGAATATTTAAAATTTTTAGAATGCTTTATTCAATGAAATCTAATTAATGTAAAGGTTAAAACACGAAAACATTATACAATTGATTGATCTTTATGAAGGAGAAAACACATTTTATATGATTTTGGAATATTTAGAAGGGAAAAGCTTGCATGAATTACTGAATTAAAGATAATCAATTTTCGAATAAGAACAAATTTAAATAATAATTAAAGTAACTAATATTTCCTATTAAAGTTAATTTTACAAGCAATTGATTATATGCATTCTTAGGGAATTATGCACAGAGATTTAAAACCAGAAAATATTATGTTTAAATAATCCAATAAAATATAATCTCTAAAGATTGTTGACTTTGGTTTAGCCGCCCATCTAAACGTTGATGTGTTTCCATTCCCAAAATGTGGAACACCTGGATATGTGGCACCTGAAATTGCTAATCTGAAAGATTTAACTTAAAAATATACTGCAATTTGTGATGAATTTAGTGTTGGCTGTATATTTTACAAGCTGTAAATAAGCATTAACTATAATATAGGTGTACTGGGAAAGATCTCTTTCCTGGAAGTGATTATTAAGAGATCTTAAGAATAAATAAGAAATGCAACATTGTATTAGATAGTCTGACTATCTACAAAACTCCAGCTGAAGCTATAGATTTAATAACGTAATTACTTAAAATAAACCCAAAAGAAAGGATTACTGCTTAAAATGCTCTATTACATCCATACTTTTCATAAAAATATGAAAGCAAAAAGATCAAATTCTAATAATCTAATGTTACTAAATAGAATCCTATGTTCTAAACTCAAAATTTCAATCCTAAAGTTGTAAATTTAATTCTATAAAAATTCGAAGAGGAAATTGTGGAAGAAGAAAATACAAAATAATTAAGCATTCCTGTTATGCAAAATATGAAATCCTTTGGATAAATTCAGCAAAATGCTTATTCACCATAGAATCCTCAACCCAGAAAAAATATGAAAAAGTTTCAAACCTCGGAATTTGACCAATACACTTAAACGATTTCTCCATAACTTAATAATTTTAAACCATCCCTCATCATGAATTGCGATACTTTTACTAATTCGCCAAATCCAGATAAAACAGCCCAAACAACGAGAAATACTCTAGTAAATAAGGGATAAGCTACTGAGGCTATTAATTTTATGTATAAAATCGAAGAGGAGCAGGAAGAAGACAAGGGAATATAGAAATGATTATACACAAAATATCATTTGTTAATTGTTTAATTGATTATGACCAAAATTCTTGTTATTTTTTATTGAATTTGCAAATTGGAGCTAAACTTCATTTATTATAAAATTAATGAGTAATAAAATCTAGGAGGGGTGTGTTTCTGCTAGATAAAAGTTATATAATGATCAAGAATTTAGAGATGTGGTCAAGACATTTCACGAAATTGTCATACAAATCAATAAAAGTTTCTATGATTAATCATTTTAAGGTGTGAAGAAATAAAAAAAGAAAAAATAAAATCAATAGCCACCTTAATAAATTTAAACAAAAAAAAAAGAGGAGTTTAAATTATTTAGAAGAAATTCATATCACATCTAGATTGCTTATAAATTATACAATAAAAATAAATAAGAAAATTAGATCGATGAGTGTGACCCAACCTATCACTCCAAAAAATTAAGGAATAGTAATCTAATGGAGTTGGAAAATCAGCTAAACAATCATAACAACAATCACGTACCATTAAATGAAACAAGTTTGTAAAAATGAATTATAAATATAATTAATGTTCTATGTGTGTTATATAAATGAATTATTTCAAAATTTTCATATTATACACTTTAGAGAAAATAATATGAATTTTTATAAGGAATAATAATTATAACTAATGATATATAAAATAATCAACACTTATTTAGTCACGCTATTCTCATTTCTAGCTAATCCAACAAACTTTAAAATAACTAATTCAGTATACACCTTAGGAATATTTATATACTTTGTTTAACCTTATTCAAAACTATTCGATAACCATGATGAAGCCGATACATTCATAACATATATAGCATCATTCTCATCGGTAATTTACTTATCAAAAATAGTATTCAACCTTAATAAAATTTATCTAATAGGAAAATGCAGACTCAACATTTTGGGTGTTTTATGCATTATTTCACTTGCCAATATTAATATTAATCATATTACCAATATTAAATTAGTTTTCATCAAAATTGGATCAAGAAAATAAGTAATTTTTAAATTAATCAGAAGTAGCCCGTTTTATTAAAGTGTCAGTAGTTTCTACAGTGTTTGGCTTAGTTTTTATTCATTTATTCTTTAGGAAATATACTTAGAATTCAATTCGCAATTAATTGTAAGAAATGATAAAACTATTTTAGTTTTCAAATTCTTTGATATAAAAATTTGTTGGAGTTATTTTTGGGACTTGCTCTGTTTTAATTTCATAAATGACTAGCTTTATTTCTCAGAGCCACGAATTCAATGATATTAATAGATACAAAAGAAAAACATCATTATATCAAGTTGCGTAAGTATTAAAAGCATTGATTACAATCTCATCATATTTTCCAGCAAAATCATCTAAGTTATCCGTTGTGATTTGTATCGTATTATTTAGTGTTGTATCAATTTACGATAGTTTGGTATAGAGACCTTTCCCCTCTGTATATTTAACAAAGTGCTATTTGGGCATTGCATTTGCTTTTACAACGGCTAACATTGTTTAGATCTTATTTACATATGATTTGATCATCGAAAACTGTAGCATTTATCTTATTATTGGATTATGTCCTTTATCTTATTATTTGGGGCTGAGTTTTTATGAAGATATATTTATCAAATTGATATAGAATAGAAACATTCAAGATTTCTGGATTTATTCTTAAGAATTGATTGAAATGTATTCTTTATAGGAACGAAAATTGATAATTTATATATCTATTCGAAATCATATAAATCATTGCTCAAATGTTGGATGTTATTGTTCAAAATATGGCAAAAATTTAAAATTGGATAGTAATAGTTAAAGCATTGTAAGCGGAAATAAAGATACGACTCTAAATTATCGATGTTTGAGAGAATTAAATTTAAAATTTGATGATGTTGTTAAATTGATGGATTCATTATTTTTTCAAACTTTAAATCATCCAAAATTAAAGCGAAAAGATAGACTGAATTATTTGTATGCTTCATTTTTAGAGAAGTACTCAGGGAATAAATTGATGAGTTATTACTTTCTTAAACTATTCTGTTATAAACACAAAGCAAAACTGAGCTATTTTTATAAGATTATATTTCCAAAAATTATCAAAGTAATTATTTTAATTATTTAGAAATTAGAATTAAAGCTGATTTATTTCAACAAAATCTAGTAAGAAAATAATAAGAAGGACTCATTACTTGATGATTTGTCTTTAGAAACTGTGATTCAAATTGAAAATTCATGCACAAGTTATTAGAAATCGTTTGTATCAATTCTTACTTAAAAGATGATCATTTGGTAATTAATTGAGAAAGGTAGTGAATCAATTTCAAATTTTATAAAAAAGATTTATAGACCTCTTATGGAGATAGTGACATAGAATAAAAAGATTTAACATGAGTTATCCTAATTATCGCAAAATTATGAAAATGCTGGATTCTTAAAAATGCTTTAATTAAGCTATCTTGTAATATCTAATTCATTGGGAAGAGTTAATATTTTAGAATAAAAAATATAAGAATTAAAAAATAGAGATCAGTATAGGGAAGATGAGGGTTTGAATAATTTTAATTTAATGAGAGGATAGTTCACTCTAATAAAAACAGGACTCATTAGATCTTTAGGGTATATTCTAAGTAAAAATGAAGATAGAATAGAAGCATTTTTTAATTACAATAAAGATGAATAGACTAAAATCATCAATATTAATTAATTAATGCCTCCTCATATAGCAAGTTTTCATAATTAGATTATTCATTAATATATATAAACTGGATAGACTTATCTGATGTACGATAATAGAAGAGTGTACGTATCTAATAAAAATCAGTTTATTTTCCCGATAATGTTATCGCTAAGAAATGATTTTTCTAATTTTGATGATTGTGTGTTTAATGTTTGTATGTTGAAGGTTTCATTTTAGGATGCAATAATGTTTGATGGACGTGGATCTATACTGGGCATGAGTGAGAACTTATTTACTTTGTTATCTGATTCTGAAAAATTGTTTACTTATGCAGAGATACTAAAATATGGATTAATTCAGGTGCTATTTCCAAATTTTTATAAAGTTTTGGACGATATAGATGAAGCATAAAATAATTATTATAGGGATAGTGATGTTACTGCTGATCTTGAATTTGAAGATTTGAAATCATCAATCCATATCAATTCAAATTTTATTAGTTTGTGCTAATAATATCAAAATCATTCACAAGGGAGTTAGTATGATAAAGAATTATCAAAAATGTCAACAACAAATAATAGAGTTGAATTATTCGATAGAAGAGATAGAGATTTAATGAAAGAATTTGCTCAAGAATAAAAAAACTTAAAGAAAACATCACGAGGGTATCGTTTAAGATTTGACCTTCAAAAATTTGAAAAGAATTTCAAGGGTCTTTCTTAAGAATTTTTTACATTTGTAGGAACAGAAACTCAGAGGTAGAATGTATTCACCTATTTTATAATTGATATAAAAGAGATTTCGTAAGCATCGTCGAAAGTTAATCAAACAGTATCAACTATTTCTTAATATTTAACAATAAGTCATAATTACACACAAACCGATTAGAAAATGTCCACAATTATGTTTAACAAAGAGCATTAATATCATGCTTAAATGAATGATGAAATTGATGGCTAAGAAGAAAAAGGAACTTTATAATTCAATATTTCGCTAAGTCAACCCATGTAACCTGCATTTTAAGTTGAGTCACCTCGAATTTAATTAGAAACTCCTAAGGATACTGAAAGAGGAATGCTAAGTAATAAACATCAATCCTCTGATATATTGGGATAACAAAGATATTTTAAAAACATGTTTGATAATGCTTATGAGCAATAATTAAAATAGAAAGGCTTAAATGATCCTAGACTTATATCTAAAAATGGAATACAAGATGATGGGATGAGAGAATTTGAAGAAGAGTTAGAATTTGGATATTCAAATCATTAATAATAATAAAAAGAGTAGATAATTGAAGATCCACCTACATTTTAAAAGTAATAATGTGTAGTTTATGTAAATAAAATAAAATAAAACAAATAAAAAAGAATTTTAGATGAACAATAATCTACAACAAGTGGAATGTCCAAAGCTGAAAGAGAAAATTTAGAAAAAATTTACATGAATTCTAAAATGCCTCATCAATTCTATTATTTAATATCATCATGGATCTTTATCATTGTTATTACCTTAGCCTCTATTATTACTTTATCTGTCATAAGTGTAAGCATGTTAGAAGATGTCATAACTACAAGTGCTCATTTACTCATTCCATATGAATTTAATAGAGCATATATCAATAGTGCATAATAAGCGATATATTTGTAGAGTAAGTAATTTTAATAGGAAAACATTAATAATTTTAATATTTCGATTAATAGCTTTTACGAATCAATAACAGAAACGACAGTTACATACAGGGAATTGTTAAATTAAGAGATTGACTAGTATATTAAAGTAGAAGAAAAAAATATTTCTATCAAAGTTTATACAGACGTGGATAATTATTAATAGGATGAAATAAGTATCTATGATTTTCTCCTAAGTAACTACTAGATTATGTTATCAATTAATGAAACAAATTAACTCCTCAATTTGATCAGTAGGTTTTATGATATAACAGAAAGTACAGATGTGATTAATAATGTTTAAATGGATGGAATAGTGAAAGACATTAATGATTTGATAAATGTTTAAGATTATATAACATTTTTGACAATTGGAATTTTGGTATTGCCTTTATTTCCATATTTAAGAAACTATAAAAAGCTAATCGTTTATTAAGAAAAAATTGTTTTATTAATTACAAGAGTTAATGTAAATGAATTCTAGAAGGAAGTAAAATATATATCGGAAATACTTGAGCATATTTCGAAATTGAATACTCTAAATTTAGTCACTACTGACTTTGTTTCTTAAGAAATTTTAAATGATAAACCAAACTATTCTTTGAAAACTAATGCCAAGCAATAAATACTTTAGACCAAAATTTACGATATAAAATTGTCAATGTGGTTTGAATTTTCAGTAGTTATCTTCATTTTTCTCAGCATGACTATATATTTTATTGGTGGACTTCTATTTTCTAATTAGATTCCAAGTGACTATTTGGAAAGAGCAGAATAATATGTACATTTATCTCATGAGTATTAACACATTTAGCACTACAACCTGCTAAATGAAATAATAGTTAACAATTACACAAAAGAAAGTATGGCAGATATTTAGATAAAATATGATGAAGCAATACAAAGCTATTCTGTATTGCCATTGCCATTAGCAAATGAGAATGGAGACTTGGAATTTTTGAATGAAATATACTATACTGACCTTTGCAATAACTCTAGTCATTTTGTTTGTGGGCAACAATAATTGAGGAAAAGTTACTAGAATGGCTTGAATGGGGTACTCCAAAATATTAAACTATTATTTTATTAAGAACACTTTAAAAGATATGTAAGTGATGAATATTGGGCATTGGTTGTATTTTTTCCTTCGTTTATAGAACCTTTTATTTACTAAATTATTACAGAAAAGAATTCCTATTTAAGCACTTATATCTATAATCTAGAAGTTGGCTGTCTTCTTTATTATCTAGCAGGAGGATTGAGTATGACGCTATTTAGTTTGTTGTATTTTTACAAGCAAAGTGAAAGTAATTATGCTATCATTAACTTTAGTTCTTCACAATTAAATATATTTGATTAGACATCTACTGATGTTTATTCCTTTTGAAAAATTTAATGAACAAATTACACTATCATTATTAAAATAAATAAAGGAATATTGATATTATTAATATTTATGTTATATTGTCTTTAAAATTGGAAAATTAAGGTTTATGTTTAGAAGATTATAATTTATTTTATTGTTCATTATACAGTGATTTTCTTAAGCCTTTCTAAGTATATTCTATAAATAATAATATATTAACGAATATTAATAAATAAGTTAAAAATGGGAAACTCAAATGGATAACAAAGTTTGTTAGTTTTAGATTAAAATTATGCATACTAAACTCTAAAAACTCACCCTGTGTTTGGAGAGATTAAGCTATATAAGCATAGTGAAACAGGTAGGAAGATTGCTATAATCAATAAACAAATATTTGAGTCAGAGCAACACAATATGAAATAGGAAACCTATCTAAAGAGAAAATCGTATGACAATATAAACCTCCTGAAGGTTTTAGGTTTTTAGAAACTAGTTGCAAATGATTTATGTTCTCAAATTAGATACTTGTCCATCCAGGTTGAATATTATGAAAACACTATCACTTAATTTAAAGAAAAGTTTACAGAAAAAGAACTATATTATTTGATATTCTCTTTGTGTGATGCCATGGATTATTGCAAACAAAATAATAATGAAATAACAGACTTACATCCATCAAAAATATTAGTTACAGACGATGGATTTGTTAAATTAGTAGACAACATTGTTGCTTTAGAGGCAATATCTAATTTTCATTAGGTTAAATATAATGATCGCTAAGTTGAATATTTAGCACCCGAGTAATTGGAATTATTTTCTGGATTAAAAAATAAGATTAATTAAGAAAAAGCTAACATTTTTTGCTTAGGGTTGTTATTATCTTAACTAATCACAAAATAACCTGTTAGTGATTATTACCTAGAAGAATTTGTCAATTTGAATTTGTTGTTTAAAAGACTGGATTAAAAATTTGCCTAATATTCATATTCTAATAGTCTTTATGCTCTACTAAAAGAGATGTTAGCCCATGATCCAGAAGAAAGATTGTCAACTAAATAAGTATTGGCAAAGAAATAATATCACCACTTTGTTAGCAATTTAGATGGCGACTCAGTTGATTTTGCAGAGCATCACTAACCTGATTCCATATTATAATCTCCAAACTCATATTATTAAGAAGAATAGTAAGTATCCTATCATAGAAAAAAAGAGTCTATTCTTTCAATAAAAGCTACTAATGAGGAATTTCAAATTGCAGATTCATCATTACAAAAGAGAATTGATTTAGCCTTAGCCGAATCCAATAAATTATTAGATTAACTTAGTGTTTCATCTCCAGTCACTAAATTTTAAAGTAGAGCAACAATAAATGGAATTTATGATTCAGTCCAAAATCCATTAGTATAATTAACTGAATCAAGAATCAAAAGATTAATTGAAAACTCAGAAGAAGCAATAGAAAAATCATTAATATAATCAAAAACATGTATGTGAAACCTATTCAATATTACGGTTATAAATTATAATTTTATTTTTCTATTATGATTAATCTTTAAGTTTACATTTGTTATTCTTATTGAAATAGTCTATTGTTTTTTCACTAGAGGAAAATTTCAATGAGATTAGATAAAATAATGTGTAATGGAAATTACTAATGTTGTATTCTATCTTAAGTGTTATCATTAAATGGACGAAATTTGAACGCTTTTTTTGATAAATATCTAGATGAATGAAATACGGAATATATTTTGAAAATTAATTATTAATTATAAATGGAAATATAAACATAAACAAGATCAAAATTAGTACATTATTCTCATATTTTTCCAAGAACCATTAAGAAAAATCTCCCACAGCTTTAAAAAGCATTTTGAAGAATAATAGAATCAATAGTGTTAAGAAAAATTAATTAACTCCCAAACGAGGACAAGAGCAGGATGTTGTTTTGGAAGCATCAATTATTTCTAAGTCATCATCTCAAGGCTATTAGTATTTATTTCATTAATTAGGGACATTTACTCAATCAACTAAAATGGGTCTCCAAGTCCACAAATTGAGTAGGTATTTTCGAGTGATGGATTCTAAAATATATGGAAACAGAAATCATTGAATATTTTATATTATGTCTCAAAGTTTATTAGGCAGATTAAAACAAGTGGAAACAAAATCAAATTTAAATTATTGAACACAAGAATCTTAGGTTTGGTTAATGATGCAGGAAGTGATCCAAATGTCTTATTAGAATACAGAGATATTTTGAATAATGTCAAAGTTGCAAAAGAAAAATGCAACTTTAACTAAATTTTCAAAATTTTATAGCTGATTCCAATAATTGATCCTGATTAAACCATTAAAATAATTTGGGATATTTTGATGTTAATTTCTGTTATTATTAATTTGATATACATTCCTTTGGAACTAAGCTTTGACTTTAAGGCCTCAGATTAAGTAGTTTTATATTTAAACACCATTCCTTCTTGGCTACTCTTATTTGATGTAATATTTACTTTATAAACTGCCTATTATCACGAAGGTACTATCCATAGGAATCAAGCAGAAATATTAAAAAACTACATGAAAGGAGGAAAGCTGATGATTGATGTCTTAATTTTAGTTCCCATTTTATTTTAACAATATGAGATTGACATCCTCAAATTTGCTTTATTATTTCGGATTGTTAAATTGCCAAAAATGGCAAATAACCTTGAAGAAATACTGAATCCAAAAGAGTCCATCAAAATGTTGATTTAATTGGCCAAACTAATCTATTTTATAATCATAACATGTCATTTTTGCGCCTGTCTTTGGGGATTGTTGGGAGAACTGTAAATTTAACAAAACAGTTACTCCTGGCTTACACATTATGGGATTGATGGCCAGGTTTGGACAAAGAAATACATTTTTTCAATTTATTATTGCACTATCACAACTTTAACTATTGGTTATGGGGATATTACACCCCAAACTGATATAGAGAAAATTTATTCAATCCTTTTAGCTTTGTTAGTTTGCGGTGTTTTAGGCTATAGTGTTTCAACAGTGGGTAATATCATCAAATTGCTCTAGGATAAAGATTAACAATTCAAATAAAAATTATCAATCTTAACTAATTATCTAAAAAGCAGGAACTTAAATTAATAATTATAATTGCAAGTTCGTAAGTATTTCGAGCACTATTTAAAACTTGAATAAGAGTCTTAATTCAAAGCTGAATTGATGATGTAATAATTAACACAAGATTTAAAGGAAAAGGTTGCCATTGATTTATATTTCAACACTCTAAAAAATTCAAAAGTCCTAGCGAATTTATGTGAAAATTGTCTAAAAAAATTATGTTTATATGTTCATGAAAAAAAACTTGCTCCAGAAGAAAAAATATGGTCTCCAGATGAAAAAGGAACCAAAATTTACTTTTTGTTAAAAGGTTAATTAGATATTTTGGCTAATAATATTCGTCTTAAAACTTGTGAATTTGGGGTATTTGGTGAAAAGGAATGCCTCACTTAAAGCTAGTACTAAACTTATTTGAAGGCTGTAAAATTCTCTCAATTGATTTATCTCAATATTGATGATATAATGAAAATATTATATGAAGATTAAAAAGATTTAGAAAGGTTTAAGATGCTTCAAGATAATCTGATATTTAATGAAAGTTATAAAAATTTTGGGTAAGTATGTGAAATATGTGGATGGACTCACTAATTAAATACTTGCCCATTTGTGTTTGTAAAAGCGAATAGAAACAAAATCATTACCATAAACAAAAACTCTAAGCCATAATAAAGATTCTATCATGATAGAAAATATTACTCTTTTAAAACTAAATATTCTCTAAAAGATGTTTAGGAATGTGGATTAGCTTTTATGATAAACGAAAAATTTATAGAACAAATAGATTGTTCTGATTAGTATCTTCAAGAATTAGGTTTTGATATTTCGAAGGACGAAGAAGAATAAGAAGAGAATTATTAACAAGGTAGTAAATAAAAATAATTCCAAGACTCAAAATTTGAATCATTTTCAAAGAGCAATACTTTCACTGACTATTTTAGATAGAATGATTAATCAAATTATGAACACACCAATAAATACACAAATAAAAATACTAATAAGAACACGAATAAACCAAAATCAATTATCTAGAACAATATGTAAAATATCAGCGGCTAATAATCCAGCTAACAATCTCAATTATAAACCTCTATTTAATAATAATAACAAACACAAGCATCACCATCGGTTGTAAGATGGGACAGTGATAACCTCAAACAAAATAATCAAAAGAGATCAACTCTTCTCTTGAGAAAACTAAATAAAGAAAGGTCAATAAAAATCGAAATGAGGTTGAATAACAAATCTAAACCTTCGTATGTTTCAACTATAAGGCAGGAAACCTCTAATAATAAATCTATGTAAAGGTATGATAGTGTAATAAGTGGAAAACATAGCAAATCTATCTATCATAACAATAACACAAACTCTGTTGCTTCTCCTTATGACGATATGCTTAATATGTTTCAGGATGATTAATTAATTAGCGAAGAAAATATTGACTTTAATGTAGACAAATAGTTTCTAATGACAGAATATTTTCCTGCTTTTAATTATGATGTTGTAATTAAAAAGTTTGATCATAACTTAATTACTAAGAGAACAAAAATGTTAGCCACAATTTCCAGAGGCAAAACCTTATAGAAATATATTAAATGATAACAAATTTATATTCATAGTTCTAAGGTCGATTTTTTTTTTGTTGGTTATTCTGAATTTTTTTTTTAAAATATACTATCTATTTTTCTTGGTGACTTTTTCTAATTAGAATTTTAAATAAAATTTGATTTCTCTTTTATGGAAAGAGGGTTGTGAATAGTATTTTTTTTTGAAGTTAATCTAAAACTATTACCTTACTTTTTCAAAGGACTTTATTCAACTTATGGTTCAATAATTGGGTCTGATTTTTTAACATCTAAATATTTTTCTAATATTGCTTTTACATCAATAGAACCTTAAGAACTTGACTCTTCAAATGTTGCTTTTTGGATAGGAGAAGTTGGTGTTGAAACTGCAGGCTTGATTTTAATTAGCTTTTTTCCTTTTTTTATCGGACTATTCGAGCTTGATTAATTGTTTGAATTTAATTCAGTTGAAATTTCTAAGGATTATATTCCTAATTAACTCATATGAAATAATTTTCGAGAATTAAAGCTTCCAACTATCAATTTGGAACTTTAGAAGATAAATGGATGTTAAAGGGCATCGTATGATGAGTAATTTTTAGTTGTATCATTTATTTTTTAATAGAAATCAAAAGCTTATTTTGACCATTCTTGCAAATCATAACTATAAAGTTTTGCTGCATCATTATTATAATCCAACAGATATTTCATGATATTGCCAAAACTATTAATATCCTGCTAAGCCTTTGAATAAAAATCATTATTATTCTGATACTAAAATAGAAGTTCAAAATGATCAATAAAATACACTGATGACCAATCTTTGGGGTTCTTCAAATATAAATTTGATACGACAGCTTTATGACCAAGGACAACATTATTCAAATGTAAATACTCTAATATTGTAAACAAAATTCTCATTATGGTTGAAATGTCAAACTCCGTTAATTATTTATCCAATCTTAAATCATCAATATTGGTTCCCTCAATATTTTCGCATACAATGTAAATCAAATTTCGACTTTCAAATATTTCTTTCATTTTTATTAGATTATGTAATTTTAGATTTCTCAATAGTTGCAGGTTGTTAATTAAAAGTCTTCTATTTAAATCACTATTTTTTTCTATTATATGGACTGCGTATTCAACAGAAGTAGATTTGCATTTGACAGTAAACCAATTTTATAATGTTCCTCTATCAATTTTTTTCTTAATCGAATATCTTTGTTAAAAGTAGAATTATATTGAGAAGGGTTTTAAATAATCCACCCAATCATCTATCTCTCCATAAATTTCTAAAGTCTAATTTTGTCTTGTTAATTTAACTCCTGGCGAGTTAATCTAAGTATTACGAGTTAATTGCATTTCTATGTTTTGAATATCAATATATTTCTACATATATAAAATATTGGATACATTATCTGAATATTAGATATAACCACCGCCTATTCGTAGCTTCTTTATTTTTATTGTTGAATTAATAATTACTATGAATCTTTTCTCTAAGTCATATTTAATTGACTCTTAAGGACATAAAGACCAGAAATTTTGATTTGATTAAAATATACTTTCAAATTGTAATAATGTAGGCGATAAAGGAATCTTCATCATATTCTAATATATCAAATAATATAATTTTTTAGATGATATTAAAATAATGAAACACTATTATAATATTTGATCGAGCCAATATATTAAAAGTATAAGTATTGAAATTGATAACTTCTTACCTTCCTAATAAACAAATTGATTGGAATTCTAAGTAATTCAGTTGAGCATTTGTTTTGGGTTGGTAAATAAACTTTTAATAATGTTGAGCATGGAACAATGACACATTCTGTTTGTCTTAAATTACATATGAGTATTTTTGAATTATTAAAATAAATTATTATGCAAGAGGAAATACTATTGTTTTTTATCGAAGGAATACTTCTTATAGTATACGTCTTTTATCTAGTATGGGACTATTCTGCAAAAGAGGTTCCTTTTTACATTAAAGCCTTGACATATTTTTCTTGGATCCTAACTTTTTCGATTGTCCTTGTGTTGCCTATTGATATCTTATAGGTAGCAAATCATTTTGATAATAAAGCAAAGGAATTTTTTAGAATAGTAGAGCACTTTGGAGAATAATGAAAAAACATAACTATAATATGGTCTATTCTTAACTTGGAGAATACTATATTGGTCCAACTTTTTTTTATCATGGTAAGTTTGTTAAACACGATATATTCAAGGTTTATTCTTCCATTTTTTCAAGACTACGAAGACTCAGGAGATTTTAATTGGAGAGAAAGGATGAAATACTCAATCAAAAAAAATTTGCTAATTTACACTCTGGGACTGGTTTTAGGAATAATCATTATCATCTTATTAGCAATCAATAATGATTCTTCTGATTACATCACTAATTCATTAATAGGATTAGCAAATTTTTTGTATATTTTACTTTTATAAAAGTGGACTTTTTTTGGTTGTTTTATTATTAGGTTTCGGACTGGTTGCGATTCCAAAAAGATATATAAAAGAGAGTAAGGAGGAAGAAGTGCTTGATAAATGCTATAAAGATTCAGTTTATTTAGAAGAATAGAGAACCGAAAAGGGATATGATATAGAAGAAATTTGCAAAGTAATTTCATATTATATTAAGACACTTCTAATTTTAGAAGATTCTTACGCAAACTCAGAGTTTTTCGTCTATATTTCTAAAATCATAGCTTTAATTCCTCCTGTTTATTTTGAGTCAATCAAATAATAATCAATTTACAGAAATAAAGAATTACCATCTGAATATTAAAATTTAAATTTAAAATAATTAGGAGTCCTTCATAAATCAGTTAAACAAATCGTTTTTGATTTAAGAAGAATCAATACAAAGTTTGATATACTGTTGAACAAAGTAAAAAAGCTCGAGAGACAATATGAAATTGATTCTATTGAGAATCAAAGCTTTCTTATCAAAATTCTAATCAAAGCCTAATATATTTGGGTAAATTATTTTCGTAGCTATTATAATAAATACATTGGTTACGTTTTTACATTACTATCGATCATATTAATGTTCGGGGAATTTTAAGTATTGATGAAATAAAAAATTAAAATTAATATACTATCTTCAGTGATTCTATCCATCAGTGATACTACATTGACAAATATTACATTATTGATTCTGTTAACATACATGATGTTTTGCGTTTATTATGGCTTATTTTCAATGAAAATTAGTGGATTAATATCGTTTAACAATAAACATAATACAGATGCACCTAGTCTTATGTTTGGTTCTGTGTAAGAAATTAATTAAAACTTAGAAACTTTGGAAGAGTGAGCTTTCCCCTGTGTTACAATTTCCTTCAAATGACAGCCTAATTGGATAAATCAAACTAATTTTTTAATTTTTTTAAAAGGCTTGATGAATTCTCAGTATTTGACTCCACATTCACTATAATATTACCTCTAATGCTCATAATTATGTCACTTTGCAATTTTTTTAATATCAGTGATAAAGTGATGAAAGCAATTGGTCTTGGATAATTCGCTTTTTAAGAGTCCCCTTAAGTTTTGAGTAGTTTGGGGAAGGAAATCTTGCTCAAAGAGAAATAAAGGAAAAATTCCAAATTAACAACTGATGAGTCAAGCTAAAAGTCGTCGCTTTTAGAATTATCAAAATACACTTCCCCCAAATATATTGAAACATAAGATAGAGTCAAAGTCAACTAAATAAGAAACTTTGATGAAATTTTAAATATATGAAATTAGTAATCTTTTTACATTTTATAATTTAATGCTCAATATTTCTTTAAGGTGGTTGAAAACCCAAGAAGTTTATTAAATTCTAACCGAATTGAAGTTAGAAATTCATTTAGCCCTGCCCAATTAGCCTCCATCAGGTTAGTATTTTCTAATAAGGCCTGAAAAAGAGAGAGGTTGGAAGAAAGATGGATATTAATATATACCTCGTCATAATGGAGTTGGAACTAGAGAGGATGTAGAAAAACTAAAAATAAATGGAATTCCGGTATGATATTTAAACAAAAGATTTAGATGATTATCTGTTTATATTCCTAAACAGTAAAGAAAGATGGGCAATAATTAAATAGAAGAATATATAAGCTATTAGAATAATCACAAAATATTTATTTAGTACACTATTTAAATTCCTAATTTTCAGAAGTTGGAGAGTAAAACGAAGTTTTTAAATAGAGTGAACCTCTAATTAATCTTCAAATTAATAATGAATTTTAATGTGATTCTTGGTTTCTTTGTGATTTCCAAGATTAATAATAGGATCTCGAACTGAAATAAAGTATTTGTCATTATTAATTAGAAATATCAATTTTAGAAAAAAGAATACAATATTTAGAATAAGAGAGAAATACTGGAGCTTCTAGTTCAACCCATAGAGAAAGTTCAGATGAATTTAATTCTAGTTTTAAAGAAGCATTATCAGTGAAAATAGTAGATTATTCACCTGAGTGGGATTATACAGAGGGCGGCATGAAAATGATGTTATGTTTCTAACCATTGAAAGAAATCTATTAGTGTCAAATTTTGTTTGGAAATATTCCAGTTGTAGCGAATTGTGTTCAACCTGGAGTATTGAAATGCATAGTGCCACCAAATGTTTAAGGGAAGGTAGAGTTAAAAATAATCAGTAATGGGATATTTATAGATGAATAAAATGAGACCAATTATTTCACATATAAACAGAAGAGGAAAACAAAAAAGGATAAATAATAAAAAGAAAAATTAATTGAATAGGATAAGATTGATAGTTCAGAATTTAAAGTTCGAGTAATAGAAAAACTTGCATCGTTTTAGGCTTACTTCAATAATACAATGAATATGTAAGTTTCAAATATGGAACAAGAATAGATAGAATCAATAGAATAGATTGATGATTATAAAGTCACACAATTAATATCATAAATTATTGTGTTAGGAAGGAATCACCTGGAAGCAGTAAGATAGTTTTTGGATGAATAAGATTCTTATGGTTTTTCATTAATACACTATTTAACATTATTAGGATATTCTTAAGCAATAAAATTGATTTTAAAAAATGGAGCAAATATTAATTAATCTGGATGTGATGGATTAACAGCTTTATAAATTGCCATCATTTTATAGTAAGAAGAAATAGTGAACTTGCTCATATAATTGGGAGCTATTGATGATTAATTTAATGAATGTGCTGAGAAAAAGCCTGATATTGATTAGCTATTTTCAATAGATAGTGTCTATTAGAACAAAAAAATATTAGATCTTCTAATTAGAGGCTACACCTTATGTGATTCAATCCACAATTCTAGTTCTTATACTGAATAGTAATCTTGGAATGGGTAGGATGATTAAGACACTCTGTAATACTTTGAAGTTAATGATTTATTTGAAAACAAAAACAGCCCAGTGATAAAAAATGAAGAGAAACACACAAAGCACAAATATTTAAGGAACTACTCAAAACATGAGGTTCGGCCTCAACAAATGGAATTTAATTCTAATTTCGTAATTATTATAATTTAAATAGCCATACGATAACTATGCAAACCATATATAAACAATATAGAAAAATGTGAAAGCTTGGTTATTAAGAAGATAATATTTGGATATTAAATACGCAACTTAGGTGTTATAAAATTGTAATACTATATTTTAATTTTAGATATTCGAAATAAGCTACATAAGAAACAGATGAATCCTGATTGTAAAAGCAAAATCAAAAGCACTGTGAGGAATTGGTTAAATCTAAAATATTGAATTATTTTGTTAAACTCAATTATTTATTAAAATTTTTGTTATATATGGATAATTGCTTTAAAATTCGAAAACTTACATCAGACGATCAGGTATAAATTTTAATTAAAAAGATGCTTTTTTAAAATCTTCCTCTCTTTAGTACTAAATTTAATAGTAATTATTAATATTGATTATATAGATCTCTTTTCAAATGACTCAATCTCTTATTTTGGTATATTATATTTTCTATCAAAAAGGTGCATTTAAAGAAAATGAAATTGTAGTATTAGGTTGGACATTTAGGGAGTAAAAATTCAACAGAGGAGGAATGGTTTGTTGCAAAATTTAGTTTAAAATTTTGGACATTAGTATAATAAAATAAGAAATAATTTCTCAAATTCAGAACTTAATAAATGAAATGATTAATTCATTGTCAAATGATTCATAAATTTATAAATTATTAATCACTATAGAGAAAGAATAAGAAGAATACTATCATGGATTTTCAGAATTTTTCCAAGATTAAATAAAAATGAAACAAAGTTTTAATTGAATTATTATTTTTATATATATTCATTATCAATAATGCAAGCGTAACCTAAAGGATTTTCATACGCTTTCAAACAATAAATCATGAAGGCGTGGTAACCAGTTCCTACTTTAAATTCAACAATAATACTATTTGCCATGATGAGTCTATTTTTTCTAATAATGGGTATAGTTCTAATAAGTTATTCAAATGACATTGCAACCTAAGAGTTTTAATATGACTCATATTGTTTGGCTTAAGAAAGTGAATGTGTGATTTAAATAGCACTTGATAGCAATTACAAGTCTCCAGTGTTCTTTTATTACTAATTAACTAACTTTTATTAGAATCACAGAAGATATGTTAAATCTAAATCTCCTTCACAATTATCAGGAACAGATTTAAGTGAAAGTGAATTGGATGAATGTGATCCAGTTGTAACTAATGATGATATGGGAAAATCATTAAGCGTTACAAACGAACCATTAAAAGGGGATGATAAGGCCATACCATGCGGACTGATCGCCAAAAGCTATTTTAATGACACTTTTGCTTTATTCTAAGTTGTCAACAACACTAAAAAGGAGATCTAAATTTCAGGAACAGGAATAGCTTGGCCAAGCGATTTAGATGGAAGATATAAAAATATCGACAAGAATAGATAGTGGATAGATATGGAAGATGGTATTAAAAATATTTATCTTTTAAGAAAGATTTATGGTTTGGATGAGAACTGCCGCATTACCATAATTTAGAAAACTATGGGGGAAAATAGATTAAGATTTAGATGCTGGTATATATGAAGTTCGAATTAATAATAGTATGAAATACTTTAATCCTAGTTTATAATGTTTCCTCCTTTAATGGAAAAAAATATATTGTTTTCTCAACCACTAATGCCTTCGGGGGGAAAAATGAATTTTTATCAATTGCATATATTTGTGTTGGAGTGGTGTGCTGCGTAGTAACTCTGGGATTTCTAATAAGAAAATTTTTATCCAAGGCTGATCAAAAAAAAAATAGATGAATAATGAATATATAAATAAAATTATCAATATATACCTTTTGCTGCTAGTTCTTCTTTTACTCTACTAAAATAAGTAGGATCAGGATAACCAAAGCAACTAACCCCTCCCATCAAACTTGTCTTATGATGAATACCATTCCATACTATTCTATTATCTTTTCCTGTTGTCACAGAACGACCAACAGTGAAAGTAAGCTTTCTTTCAAACGCCAGTTTTAATAATCTAAAAACTTATCTTCCTTCAAGAGTGTCTGGCAAGAAAGCCTATCTATATGTTGATGGGAAATTTTAACCATTTCTTTGTCCTGGATACATATTATAATAAATGACTATTGTCCCAAAATCTTCGTAACTCTCACAATGAGTATTATATTCAATGTGGTATACCATTTCTCCATCTGGTTAATCACCAGTTTTAATTCCATAGATCCTTCCACAAATAGGACATTGAATATGTTATTCCTTAATACAATGTGTTAAACATTCCATATGATAATAGTGATCGCATGGAAGACCAACTACAAGTTATTCACAAGTAAATATTTTGTCAAATTAATCCCAATCTTCAATTTCGAATAATTCAAATTAACAAATTGTGCAAATATCACTTTTACTAAAATGCAAATTATCATTTATGTGATACTAGGAAACCAATAAGTAAAATTCAATAGAAGACATATGTCTTAAATCTACTAAGTGAGAAGCTTGGTTATCTATTTCTACGTTTAGTTTATCAAGGGTTTTTATAATTTCTTATTGAAAATTTGATTTTGATAAATCATATTATTTATCCCTTATATGCAAAATAGGAGCGTCATATCTAATTTTATTTTGAATCAAATTATTTTTGTTATTCGATGTTTATAAATTTTCATTTTATTTCTCTAATTCGTTTTTATTTGATAGAGATTTGATATAATTATCTTTCAACTCTTACAATTCATTGAGTCTTTTAAGAAGGGAATCAAAAGGTAAGCTTAAAGTTTTTTGCTTTTTTTCTTTCCGTCCGAATTATCTCATAAATTATTGTTTAAATATATGTTCAATTTAATAATTATTAAACATAAATTATTATGTCTCAAATATTTCAATTGATTTAGACAAGAGCCCTTAAATATTCAAACATCTTGTATTTATCTAAAGCAGTTGGTGCACAAATATGGAAGTTCTGCAATTATATTTACTTGTTTAAAATGATGTTGCCTGTGATTGTAAAACAGTTATTAATATCGATTTCTTATTATATATAAACACTTTACTTTTTTTTCCAAATTTCTTAAAAGGTGATAACCTCCATCCTTCAACATCATTTAAATAGTCTTTAATTGAAATTATATGTTTGGTTGCTAGTCTCCATTTCTATTTTGTGTTTGAATCACCATGATGCTTACACCAAATAGATGCTAAGTCTGGAGTGATAAATACAAGTAAACTCGAAACAGATCCATCATCTTTGTATCTAGCATGAATGTGATAATTACAATTTACAATCAATACCATTTACCAAATAATCTCTTGCTTCCTTGGTTAGCAAATTTTGATAAGAAAAAGAACAACGGCCGATATATTCATTCAAAGTATTGAGATAAGGACTATTTAGTTAATTATTATTTACTGAATAAATTTTTCTTGCTCAAACTCTTACATGACCATTTAACATAAATCTTGAATTCTTAATCTAGTTTACAGATCAATTTTTGATATTTATTCGTAAATATCAAAAAATCGAAGAACTAAAGATTATTACTCTGGCTGGTTTTTGATTATTAATAGAGTCAATGGAACATATTAATCAATAAGCAGATGAACATTATTATTAGGGCTATTAATGAGATTTTAAAGGATATTCTAGTGTAACTAAATGAAATTTTACTGCAAAATCATCACATATTTCGAAAATTAGAATGTTTTTTTCTATGATTTCTAACACGGCAGTTGTATTTTTTATTAAGAAATCTTATGTCATTTCAAGCTAACTATAAATGGATAATATATTGAAAAATAATTCGATCAGTTTTCCATCCATTTTCTGAGTTTTCTTCTAAATTTAGTAAAACAACATCTAAATACAATCTGTACTCCAAATTACTGAGCATTTAATACTATCTTAACTCACTAACTATATATAATAAAGTATCTCTATAGTTATTTTGATATCTAGATCAGAATATGTATCAAAATCAAATGTGTTTTAAATGAACATAAGCAATTATTGTGAAATAGTTGATGAAACTATTATATCAATTTTTTCTACATCACTTAAGATTAATGAATTGAGAAATTAAACAATAATTAATTAAAATTATTTTTCATGCTTTTACACAATTATAGAGTTTGTAATACATTAAAAAGTTTTGCAGTCAAATAATTAATTTATGATATTTTTATTCGTTAACAATTTGCTTACAATTTAATAAACTTTTGTGCAAATCTGTTAATCAATTTTAAGATTTTCAAGAATATTAGAACAAAATTTTATAAAATATTCTTCTATTGATTATTGCGATATTTTATTTTCCTCAATTAAAAGTTCAATAATTATTAACATTATTTATGATGTTTTCTTGAATTGGCATAATTTTATGTTTTAGTTGATTTTTTAACTCCATTCGGTGAATATTCTTAAAATTTCCATATTCATAAATCCTTACATAAAGGCTTATGTATTTACAAAGCATCCTAAAATTCTGATTGTGTATAAAGATATCTATTCATTATCTAAATGTTAAATGAAAATTGAAATTATGAAATTAAATTTTACAAAAATTTGAAGAAATTCTTAAGTATGCTTATAAACTAGGATGGACAGCAATTTCAACACTTCCACACATAGACTCAAATTATCTATATATAGATAGACTATGTTTTATAATTGATCTAATATAATAAATGAAATACTAATAATTCCATATTTTTCGATGACCTTAAAATCTGAATTCTGCTGGAATAGTGAATTAAGCGTTCTAAGATTTCTTATATTAATTGCCAAGTTTTAATTATTTTCAGTAATTAATTAACATAAATGATCAATAAGGAGTAGCCATTGTGGACTCCTAATAACTAATCTAGTGAATTGTTTTTTTACTTTTGATAGCTCCATTCAGAGAGTTAATCAATCATCATTAAATAATGTTCTTGGTCATTTATATAATATTTAAATATTTCAACTATTATGTTAATTTCATCTTCAATATCCTCCTAATCATGATTAAAAATTGAAAAAAATTAGAGATAGAGTATCACTATGTCATATTCTTTGATAAATTTTCTTAAGTTATCTATTAAATTTTACTTTACATAATTATTCCATGCTTTTATCTAAATGCTTTTCCTTGAGAATTTATCATTTTTTTTGATTAAGTCCATCATTAATTCGAGCACAATTTTAAATTAATCTGCCTTAAATTCTTTCTCGTGTTAGAATTGCACAACCAAATTATTTATTGATGAGATTGCTTATTTGTGTTGTGATTGATCTTCTCTCTCTGGTATTTAACAATATTATTTCAAATCCTAGAAAATTTAATCAAGTATTGGAACGTTTTCCTTTGGGTAGCAGCTTTGCTCAAACATTTATATTAATTATATATCAATTATAATGTAAATTCGCTAGACGATTTATTATAAATGTATTGGAGCACATTTTTTTTCTCAAATATTTCTAGTTTTAGTGATTTAAGAAATCAAATTGGGCTAGCACTAGTGATAGTGATTAAATATTGATTTCTTATTTTTCACATATTTCTTATAATGAAAGTGTAATAATAGTTGAATTGTCTGAATGTTTTTAATTTAGAACTATAAAATAGACTAAGTAGTAAAGTGACTTATAACGTTACCAGGAATGAATATAAATAAATTAACAAGATCGCTCCTTTTAGAGGAGATGATTTTTTCCATCTTGAAATTTCTAGAAGTGTTCTCATCCTAAGTGGCAATAGACGAATTCTAGTTAATTTTTTTTAAATTTCCTTCCTCTATTTTGTTGTTAAATTAAGGCCCCAAATAGCAATTCCTCACTATTATTTCTTTTCAATATTTCTGCTTAACCCTATTATGCTGCAATTTATTGAGGGAGTTTTTGGGAAATGATTGTAAAATCTGAAAATATAGAAACACATGAAAGATCTTCTTCATAATCATACTAAATATATATTATTCTGTCATTTGGAACTAATAAGAAATATATACTATTAATTATTAGACTATTTTGATTATTAAGGTTAAATACATTTATATTCAATTTAACTCTAGAATATGAAGTGTAGACGAAATGAAATCCATAAATGAGGGTTTATATTTAATTGCCTAATCCAAATTGATTTTATTGCAGAGACAAAAAAATGAAGTTCTAAATTATGGATATCCCCTAAATTAGGCTAGTAATCTTAATAATGATTTTACTTTAAATGCTAAATGATTTGATTGTCTGTTTATCAAATCCTTCTCATATCATGATAACAAGAGCAATATTTGGTGAAATTAAAATGAAAAAAATTCACTTTGAAATTTTCTTTGAGAAAAATTAATACCATTAAATTTTTAAATTAAATAAATTACATCATTCTTTGATGTATAATATGTGTCGTTTTTATTTATTAACAATAACTAAAATATCTTAAATATATTAGAAAGGATTTATGCCAAATTAAAAAATGAATACAAAAATAACATGGAGAGAGGGAGATTAATTAGTTTAAAATTATTTGGAAAAGAAATTGTAGAGATCTAAGAAATATAGTAATTTGTTTTTAACTATATTTCAGGAGTATACTTTGTTAAGACCATAGAAATCATTTTTTTCAATTGGAATCTCATTGTCAATACTGTCTAATCTCTATTATTTTCTTCGAGTTAGAGATAAAAGACTAACACCTTAATTGTTTAAATAGAGCCATTCTGATTTTCTTGCTGTTGATTTTAAACTAGATTCTAATTTATTATTTTATAGATAAATTGAATTAAAACTAATGCCAAATTTAATGACATCGCTCTATCTCTTCTCTTAACTTATTTGAACGCACTAATAAATAGAGCCTTGAGATTTCATAAATTATGTTTGAAAGAGTCATTTTCAATTCCATTTACATAGTTCTTATTTGAGTGATTAATTACTGTTAATTATAGCTCGTTTGAATGTAATTCATATAAAACTTATTTAGGATTATTGTTAGGGATGAATTATGATCTCTAAATTCTATTAGGGGTTGATTATTATATCATTTCAGTCCTCTTTAATACCTAATACTTCTAATATTAATTGAAAATAATAAATAACAGGCGATGAAAATATTATTAAGACCAGAGCAAATCTCAAATTTTAACTTTGTTATAATTTAAGATATTTTTAGGATTAAGTATAAAGATATGAATTTAGAGTATATAAATAATACATGAATCAATAAATATAAAAAAAGATAAGTTCTTTTCAGAATATTTTTAGATATACTCAAAAGCATTCCTAGCATACAGTAACATTCGTTATCAGTATTGTAGGGTTTTACATCTACATAATCGATTCACTTGTAGTACATTTGAATCCATTCTTAAATTGTGTACCATTAGCTGCGACAGAAATTTTATGTCGATAATTTAACAGGATTGGGCAGGTTTGTGTTTATTGATCTTATCAGCTGTTTCTTGAATATTCTTGCGATTTATGAAGAACTGTCAATGCTGTCACAGCTGATGCATGTAGCCTTATATATAATGCAAGAAACTGCGACTGCAACCTTATTGTTCAGTCTCTTACTTTTTAATAGAATAAATATTGTCAGCCCTAATATAATTGGGAGGATCTAAAAAAGGAGGCATATGTTGCACAACAACTGGTTATCAAACCAACTGTTGCTTACTGTATTTAGAACCTCACAAAAATTGATGGTAGGGATTAATTGTTATTATTCCAAATCATTTTAAAATAGTTGTACTGATAGTCTCTCAAGCACTAGAGGTCATTTGCCTATCATCCTTATGCATTTGTTAGTGATGGCTATTTTTTAAGAATAGTCCTACTGTGATGTGCATTTCTTCAAATATGTCTGAACAAACACATCTTTATTCAAATCTCATATGACGAGTGCTTGAAATTTAGTTTATACCTGATATGATTTGTGCTATTATTTTTGATACTTGGAAAACATGTTAATAATACTTTGCGATCATCAATTAGAACCTAAAAATAATGTGATGCAATTTAAAAACTATATTATTGCTCTACTTATGACCACTCTTCTGCATGTCGTGACGCGAACATCCTTTAAGGCTATAAAAGCTAACTTTTGGTAAGGCTCTTGGTGTTTAACTAAGATGGATTTAGTGCACTAGTAACTCAATATCTTCCTATCCTTGTTGCACATGAGTATATTCTTGTTTCTTCAATTTCATTACTTGATAATTGCAAACTTCTCAGACAGCTGTCCATTTGGCCTGTGTAGACTTAACTTATTGAAAAAATAAAGTAATTATAGACTTGATAAATAGAAAACAAGTAAAGTTGTATACTTAAGGATATTCACATTATTAGTATATGCACTTAGAACAGTTTGATCCATCTTCAAATTGGAAATCTATCCTTCAAAAGTGTACTGAAAATACTAAAAATTTAAAATTAACAAAATTCTANTTGATTGTCTGTTTATCAAATCCTTCTCATATCATGATAACAAGAGCAATATTTGGTGAAATTAAAATGAAAAAAATTCACTTTGAAATTTTCTTTGAGAAAAATTAATACCATTAAATTTTTAAATTAAATAAATTACATCATTCTTTGATGTATAATATGTGTCGTTTTTATTTATTAACAATAACTAAAATATCTTAAATATATTAGAAAGGATTTATGCCAAATTAAAAAATGAATACAAAAATAACATGGAGAGAGGGAGATTAATTAGTTTAAAATTATTTGGAAAAGAAATTGTAGAGATCTAAGAAATATAGTAATTTGTTTTTAACTATATTTCAGGAGTATACTTTGTTAAGACCATAGAAATCATTTTTTTCAATTGGAATCTCATTGTCAATACTGTCTAATCTCTATTATTTTCTTCGAGTTAGAGATAAAAGACTAACACCTTAATTGTTTAAATAGAGCCATTCTGATTTTCTTGCTGTTGATTTTAAACTAGATTCTAATTTATTATTTTATAGATAAATTGAATTAAAACTAATGCCAAATTTAATGACATCGCTCTATCTCTTCTCTTAACTTATTTGAACGCACTAATAAATAGAGCCTTGAGATTTCATAAATTATGTTTGAAAGAGTCATTTTCAATTCCATTTACATAGTTCTTATTTGAGTGATTAATTACTGTTAATTATAGCTCGTTTGAATGTAATTCATATAAAACTTATTTAGGATTATTGTTAGGGATGAATTATGATCTCTAAATTCTATTAGGGGTTGATTATTATATCATTTCAGTCCTCTTTAATACCTAATACTTCTAATATTAATTGAAAATAATAAATAACAGGCGATGAAAATATTATTAAGACCAGAGCAAATCTCAAATTTTAACTTTGTTATAATTTAAGATATTTTTAGGATTAAGTATAAAGATATGAATTTAGAGTATATAAATAATACATGAATCAATAAATATAAAAAAAGATAAGTTCTTTTCAGAATATTTTTAGATATACTCAAAAGCATTCCTAGCATACAGTAACATTCGTTATCAGTATTGTAGGGTTTTACATCTACATAATCGATTCACTTGTAGTACATTTGAATCCATTCTTAAATTGTGTACCATTAGCTGCGACAGAAATTTTATGTCGATAATTTAACAGGATTGGGCAGGTTTGTGTTTATTGATCTTATCAGCTGTTTCTTGAATATTCTTGCGATTTATGAAGAACTGTCAATGCTGTCACAGCTGATGCATGTAGCCTTATATATAATGCAAGAAACTGCGACTGCAACCTTATTGTTCAGTCTCTTACTTTTTAATAGAATAAATATTGTCAGCCCTAATATAATTGGGAGGATCTAAAAAAGGAGGCATATGTTGCACAACAACTGGTTATCAAACCAACTGTTGCTTACTGTATTTAGAACCTCACAAAAATTGATGGTAGGGATTAATTGTTATTATTCCAAATCATTTTAAAATAGTTGTACTGATAGTCTCTCAAGCACTAGAAGTCATTTGCCTATCATCCTTATGCATTTGTTAGTGATGGCTATTTTTTAAGAATAGTCCTACTGTGATGTGCATTTCTTCAAATATGTCTGAACAAACACATCTTTATTCAAATCTCATATGACGAGTGCTTGAAATTTAGTTTATACCTGATATGATTTGTGCTATTATTTTTGATACTTGGAAAACATGTTAATAATACTTTGCGATCATCAATTAGAACCTAAAAATAATGTGATGCAATTTAAAAACTATATTATTGCTCTACTTATGACCACTCTTCTGCATGTCGTGACGCGAACATCCTTTAAGGCTATAAAAGCTAACTTTTGGTAAGGCTCTTGGTGTTTAACTAAGATGGATTTAGTGCACTAGTAACTCAATATCTTCCTATCCTTGTTGCACATGAGTATATTCTTGTTTCTTCAATTTCATTACTTGATAATTGCAAACTTCTCAGACAGCTGTCCATTTGGCCTGTGTAGACTTAACTTATTGAAAAAATAAAGTAATTATAGACTTGATAAATAGAAAACAAGTAAAGTTGTATACTTAAGGATATTCACATTATTAGTATATGT